CTGAAATGATAGTAATATGAAACATAATATTATAACACTAACATAATATTACAACAACAACAATAAGGTTCAAATAGAATAGGACAATGTGTATCCACTATCCTCAAACTAATGAATGGGGTCAGGGAGATATTTCATTCACTCATTATAGCCTACTCAAATATTTCATTTTCATTGAATTCAACATCAATTAACAGAAATTAACATAAAATCATATTATAAAATCAACGATTGGTGTATTTCATTTATTATGTGCTTAAGATTTCTATTCAGTCAATAATACAAATAAAGTACAGAATTTCTTTATATAAAGAATGATGCAAATAACACAGTATTAACTAATAATAATCTTAATCAACAGAAAACAAAACATGTAGTTGAAAACATACATGAATTCAATAATTCTATTTGAATACTCCTTTACTAAAAACGAATCATAACAGACAAAACTTCAAAATGTCAATTTCTGTTTGTAAACCAAGTTTGATATTCATCATCTTCTTACTGATGTTGTATGAAAGTTTTATAAAGCTTTGACATGCATGCTTGGCAGCTTTTGGCAGAGGGGACTATATCAATGCTGCATGTACATTAACAAATTTTCAAATTGACAGTGCACATTTATAATTTTCAGTTTTTAGTCAACCAATTTGAAATTGCTTGATTGTGACCTGGAATTCAATTATATTTTGGTCACTAACTTGTATAAAGCATGAAAAATAATTTCAATATGCAATTATTTTTAGACAACTTGTAACAATGAACTTCTATACATCATTGACCATTTTTACAGGAAGGAATAGTAAGTGAGCACACAATAAACATTGGTGTTTACCAGGAGTTAAGTGTACACACAAAACTGTTTGGTCTGATAACATGGAAGTCAATGGAAATATTTGTGTACAAATGCCATATTCAATAAGAAGTTCACTAAAACAGGTTTCACTGTACTTGGATGTTTTACTACATAGAAATAAATCACATTTAATACTACAAAAACATAATTCTACTATTCGTAACTACAAAATAACAACTTAGAAATAGAATACACGAACCAATCAGACTTTTCCTTTATAAAATTGTTTTAATTTCTGAAATTGTCTGATTGGGCCATGAGAAAAACCTGAGAATTTAATGTCATTGTCATCAAATATACAAGACTTGAGACAGAAATTATTGAATAAATATTTGGTGCATATCTCATTAAGAATTTCTTAGCTGACATGATAATATTTATTGGGTCCAATATTTGTCATGATTTTCATATATTCAGAATAATTTTGATTCATTGACAGACATCAAGTCCCTTCCCCCCAGACTAAAACCAGAACAACGGCAACGCCAAAGCGTAGCGAATCCCATCGAACAGAGATGGCTGGCATTTTTACAAACGAATAGCAAATATCATAAAACAACACACCAGAAAGGCCACCATTTTCAAAATGGTTGCTCACTAGCCAAGTTGTCATCAGAAGAAATAATATGCTTTTAAGTAGCCACCTATAAAATTTTTGAAAAATTGCACACGTACTTGTAAAATTACACACATAAAAATGGTGGCCATTTTTCAAAATGGCCGACTACTCCCCAAAGTTTTACTAAACAATGTGCCATGCTTAAAGTATTCACATATCAAATATGAACAAAATCGCTCCACTACTTTTCGAGTTATAGTAAAATACGTTAAAATGGCGGCCATTTTTCAAAATGGCCACCGTCTACCAAAAGTGTCATTAGAAATAGACATTGTGCCATGCTTATAGTATTCACATACCAAATATGAACAAAATCACTCCACTACTTTTCGAGTTATAGTAAAATACGTTAAAATGGCGGCCATTTTTCAATTTTTTTTTCAAAATGGCCGCCTTCTACCAAAAGTGTCATAGGACAGTGTGCCATGCTTATAGTATTCACATACCAAATATGAACAAAATCGCTCCACTACTTTTCGAGTTATATTAAAATACGTTAAAATGGCGGCCATTTTTCAAAATGGCCACCTTCAACCAAAAGTGTTTTTAGACAGTGTGCAATGCTTATTGTATTCACATACCAAATATGAACAAAATCGCTCCACTATTTTTTGAGTTATAGCAAAAATCGTAAAATGACGAGTAAAGGCCGCCATTTTTCAAGATGGCTGCCATGCGCTTCTTTAATATCTACATTTGTAGCATTATTAATGTCCTTTATAATTTTTTTACATTTAAAACATATTGCTATTACAGTTTTACATATTACACCTAAATTACTGTAAAATCGGCACTAAAATGGCCGCCATTTTGAAATGAGCGGCCATTTTGAAAATCGGCTTTCGAGCAGAACTTCTACCCCCATAGGGTATATGTGTACAAAATATGAACAAAATCGGGCCAACGGTATTTGAGTTATTGCCCGGACGGACGGACGGACGGACGTACGTACGGACGGACGTACGTACGGACGGACGGACGGACGTACGTACGGACAGACGGACGGAGGCGTTCCCTATATCCCTCCGAACTTCGTTCGATGGGATAATTATTGTTGTATGAAATTGAATTGTTTACAATATTGCCATAGAAACATCATCAAAAACAAGAAAATCCAGCCAGACTGACATTTACATTTTCAGGTTTAAACTATAAAAGGTACAGGCAAACAGTATACATATTGTATCAAGCCATCCCCCCCAATTCTCTCACCCAAGTGGGAGGGGGGTGGTGGCTGGCACTTGATAATTGTGTAAAAATATAAAATGGAATTCTATGAGAAGCCAAGGAATTTCTTTCTGAGTTGTACTCAGGTTATTCGATAGTTTAATATGGCCATCATTTACAAAAGTACAATGAGGACATAATAGACTATATTTTACTGTACTTCCACTATTACTACTGAAACAACAAAAAGTTAACTTAAAATGGATTTCTTTACTACATGCATGGGATAATACCTAATGGGTCACAACTTTTAGGAATTATATGATGTATAAAATATAATATAGTATGTCATAAGTGTATAAATAAATATTGCAAATGTGTACTATTAGTAAATAACTGTACAGTATATAAACTTTTTTGTCACTTAGAATTAAACTACAGTATATGTACACTGTTAATTAATATGAAAACATATAAAATAACATAGAATATAAATAATTTTTATCTCAATAATCAAACGTACAAAAGAGGAATAAAATTAATGATTTCTTTTATAATTATTGCAAAAGTTCATTTGTTTTTCTGATATACATTTGTGAACATTGTATTAATAATATGAATAGGATCTGTGCAAAACTGTTTTGACAAAACAGTGGAAAGCCGTTTATTATCAAATCTACCACCTTAATTGTAATTAGTGCTCAAATATGAAAAAGTTGACCTGTTACACCAATGACTATAGGATTTGAGCAAATTAATTTCGTTTTTATTTTTTTGCAGTTAGTGGTTCAAATATACTGCATCAGAAATATTATAAATTGCACTGATGAATTTTATGAATAATTGTCATTCTATATGCTAAATCGACCTATAATTAATATTTCAATAGCTCATGTAAAACTTTCTAACATAAGAGAGAATGCATATTTTGAATTATGTTACATCATTATGCCTATTCAAGGCATATTTTTCATTTTATGGGAATTTTATTTCAAGGCACACAGTGTATCGTATCTAAAAATATAAAATATGGCCGTCTCAAATTTCATTCACACAGCATCCTTCAAAAACTACTATTTATCAGTTTTAGATTAATATACCAAGAAACATCCCTGAAAATTTCAAATAAATCTTTCAAAAGATTTGCCTGGAAATCTGTGAACAAGAAACAGTGACACCCTAAGTTCCAATCACCCACCCACCCAAGCACCAATCTGAAGACAATGTCATACCTTTTTAGATATGATACAATGCATGACTGTTCAGCCTTGGTTTCATGTGATTTTTATGATGTTATATATCATTTAGCAGTATCAATTTCCCAACTAAATAGATGGTGCTTTACAATCATGTCTCTCACACTTTCCTTCACAGCGTCCTGAATTTTCCTTTTCCGTGATAATTCCCAATCAATTGACAAATTGAAGAAAAACTTTTTAAGGATTCTGAAATTAAAATTATGATTAAAAAATGATTGGAAATGATGGAGTTCATAGTTTCCCACTTATTTCATTGTTTTGTTGTCAAAAGATTTTGAGACGTGCTCTATTACAATTTATACTGTTGCGCCTTTTGGAACCAATTCTATAAACGAATATGCCATGACTGTTTTCTGAGCTTGAAATAATGGCTAACTACTTTGATCAAAATAAACTTTTTCTACTTTTCAGGACTAGAGACATAAACATAATATCCAATCACATGTATTGGATAACAAAGTTTCATTATTTGGCTTCTCATAAAATCCATAGACAAACAATGAACTAATTGGAAAACATGAAAACTAAATATGATGCAACCATGCTTAAAAAATCATACTTGTCAGGCTTCTGCTTTGTTATTTCTCGGCAAATTTAGAAAAATGTGTTTTTCCATTTTTATTTAATTTTCAAAGTTAATTTATTCATTGTAAATATTGATGTTTGTGTTTTTGCTGCACTTTTTGAAACAACATTAGTTCTAAAACATGGCTTGTATGAAATTCTATTCATGGTTGAAAACTACAAATGAAAGAAATTCTATTCATGGTTGAAAACTACAAACAAAAGAATCAACAACTAAATGGTACAATATCTGGTGCTATAAAGACCATAATCGACACACTGAGTACCAAGGGCATTTTCTATGATATTGGGACTAGTTGCATCGATCATGGTAACTTAATGGATGTCACAAACTAAGTAACAAGTGTCAATTAAATAGAACAAACTACTATCACAAATACATACCATGCCCTACCTTGATAACAGCTCCACCAAAAGGACATGGTGATATCCCTCTATTTCAACAATCCAAATGGAAAAGGACTAATCCAATTTGGATAAATGATATGGAAAGGGGTGTTAGGTTGTTACTTACCTGAGTTCACATTTGATTTGGACCCAACCAGGGCTGCGCATGAATGACCAGGGGTGGTACCATTTCTCCACAGCATCTGAACACGAACATAGAGTCTCTAGCCAGAGATGCAGGACTTGCTCACTGAAAGTGATATGTATTCTTAACAGTCGTATGTATCATTATATTCATATTATCAAGAAAAGTGCATTTCCAAGTAAAAGGTATTTTATTAATTGCATAACTCCAAGTTCAACTGCTTTTAAATGAAACTGTATAGCTATAGCAGCAACATTTCATTTCATAATTCTAATTTTTTTAATTTTTTTTAAGTAATGTAGATGTAAGTGAAGTGACTCAAGCCATGTTTTGGACATATTCTAGCCAAGTACAAACTATACATCAAGTAAAATCTTACTTGAGACCGCAACACATAAGAGATCTGAATTTAACATCCATCTGTGCATGTGCCACATCATGGGTTAGATTGACTGCCTGGACTGCCCTGTATAACACCTCTTCAGGGGTCAATACCTTCCCATCTTCATCTAGTCTGAAATTTCATAGAGTGCAATGGTTTACTTGTTTAAGTGCTAGATTTAGGTATACGGTTTATGAGATATTTGGGTAATTAAAATAATAAATAAAAAAAAAAGTATTCCAATGTTTATGAACCAGTGTCGAGTCACAATCAAATCATATCTGTGTCACATTAATTTTGATGCAATTAATTCAATGACACCATGCAGCAAAATAAATTTGATGTAACAGCTACCTATTGGTAATATGGGGGTTTAAAAGCATAAAGTCCCTTTGGCAGAAAACATGGCCTAAATATCCAATTGAGCTTGAACAAGAGTATACTACGATGTGCTACATTGTAGGGTCTTGGCAATATCACAGAAGTACAACAGTGCAATAACTTTTTTAAGCATTCTAGCTGGATTTAAATCTTTAAGAGCCACATCCTCGAGGATCCTAGATAGTATTTGGGGTGTCCAATTCTCAAATCGCACTAGCTGCATTAGTGATGCATTCGCGAAGGAGCAACTGGACACTGAATCCAGATGAGAATTACACACAAATAAAAATTCTTGAAACATGCTTTTATATTTTACTCTTACCTGTAAGTTTTACAAAGCACCAATCTTGAGTAAACAGATTCAAAATCTTTCTCTACTTCCTTTGTAGCTGCCTGGAAAGAAAAGGAAACTTTTTAATGAAACATACATTTTACCTGTATTGAACTACAGTCCTCAAAAATTGACTACACTTATTATGTTTTCAAACAACAGAAGTTTGGGAAATTTTCTTTGAACACTAAGAAGCTCTCTTGATTAAGTAACTGATCGATGAGTGTTAATGTGACTAAGACTAAGGAAAAAAAATGAAACAAAACAGTAGATTATCAAAAAGACTATTAAAAACAGCAAAATGTTCTTACATCTGTACTTCTCAGAATCCAAGATAATTCAATACTATGAATTTGAAAAAAATAACAAAAATGTAACTCATTTTCTTACCTCTTCAATGAAGAGCCATGGATGACAATGTCCACCAATGATGACTGACTTCTTCAATCCATGTTCAAATATTGCTTTCAAAGCTGGGCACAACCTAAAATATTGATATTTCAAAATAATACAGAGCAAAAATTGGTAGTCACAATATTGATCTAATATACCAACTTTGCTTTCAATGTTGTAGACAACATTTTTTGGACTGAAGTTACATTTCTTAGCATCTACTGTATCTTGTATTGACATTTCCCCTCTAAAATATCCCTCTCTACTCAATAATAAGAAAGCTCTCAAGAGTGTTTACTTACACGCCCCTGACTAGATCCGTGACTGTTTCTGTGACACTGTCATCTCCTGCCATGGAGTAATCTTTACTTCTCTCATCTAACAGTTCAACAAACTTAGCAGGGAACCAGCCCCTCAAGCCATTCAACTCCCCAATCCAACAATGTTCATCCTTCTGGGAAATGATCTACAAACACAAGATAGCTATGTAATACATGGGTATAGCCAGGCATCAGACATACGAGGCAATACATCCTGGTTACACACATGTAATTTGATTTTAAGGTGTGGACATATTGTAAGGAAATTATGAGGGAGTTTACTCAGTTTAGTATGATCTACAAACACACATGAGATAATTGTTTGATAGAATCAATGAAAAACAAATCCATAAATCAACTCTATTCTATTGTTCATTATACATACTGTAATGACATCATTCTTCCTAAATCCGAGTTCATCATCATCATGACGTTCAAAATCAAGCAACGCTTTTGCTCTACGACGTCTGTTTCTTGCAACATTGACATATTCTTGTAAGTCTTCAGTGTGGCTGTCCATGCTGTAGTCAGCTGTCAAGTTCTGCAGGTAAAATGGTAAAGTGCTCATATAAGAACATTTGTATGAGGGGATATATATGCCCATTGAGTTCTACAGAACACACTTCTCGTTTCAGCTTCCTCTTGAGACACTAATCAATAGTTGTAACCATCAAAAAATTCACGGGTTTGTTAATAGAAGCTTTATATAGAATTTCTTTGTTCTCTTACTGGTACTGTGACACCAGTATATCCATGGTTACAATTGATTTTGGAATTCTTAAATTAATAAGGTTGCTGTAAAATGACCCCCAGATCTAGAACTATAGATACCATTCAGTATAAATAAAATAAACAAGCAGTTTTTCTAGTTTTACAATGACAAGATTTATCAAAATGGCTCAAGAAGTTACATTTCACAGAATTTAGATTATAAAAATAACCATACCATATTTTTAACTTTTGGATCTATAGATTGGAAGTGACGTCCTATTTGTAAGATGGCTTCTCTTAAATCTACCAGTAGTTCTGTCTGAGCTATATTTTTTGCCTTCCCATAATCCTCGGAGTCCCCATCCCCCCAGAGTAAGGTAGATATAAGCGACTTTGACCTCTTCAGGTGTCTTTTGTTCAGTTGCTGAAAAATAATGTATCAACTTTAATAGTTTGATTATGTTGTTACAGCTAGTGTTCTGTATAACTGAATAACTACATGTATATTTCTTCAGCAAACAGTCGATTGTAAAAAAAATTCAAAATACTTTTTAAATTGTTTCTCCATCAGACCACAGTGAACTTCATTCTCTTCCAAATCATTACCAGCCCCCACTCCATAGAGACAAGGGTGAAGGTGAGTATTCGAAGCATGAATGTTAAAGTTGCACCATTTCCCAAAATTACACCAAACTGAAGCTGGAATACCTCCTCGTACTCGATGGAAACTTTATTGTCAAATCTATTTTGATTCAAAATTGAACTTATTATTCACATTTCTAAACTCTTGCAAATGAAATACTCCCAAGGACACAATTCAAATATCAAATCACTTTTATTATCATCTTTAAGTGAAATTGATATTGGCCCCAAGGCATCGTATCTCTTGTAAAATAAAATACCCAGACAGAGCACCTGATTATTCACTGGGGAAAATACAGATGAGCATAGTTCTTTTTTTAAATCAACCAGAGCTTAATTAATTACCCATGCTTAATATGCTCTGAAGCCCTAGAATAGGGATCTACAAGTAAAACCAGTCTAAGTGGAACACCTTTCGTACCTCTAAAATGTGTTCCACTCATAGAAGTTCATTTAACATTAAGTCAGTTGGTCTCAGGACTCTAAAAAAAGTGTTCCACTAGCAGTGATGTTCAACTTCTCGACGTGTTCCACTTTAAAGGTTTTAATGTAAATGTACATATAAACAATTATATCAATGTGGGAAACACAGAAGGCCTATTATTGAAGGATGAGAGTTCCAGATGCACCTATTTTCACCCTGTTCCTCATACGTTGACACTAGGGGTCAAACGGTTAACCGCGGTACGCGGTTACCGCGGTACATGATGCTAGGACGGTATTTTCGGTTCATAAATATGAGATTCGGTTCATCCACGGTTCGAGGAAAAATTGAAAACTGAAATTTTTTAGACTTTAATATTCTCTCTTTCGTTCGACATGAACTTATTCTTCATGTATATATTCCTTAAAAACATGATTATAGCAATAGAGAACATTCAATTCTTACCTTAGATATGAAACAGATCGCTCACAAATCGATAGACAAGTAATTGTTTACATTTTTGTGACTATAAATAGACCGGAAGTTGGTCTCGCCAGATTACGCTATTCATAGTACAATTAATTTTGCTTCGTGGAGGTGTTTTGTTGGTTATAATAAGTTAGTTATTAATCAATATTATTTAAAAAATACTACAATTACAGAAATTATAACATTACTAATGTCTTTGTTAAAAACTTGAAACATATTTGTGTTTAAATCTCCCGCACAATCGCAGCGCCATCTGTGCTGATTCAGATGAGTTGAATACACCAAGTAAAGAGATCTCTTTACTTGGTGTACAGTATTCGACTCGATCTTTTTATGCATGTTCCCGGGGCTATTAGTCATTGTTAGTTACTGCTTGTGCTACATTTAGATCTCAGCTCTTATCTGACAGAAATCTTATCAAGGACAGAAAAATCTAAAGTTTAAAATTTAAAGTGGGCCACTAGGCCAATAAACTTTGCTTTGTCAAGTCAATTTAATAAAAAAAGGATAGTTGCACCAGGATAGACTTGGGTAAGGCTAGATAGAAAGCTAAAACCTGTTTCTTTATGAGCTGTCTTTACAATTTTTTAAGGAAATATTACCAATTTACGAGACCCGCGAGAACCGTGAACAGAACCGAACCGTGAACCTAAAAACCGTGACCGAACCGAACCGTTGGAATTTTGAACCGTTTGACCCCTAGTTGACACATTAACATACATGTTTAAATACCAATGTATTCATGCATAATTTTGTCCAACTTGATTAAGCATTATTCAATATCCATCACCTGACTTAGTTTATTAGATGCAAAACTTACCTTATTTGCAATTTTAACCTTTAACTTTTTCACCTAGATCATCAAGAAAATCTCTTAAGACTTAGTTCCCTTCTTATTCTTATTGTACACAAGAACACTTATTTAAGAATACATGTAGTATGGTTTCAGGAAAAATAAGTCTTCACTCAGAAAATGTTGATTGTCAGAACATAGTCTGAAAATTGTGGATAGAGATTATAACATTGTATGCCATACCTGCTTTGGTAGGTTTCGTGCAGATTCAGGATTCACGAGGGCTCCCTGGTCTGCCATGAGGAATGCAAGGTGCTTACGTCTGTGTGTCTCTATTATGACATCAGTCAAAGATCCGGCCACTCTGTATGAAGTCTATAAAAAAAGCATTATTTATTGCAAGTGTTACAGTCCAAGTATATGTAATACTTAAACATGAGAATATTTGCGAAATAAACCTTAAGAACAGATCTTTTTGGATATACTAACTGTTAGTATTTCACACAATTCATGGCATTTAAATGATGAAATGTCACCACATAGTAAGTTATTGCATGTTGTAACAGGCACCTAATGCCGACCACCAACCACCATCACAAAAAGGTTAAAGACCATCACAATATGTCCCAACTTTTGGCAGTAACATAATAAACTAGCCAACATGGGCAAAATATATAAAATCAGCCTATGGAAAGTGGATGTTACCTCTATTAGTTCATCAACATCCTGAACATCTCCAGGGACGTCTGAGAGGGCATTGAATATCTGGGCAGAGTTGTCAAGTTGTTGTAATTCAGCCTCCTAAAATATGAACATTTCAAAGTTTCTGAGAAAACCCTTTGTGCCAAAATCTCAACATTAAACAGTGGACATATATTGAAAAATGTATGTACTAACACATGCACATAGAGTGTTAATAACATAAAGTAGCTGTCACATTAGGCTGCGTGGACTCGCCTTTTGCAACTGTGTGATTAATTTTGGGCCTTAATTAATTTTTGTATTTTGTGTGAGGGAGGTATCTTGGTATCTTTGGTTTGCTCAACATTTGTCATTGCCATCTGGCCTTAAGTATTCATAAAGTGGTGAATGGTGAGCCTATGCGGAGTAATGTGACAGATCCATAAAAAATTTATGTTTTACCTTCATTTTCATCATCCCAAGGGTGACTTGGAACAGAGTAACTGATCCCTCATAGAAGAAGAGATCCCATAGTCGCAGGAGAACTCTCATGTGTACAACACTGGCAAAACATGTCAGGAACCAGTGTAACGAGATTAGGGAGAGTTCTACAATAAAATTGGAAATTATATCACAAATCGCTGCAAGTCTTCAAATGTAACAGTTTACATTTCCTAATATATTCTTTTACATATATCTTTCAACTTTTTCAGCATTACCATACTCCAATTCAAATACCATATATGAAACATAAAATACACAACATAGGCAGGCCCGTAGCCAGGGGGGGTTCGCAGGGTTCGGGCGAACCCCCCCCCCTGGCCAAAAATTCTTTCAAAATCATGCAGTTTTTGACCATTTTGAGCACTTCTCAAGTGATTTTAGCCTAATTTGGGCCAAAATTGTCAAATATGAACCCCCCTTAAAATTTTTGAAAATTGGACCCCCCCCTTGGCAAATCCTGGCTACGGGCCTGATAAGTGAAACATCAAATCATTACTCACCAATATCATGATTCTTGAGTACCAGGTCTGTCTCTGGGAGTGTACTCAATATAAGCTGTCTAAGCACTCTTTGGTCAGCCTAGAAAATACAATTGTCAATAAGCTTTTATTAAAATAGTTATCTGGTATTATCCAGTAAGAAATGATGACAACTTCAAAACATATCCGTACCAACGGCATTTAAAAAGTGGTGTACTAAATCAGAATGGGGCTTGTAAACTGATTTAGAAGAAGAGATCAAAATACATTTCAGAACTATACAAAGTGCAAAAAAAGTTATTTCAGGGGCCATAGAACACTCTTGTCTATATCTGACTCTACATATAATTTAATAGCATTCGTTTCATGCCACATATAGCACATTTAGTAGTTTTTAAATAGGAATATAAGGATATAGCACATTTAGTAGTTTTTATATAGGAATGTAAATCAATGTTTCAAGCACTTAATTTAGAAAAAAAAAAATTTCAAGCACTTAATACATCCTAGTGGGGCTTCTACAGTTTGATTCGGTTCACGGTTCTTGACCTTTTGTTCTATGTTGGTTCTCATTGCATTTTGATGAAAACAAGACATTAACATGCAAAATGTCACAACCTGCCATTCGTAATAGATGCAGAACTCTGAACACCAGACTCTGAATGCCAACCACCAAACACCACTTGAAGTTGTGACAAAAAAATTAAGAGAAAACTAAAACTGACACTTCATTTATGATGTAGACATGGGCTAGAAACATGTATAAGGATAAGGAAGGTCAGTAAATTCTTCAAACATGACATCATCATCGATCATCCATCAAAAAATAATAGTTTTCAAACCAAGGCCTAAGAACACTGCAACTCTGTGATTTTGGTGCACCATCGGAGCCCTAATACAAAGTATCTACACTATATTTGACAAAGATGGAAACAATAACAGTATAGAGACAGCTTAAACCTCTTATTCAGTAAAAGCACTTATAACATACCTATGATGATGTATAGTGCAAAGTGTACACAAGACAGCGGGCCAATATAAGTTTTGAAAAGCCCGCGCCCGCTAACTTTCTGATTGGTCAAGGCGCTGACGTCATAACCAATCAATCGAAGATAAAACTGCGCGAGCAATTTTTCTAAACTCATTTCAATCATTTTCAAACAATTTGTTTGTCAATTCTATAAGAAAACGGTACTCTCTGACAAGTCTACATCATCATAGGTATGTTATAAATCGTTTATGTCACTATCGTGGCACATATGCCCTCGGTTCTCAGAGATCAATGTCCCTCCCAAGGTCGGGCCATATATCACTGAGACCTCGGGCATATATGCCACGATAGTGACATAACCTCTAACTATAGCATAGCATTACTTCCTTTATTTAGAGTCAATATTTACCAAGGATGACATTAAATCATGATAATTTTCTACATTTTCTTGCATTATGTTTGCCTCCCTTCTATTGATTACCCCAATTACAAACATAAAATAACGAGGTATGAATTTGAAGCCAGCATGTACTAATAATCTAAATAATAATGATTTTCAGGCATTTTCTATGCAATTTACAGTAGCGTATGTCAACTTCATATCTGTGAAATATGTTTTTTGTTTAATTTTCTATTATTCATATTGTATGATTCATATTAAGCCTTTTCACAGAGGCACTAAAATAGGTAGTAAAAGATAGAGTCAAAACATACCTCCTTCACACTCTAAAATTGAAAAATTGGTAAATATGTATAGGGTTTTCTTTTTTCCAAATAAAACAATACAATTCATAATGAGTATGACATAAATGTTTGTTTGAAATGAGAAAAGATTAAAACAGCTGCCATTCCACTTGTGTGGACCTAATAAATTTTCAAACAAGAGAGGTGTCTTCAATATGGTGTTAATGACTTAAACTATCTGCATATCAACTACTGGCTCTTCTCATTTCCACTATTTCAAGGGGGTTCTATAAGGGGTTCTATGACTTATGCCTTATATTGATACAAAACCTTGAAAAAAATTACAAAATCTCATAATCAACAACTGTAGCTTTGATACCTTATGTTTGGAGGCTCTTACATGTATATCTTATTTTGAGGGAACTATGTATGTTCAGAAATTTGAATGGCTTCCCATTTTATTTTCTGGAACACATAAACATACAATATATGAGGCTTACATGGGCGTAGCGCCTGGTACACTGGGTACGCACAGGCGTACCAGATGGTTGCAAATTCGCTCGAAATACAACTAAATTTCAAAAGCTTCCTCCCAGACCCCCTGAACACTTGTTTTTTGTTTCTCTCTACTCTTGCTCCTGTGCGGGCTCCCGTGGTGGCATAGTTCTTAGAAAAAGAGCGCTATGCCCATGGCTTATAAATAATATACACACCTGTATTCCCAATAGTGTGCTGGAATAGTATGAAGCAGGAAGGAGGTCTTCTAAATAATATACACACCTGTATTCCCAATAGTGTGCTGGAATAGTATGAAGCAGGGAGGAGGTCTTCTAAATAATATACACACCTGTATTCCCAATAGTGTGCTGGAATAGTATAAAGCAGGGAGGAGGTCTTCTAAAAAATATACACACCTGTATTCCCAATAGTGTGCTGGAGTAGTATGAAGCAGGAAGGAGGTCTTCTAAATAATATACACACCTGTATTCCCAATAGTGTGCTGGAATAGTATGAAGCAGGGAGGAGGTCTTCTAAAAAATATACACACCTGTATTCCCAATAGTGTGCTGGAATAGTATGAAGCAGGAAGGAGGTCTTCTAAATAATATACACACCTGTATTCCCAATAGTGTGCTGGAATAGTATGAAGCAGGGAGGAGGTCTTCTAAATAATATACACACCTGTATTCCCAATAGTGTGCTGGAATAGTATGAAGCAGGAAGGAGGTCTTCTAAATAATATACACACCTGTATTCCCAATAGTGTGCTGGAATACTTTGAAGCAGGGAGGAGGTCTTCTAAATAATATACACACCTGTATTCCCAATAGTGTGCTGGAATAGTATGAAGCAGGAAGGAGGTCTTCTAAATAATATACACACCTGTATTCCCAATAGTGTGCTGGAATAGTATGAAGCAGGAAGGAGGTCTTTTAAATAATATACACACCTGTATTCCCAAAAGTGTGCTGGAATACTTTGAAGCAGGAAGGAGGTCTTCTAAATAATATACACACCTGTATTCCCAATAGTGTGCTGGAATAGTATGAAGTAGGAAGGAGGTCTTCTAAATAATATACACACCTGTATTTCCAAAAGTGTACTGGAATAGTATAAAGCAGGGAGGAGGTCTTCTAAATAATATACACACCTGTATTCCCAATAGTGTGCTGGAATAGTATGAAGCAGGGAGGAGGTCTTCTAAAAAATATACACACCTGTATTCCCAATAGTGTGCTGGAGTAGTATGAAGCAGGAAGGAGGTCTTCTAAATAATATACACACCTGTATTCCCAATAGTGTGCTGGAATAGTATGAAGCAGGGAGGAGGTCTTCTAAATAATATACACACCTGTATTCCCAATAGTGTACTGGAATAGTATGAAGCAGGAAGGAGGTCTTCTAAATAATATACACACCTGTATTCCCAATAGTGTACTGGAATAGTATGAAGCAGGGAGGAGGTCTTCTATAATGGCACACATCATCCAGAAACAGTCCTCTTCTTCCATGAACAACAAAAGTGAAGCAGCTATCTGTAAAACATCAAAATTAAAAAAGTGAGTCCTCTCCTTCAATTTAACGCTCGTCAGTCTTCTATTGAATATACTGACACAACAAACCTTTCCAAGGTGTCAATTAATGAGTATACCTCGTCCAAAACACATGTTACTCGATAATACCAGACAAAATCAAATCCTGTCAAATTGAATATTTTCTTGTCAACTGGGACTGAGTTAAATTGTTACCTTAAAGTAACTTAAGTGTTGAACTTAAAGTATTACCTAGCTATATTTGACATGTAAAGTGTTAAGTTGCTACTCACCACCCCAGTTCCCTGGCAATAACCTATATCTGGATAGAGCCATGCTATTCCTCGTAGAATTCTCCTCAAACGAGGTATCCCTGTTGAGTTTATATTACAGAAGCACGCATTACTTGGCATGGTCCTTAATAGATCCTGGAATACAACATGTAAACCCTGTACATTCATTATGGAATGGAATGATTGAACCCTAGCACTTTCTTTTTTCTTGCCTTATATACTGAGAAAACAAGAGTCAAAGAATTAACCATTCTGAAAACATGGAAGAAGTATCTTGGCCTGTATATATGTAATGTTTTATTTTATCTTTTAACCACAGAATGAATTTGAAGTAAATGCAACATACCACAATTGTGCTTCCACGTGAAAGCAGTACCACACTCAAATTACCTTTTCAATTTGTTTTGAGGTCATAAGATGGTCGTTAGAGCTAGTCTTAACAATGTCTTGATACGAAGTCTCAGATTTTGAACGTTTTTCAGCAGCCCCGGAAAGACGAAGCCACATCTGACCTCTCAGAGAATGTGGAATGCCGTTTTTTATCATTGTGTGAAGTTTATCGGATCTAGGAAGCCTATTGTCCACCTTAAAAAAGGAAATACAAAAACCAAAGAATAATTTTGTTGAAATATCAATGTTTTTTCAAAATTCTCCCAATTGTTCATTAGGGATGTCTAATTTTTAACAGTTGTGGAATGACAAAGTTAGTTTCATTAAGGTGGAAGGGGGACATGATGGTTTCATTAGTGAAGAGTGTCAATTTTTTGATAATCAAGTTAGACAAATCAACATTTTAAAATTTTTTAGATGAGGGGATGGGGTCAAACCAAAATGAAATTAACTTTAATTTTACACGACTTTTGATAATTGGGCATCCCTTAATTTATATGAAATAATTCAAAAATATTTCTTGAAGCTGTGTATGAGACTATTATAGTAAGGCCCTTGTAAATTAATTGCTTGTTTAGCATTGCCTACTGAGTCATCTGAAAACTTCTCCCGCAAACTTTTTTTCTTTACTCTATTAAGGATTTTACTTTCTTTCATTTTGACATATTCTCCAAATTTAGACTAAAATTAACAGTTCTTCAAAGGGTCCTTTTTCAAAAATAATATGCACAGACAACTAACCCTCCAGGGACTAAACTTGTACCTTATCCCATGTGAGATCACCAACTTCATGATTGTGTGTGAATTCTAAATGAGCCGTCCACTTGAGTCGATGTTGGGGGTCTTCTACATAAGGTGTACTGAGAAGTTTGCTTGAAGTTTCTTCAGGTCCATCTAAAAATAAATGTCAAAATGCAGTTTTATAATGATGATGGTGCAAAGTAGAGGTAGATTAGAGGTTATAGTGTGACGTTCTAGGATTATATTTTCATTTGGCAATTTGTGTTAATCTAATATGCTTGATATTTGGTAAAAATGGTAATATTCAGTAGATAACTGTATACATGAATTTAATTACCTTCTTCTTCAACTTTGAATCCAAATTCATCAAATCTGTAGTCCAGTTGCCCTGACGAATCTTCTGGCTATATGAATAAAATAGTAAAAATAGTAAGTAAAACTATACAGAAAAAATTATAACTCTGAGGCCTGGAGATTAGTAGTAGTGAGTAACCTCTACTACTCTATCTTTAAGGATAATTAGAGGTTATGTCACTATCGTGGCATATATGCCCGAGGTCTCAGTGATATATGGCCCGACCTTGGGAGGGACATTGATCTCTGAGAACCGAGGGCATATGTGCCACGATAGTGACATAAACGATTTATAATATACCTATGATGATGTAGACTGGTCAGAGAGTACCGTTTTCTTATAGAATTGACAAACAAATGGTTTGAAAATGATTGAAATGAGTTTAGAAAAATTGCTCGCGCAGTTTTATCTTCGATTGATTGGTTATGTCGTCAGCGCCTTGACCAATCAGAAAGTTAGATCAAAGGGTTATTTGTCATTATATTGACACAAATTCTTGAAAAGGGTAAAAAATGATTAGTTGGAAAAAAAATCATGGCAAGCCTTCCAACATGGATGGAAGGTGGTATTGACTATGATGACTCAACAAATATGTATAAATGTCTTAGTCCTACTATAAAAGTAAAATACTTACAGGATTATTTAATTTTGATAACAGATCTTGAGGCCACATTGATGGGGTAAGTGCTGAAAAGGGACCCCCTGGTGTTGGCACAAAATCTCCATTTGTATAGTTTTGTGTTGCAGAAATGCTCACTCCCGATCCCTCATTTCGCATTGTCAAATCATCTTCATCTTCAGAGAGTGTTTCAACTGAAAATTATCAAACAAGAACAAGGTAGTTTTTTCCTTCATTAGTCTCGCACCTATTCTGAAAAAGAATAATTGTCAATATGTGTGTTTGGGGATCCTTTTATCTAATCAACTTGGATATACAGCTTTAGATGACTTATATACAACTTTATAAAGGAGAAGTAGGTGTGGTATGTGCTAAATATTTATTCAAATAATTTAATAATTTAAATAAATAAATATTTATTTATATATGAAAATCACAGACTGTGGTAAGTCAGTGCAGTTTGTACTCTAAAAGCAGTCGGCATCATCTATCCTCTATAACATGACTAGTGTGGTAACTAAAGAAGAATATTTTTTGATATATATTTTCTTATGGCAGGAGCTTTGATCAGTGATATGATAAGTTTTTTAAACTTTCATATTTTTGTAACTAGTCTGAAAAAGTCAGTTTTCAACATTTCTTGGTGATATTTAATAAGATATAACATCATGATATATTGCCAAAAAGCAAGAAATTGTGCACTTTACTGAATTTTTACGATTTGCAAGACTTGGCCATGATTTGAGTATCAAAATAATGTCATCTCAGTTCTTTAATAACCAACATCTCAACTTTTACCCGCTACAGTGTCTATGAAATACTTAAATTCACCAGCCATAAAACCTATCTCCATTTGGCGTAATCTTTCAACTGAAATAAAAACATCGCCAATCCTATCGATCTCTAAGAAAAACTATAATAAGAAATACACATAAAAAGAATATTATAACAAAAAATCTTAATTTAAAAAGGTCTTCTGAAACTAAACTTAATAAAATTAGAAACGATCTTGCCCTAAAAGTGACTTTTTTAGACATAATTTTAACAACATCATATATCCTTCTTGCCCCTGTGGCCACCGAGATCAAGATAAGATTCATCTTTTACTCGACTGCCCTCTAACCGCCATACATGAAAACGATTACATACAGAACATCCTGAAGTTAGATAATCCGGATATTACTGGTATGTGCTATTTTGGAAAAACCAGAAAGCAAAAAATAGAATTTATACTTTATGGAGATGAAAATTTAAATAGTGATCTGAATACAAAATGCCTTCAACTATCTTCAAATTATATTGACAATATCTTAGAATGACCATCCTTCTCATCTCACATCATCATCTCTCACTAACATTCATATACATCATCACGGGCAAGACCTGGTGGACAGCCATCTGTCCGTTGCAATCATATACACTCCAGTGATTTATTCTTATTTATGTTTTTTCTCTTTCTAGAGGGGGGCCAATAATGCTACATAGCCTCGCCCCCTCACAATCCATGTAAATAATTATGTTGAATAATATGGAAATAAATAAATAACAATAACCTAAAAAAATCATCTCAACTATCTAATCAAACACTTAGGGCCCCGTCAGTTCTATCACAAATCTAAGTATCACTTATTTTATAACCAATCATAATCATCTGTACTTTTCTGGATTCTAAGGAGACAGCCCCACATTGAGATAACGTCCCATGAATACCATCACACATCAGTGACAGTAAATGGTTATCATATCATACCAATATTTATTTCAAGTTGGATATTTTTTGTACAATAAACATTAGCGCAAGCGCTAAGCTTAGACTATTGACTGACTATTGACCGGGGTTTTGGCCTCGACTTATTACTTTTTGTTGCGAGTTTTTTGGCAAATTTAGTGACATTAGCATCAAGATTATCTAAGACTAAGCATGGAGTTCCTTTGATTTTCTAATTTACAACCCATCCATGGATGGCTGAAAATCCTTTTCAAAAATGAAATCAGAGATGGACTATATACAGTGGGGGACATAAAGAATTACAAAAGCTATGGAAATTACATGCTGTCGCACATGTAATGAATTCTTACCTCAGTGTATTCAGTGCTCTATTTTCTCCGTCCTAGTATGTCCAGATATAGTGGAATTCGTGTCCATAATGACAAATAAGAACTTAAAAATTTGAAGTGGACTTCACATGTTAATGCCGACTCTTCAAATGTTGAGGTGTTTTGGAGCCCGATTACGCCGCAATTTGGATTGGCTTCCAGAATTTAACATGACACCTGTCAGCATTCAAAATGCTGTTCCGCCATTTTGAAATCTGTCACAAGTAAATAACGTTACCCGATGTTGCATTCTGGGAGTCAATCCTCCTTGGATCACAAACATGGCGATTCATGAAAACATTTGTTCGGTTTGTTACAGTTAGGGATTTATCCATCATTTGCAGGTATGTAGTCCAACAACATTAGACCTAGCCTGGGCCTCGTTTCTTATCTGACATGTCTTATGGCCCCTGCTAGGTCTAACCTCCATGACCATTTTGCCCTTGATGTGTTAATTTAGTCGTTCAGCAGGTTCCGACATGCGGAACTAATTAAACTCCGAAAACATGGTAATATTACATAAAGAATGTGATTCAAGCATGCATACATACCTTATAAATACATACACACCATCCCGTACCCCCCTTAGACCATATTGATGCATAATTACGAAAATATTGGAGACAGGTTTGGAATTTTACGAAAATATCGGTCAACTCCGGTAACATCGAAATTGCAAATCGTATCAGGAATTAACCGTCATTGCGACACTGCATCAACGAACAGTAGGTTTGCAATTAATAACTATGTTGTGTGTATACAAGCGCTATATAAATCAATCAAAGATACCTGCTATCCTCAAAAATAGTTATTTTATCCCGAGTAATCGCGTGATAATTATCAATCTATTTGACAACAATTTCGTTTCAATAGTTTACATTTTAACCCGGGACGAACAGACACAATGGCGGACATGCGGAAATGTCATTTTAGAGATTGGTAAGTTTAACCTCATTTTACTTGTATAAATGACCATTTAATACAATAATATTGTGTTTAATCGCTTGATGTTATGTGTTTTTATATTGTTGTCAAGTATCAGTTGCATGTTATCGCGGAAAAATAGTTTCGGTGGATCCAAAACTTGCATCAATGGAAAGAATAGTAAGGAGGTTAAACTCAATAATGGCCCCAAGAAAATTCTTAATAATAAATAACGCCGTTATTGAGTTTAACGACGTTGAACTAGCAGGTATGAAGCTTTGGATTCATTTATTGTGCTACTAAAGTGAACGGGAATTAATTTTCTACCGCTTGGGCAAGTTTGAGACAAGAAACTTAGAATTTAGCTCATTGTGACAACTTTTGAGGGTTGAGATTTATTTTTGTCCCCCTTTAGAAAAATGAGAAAAAATCAAGAGTCGAAGAGAACTGAGAAATGTTTGACATGTTCAAATCCGATAAAGAAGCATTTATCTCACCTTGGTTACCTCTACCACTGTATCCATCAGTGGAACGGCCTCCAAATACGCTCCTGGCTAACTCCATATCCAGAAGTGTTGGATAAACAGGGAGATATTTGTCAAAATATGGCCATATTCTGATGGATAAAAATGTTTACACCTGGCCAAAGTGCTGCTGCTGACGTTGGTAAGATCAATGCGCGAAGCCAAAACTTTTTTGAAACATTTTCCCTTTTCTTTCACTAATATGACGAGCTTCATACAAGGATAATTATGGTCCAATAAGATATTTGTGTGAATGCTTACCAAGTTACAGGACAATAAGATTTGACAATAAAAAACAAAGAACTATTTTAGAACTACTTCTATATCTGGCGTGTCATGAAAAATGTTAGCCTCGCTTTGGATTTATTGACAGAAATTGTAAAAATTCTCGGAAATCAATAAACAGCAATATACACCACTAAACACACGACCGATTGCTTATATATGCGTCTGGGAGATGGCGCTAATGTCAACTGATTAATTGAAACTGGAAGTATCATCTAATTTATTCATACACATTTCTGATTGGTTCATCGATCTAACACCACCTATAAAACGACATGAGTTCTGGGATTCAGGTAGAACCACCAAATCAATTGAATAATCAAGACGACTCAAATACAATGAGTGCTCGCAATCGACCAAGCAGCGCAAATTCGCGCACCGCATGGAGCAGTGGCATAGAAAATCCCGCTGGCCCAAGCAGTCGACCAGAATCTCGTCAAAGTAACCTTGGAGGGAGCTATGGAGGAGATGGATTCCGTCAAGAGGCTGATCTGAATGCAGCCATGGAGAGTGAGTTGTATGCTGTTGAGGGACCTATTGAAACCCGTCCCATCAAGAATGAGGAGACAGGATGCATGTCCCGTTTCTCAAACGGGGTTAGGTGTAAGTATGATTAGTAGCTTTTTATTGCTCTTTGCTAGGATTAATAATTTTTAGATTCTGTAATTGGTTTATATATATTTTTATTTTACTATTATGTCTATCAAGAAAATTGTCTTAATGAGGCTTTATTTTTTAGATGACAACTCACATCCTTGGAACGAAATCTGACATGCATGTTTTTCCTAGAATTATTCTATAGCTACATGATTGCAGATATATCACATTTTGAATTACAATTTTTGTTTATTTTTATTAAAATTTATGCTTATTTTTAGTTTATTTCGATGAAGTGACTATACATGTATGACATATCTCTAAATGCTCAACTTGTATCTAGTTGCTATGACATTTCTAAACATATTGCGAGTTGTTTTTGTCTATTGATTTCTTTCTGTTGTGTTATGCATATTATATTTTTAGCAAAATTATATTTCATCTATTATTAATGATATTCAATCAAATCTTCGAAGTTACCCTAGGTTTCTTTTTGTTTCTTTCATATTAAAGTAGATCATTTTTGGTATGTTTTGGAATTTGATGAGTGAGGTTTGATAGTTAATAAGGTTACTATTACAACTTAACAATTTGTACCGAGTGTAAACTTTCATTGGTGTTTATTTTTCAACCATTTCTAGCCTGGGTCATTGGAGCTAAGAAAGGAGAAGCTAAAAAAGGCGAAATCACTACCACATTTGGTAAACCCAATAGCATATAGGAAACATCGTATTTGATCAACATTGTTTATTTACATCAAAGTAGTCATTGTTGTTCATCAATTCATGTAATGTTTATATGTGATTTATGAGTATGAAGGATCAGATATTGTATGATTATCCCAACGAACAAGGTTTGATAGAGATATATAGTAATGCCCTTTGTCCATTATGATCCAGGCAAAACGTCAAATATGAGTTGGGTACTTTTATATTAAATTATGTTTAAAAAATGAGATCAAATATTTTTCTTCAAACCAAAGAATGAAGTCAGTGTTATAATGAATTTGAAAGTAATATGAGTAAATTATTTAATTTCCACAAAATATTTTTTCAGAGTACATGTAGAAATGGAAATAAGCTGTAATGTTGAGATCTCTCTAAATATGCCTTTATCATATTCAAATTATTGGCAAACTTGTAAGAGTAAATAAATAAAATTATTGTCTTCAGTCATTCAAATATCCCAGAACTCTATTTTGTTGGTTGGGATTTACTACTGTACTTGGGGTTTTCATTTTTCTACTTGAATTTGTTTTCAAAGTGTCAAAAAACGTTTTATGCTGTGAAAATAAATTGACCAATTATTTAGTAATGCAAAGAATAATATTAATAAAACCCTAATTAACTGCTGGAAAAATGAATTGATATTAAGAGAAAAGCAGAGAGTTATGACTTGAGACACTTTTTAAAACAAATTCTAGAAAATTGCAAGAAAGGAAAATGTATATTGTAATACACAAATTGCTTTCATTATAATTCTACACCTAATTTGTGACTAAATAACTAAATCAAGGAGAATGTATATGTAACATTTTAGGTTATGTTCCATATTTGATAGAAAATCTCGGCTAAAAAAGTATTATTGGTAGGTATGTTAATCCTGCCAATTCTTTGAGATGGTCTCACAGAATGGAAAATGTAACAGGATATCCCAGTCCTAATTACACAGCATTGTTAAGTCTGCATTTAAAGTACCTTGCACAATTTCTCCCAGTATAGAGTAACACATTCAAAGATCTGTTTCGTATTTAATAAGGCTGAAAGAAGCAGGAGAAATACAAATGACTTTATGTAGTTACAAAGGCATTGAATATGTTTGTTGTGAGGTACCGTAAGATATATTTGTAAATTGGTTTCATGGAATCCAAGTTTAAGGTATTTATATAAAAAGTTTACTATTTTATTGTTGTCAGATTTAGGATATATGGCTGTTAAATGTACAATGTATAATATATATGAGTAATTTTTAGTAACATTTGGTATTATTTTATATGTTTTCTATTAGTTCATCTAGTATATGTAGTTCATATCATGAGTCTATGTATCTATGCAGTAAAACCTATCTTGGATGAATGGCCCTTGCAAGAGCCAAAAATGATCCTAATATATGGTTTACTGACAAGATATACTGGCATTTTAAAAAAAACACCAAAAAACACCAAAAACATTTTATTTTGGCATCATCATTTTAGTTAAGATGACATGAGAATTTTTAAACCAGTAAGTTTTCAGGTAAGAAGCTATTTGAGTTCAAAGAATTTGTTCAAATGTAGATATTATTATCTGTACATGTAGATCAAAATTTACCGTTAAATCTAATGTGTTTGTGATTTATTTATTCTTGGGTAGCTTTCCATCTGAGCAACTTGATTTTTAGATCTCATCATTTTAATTTCATCCTTATTTTACTATGTGGATTCTTTTTTGATATACTTTACATACTTTACATGCCCTTTATTTTGCTATCTTATAACTTTTCATCACCTGTTTTGTCAAAACTTTAAGTCATTTTAGGCAAGTAGAGATCATTTAAAGTACCAATCTTTATTTGAAAAAAATGTTTTAGTTTTGATGGAAACTGAGATTTCTGGTGAGGGAATATTACATTAAATTAGTATTTGGTATAAATTAGAACATTTTATGTTGTTTTTTAGCACTGTGGGCCACGCGTGATACGGAAGATACGAAAGGAGATCGCGAGAAGCATGTCAAGACGACACTTAGAGAGCTTGTTGTCTACTTTGTATTCCTGATCATTCTGTGTGTTTGTAAGTATCATTTTTATATGAGGCAAACCTGGCAAATTGACCCCGTTTTACAAGTTTTATCCCATTTTGAGAATGAGGTCAGAATAAGGCGCCATTTTAGATCTTAAGGGTCTACATGTAGGACCTAGAACCTCTAGAAATCAGAGCTAAGGGTGGTTTACCCAAGCCTGAAGATGTTATTGTAAATATTTGGAGTAGAACTACTTGTCACGAAGAATAAACAAAAAAAACTTGGAACTGAAATAAAAAACATTTTTAGCATTAAAGTTTTCTATCCGAAGGTGTGTTTCATACAAGAATAATGATTATTGATCTCGGGGATCAATTCTTGGGGTCTTCAGGTAAAATAAATTGTCATACACCGGATGGCTTGTTATTAGAATTATAACGCCAATACGGTTTCACCTAGCAACCATTGTTCTTATTGTTTGTCAGATGGCTATGAAGTCCAATTACCAGATCGATATTTAATGATCTAAACTAACATTCCGACAGTGTTCTCGATAATGTTGAGCAGACATTTTGTTTTATGAGATTATATTTTGCCGCAATATCAGAGCTATACTCACTGTAAAAAGGGAATATTTTCTGCATTAAATTCAAATTCATGAGTTCATTGTTTTCAAGAATATAATGTTTAAAACAACTTTAAACTAGTTTGGAAAAGTGAATATAGCAAGTAATAGATAATATCATACATCCGCACTCTAGCTGTATGATCACAGTGATTATAAGAAAAGAGTACACAATCCTTCCTTCATAGCATTCTTAGTTAAAACCTGCTATTTGATAATTGGATTTTTTGAAAAAATCAGTGTTGGTTTTGCATTTAATGATACATATTGTATTTATGATAAAAATCAATATGAAAGTAGTTAGCGTAATAAGCAAATGAAGAAAAATGTTAAAAAGATCTATAAAATATATTCCTATATGCTCTGTACATATTGATAAGCGTTTTAATACAGTTACTATAGAAATGAAATTGAAATGAAAAAGAGGCTGCTATTTTCTCTCTGTTGTTTAAATGATACTTCAGTGATTTAAATAAGATTATTATAAATAAAGCCAAAGTACATGGAATATCCTATTCAATCTTAAAAACAAAACAAAATGTTGAGATTTACGATTTTTCGATGTATTTATACATCTTCATCACAGCTTTCAGTTCAACAAAATACTTTTTGAAAATTTAGATCCCTTATTGATTAGGAGACTTTAAGGCATCACATCTCCAAAGCATTTCACAAACAAGAAATCAAGTAAACAAACAAAAACTATTGTTTTATTTTTAGATCAATAACAGGTCTCTGAGGTATTGCTGAATGGAAATGCCAATATCGGCATAAATATTACATTACATTGAGAATCATTGATTACCTTTACACAATGTTTGCGTGATATGTTCTCATTCCTTTACATGCACGTATCATCCATGAATCACAGAAGAGAGTGAAATATAATTTACATGTGTACTTTTTACCCAATGTCCCAAAATTTTGTGTAATACAGTGCCAATCTTTTAGGACATTTGATGATGTTAATTTCTCTCAGATTTTAATTTCCTATAATTTATAAAATAAGCTCCACAAATACATTATGACCCAACCCCCACTTGAGAAGTTGAAAACAAGCTTTCGCCCACATAAAAGATCATTTGCATCTTTGAAATGGAAAAAATCAACAAAAATTGACAAAATCCATCCTATGAACATTTTGCAGCTACTTGGAAAAAATCACAGGGAGATGTGATTATAGACTAAGTTGGTTAAAATATTATAGAACATTGACCTGGAGATTAGAATATTTAGATCAATTCACCCTGCGTGTTTCAAGTTAATCAATCTCTGAAAACAACACTGCATCCTTCAATTATACATTAGATCAATATCTCTGCAGCCCAACAGGAAAGTGTGATATAAACCCTTGGATTCAATATTTCTACAACAGGAAAGTGTGATATACTGTAGATTGGGTTAATTTGGTGCCCGCTTTAATTTGGCGAAATAGAAAAAACTGCCAATTTACATCTTCACCAAAATTTCGAGAGGATCCTCAGGAATTTCGTATAGTGTGTTTTAGTCACTTCTAGTTTAGTTTTTACAAAATCTGAAAAGGATAAGGGTGATAATCAGAACATGCCACTTTTAAATTGGTTCAGGGGAATCGCTTCAATAATAAATTACTATATATATAGTATTGAATTGAAGCAATGGGAGTAACAATTTGTATTTTGTTCCAGTGTATATGGTAGTTGTGGCATCAGAGCAATATCCAAGGCCTAGTGTCTGCCTAATTAAATAGCCACCAATATGCCAAAAATGGCAAAATCACCAAATTAAGTAGCGCTAAATTAACCCAATCTACAGTAAGCCCTTTAGTCTTGAACTACATCATTGCCTTACGCATGATTTCAATCTAAAAGTAAAAAGGATGGAGAGAGAAAAACAGTTAGATTCACCTAACTTCTATGCATTCATTATCAAAGCCCAAAATGCAATAGTAAACATTTAATCTAAGATACATCAATATCATTATCAATGCAAGTATATGATTGTATTTTGAAGCAATTTCTAAATCTTTAAAAGGAAACACTTTTGAAACAAAGAAGTGAAGTACATGTATTTCAAACCACCAACAGCAGTGGATTGCATTTTTATATTTAATATTGCCAAGCAAAAGTCAGATTCTAATCTATTCCTTTCAAAAAAGCTTTTATTGTCCAAATCACTTGCAATCGACTTTGAAACAAGTATCTGTATTTCGAAACAATTTTTTGATCTTAAAAAACAACACTTTTGAATCAAAGAAGTGTTGTAGTATTACAAACACCACCAAGAAGTGATATTAAGATATCAAAAGTTTGAATGTCCCTTGTTTTATTTTTATTTGTTTATTTTATCCACCATATCTGATGTGTTGAATACTTGATGTACACTTCCTAATATAAGTTTCAATATATTATTAAAATCTAATTAGTATAGTTGATACACAGGCATTGAAATTACCTCAGGTATTGTGTTTTCCCAGTTGGTGAATTATTTATGTTTAGTTTGACGTCAATGTAATAATACAATGAAAGAGTCGATAAAAGATTCATCAAGTAGATATACGGAACAATAGATTTACATCAATAAAGTCGTGTAATAGAAACTACCGGCTATCCTTCTAGATTTACAGAATTATTTTTCTGGGTCTAGATTTCTGATTTTCTAGTTATTAATCTTAGAAATTGAAAAAGTGTGCTGAGATGGTGAATACATAAACCTTTTAATCTAAATTATTCTTGTAATTTTTAAGTAACTGTAAAACATTGGTTTTATGTCTGATCTTATTATTTATTGATTGGAATCTTGTAAAGCTCTGTATAACCAATAAAAACAGTGCATTGATTCTGTATTTGCATATTATCATTCTTTAATGTAGATTAAGAATAAATTAATGATTTCTATTGAATGCAGGTTTGACTCTGCCATCTATTAAATTCCTAAACATTCATTTTATAATTTCTTGAACATAATCAACTGATACATCAGTTTGTCAATTTTATCATGGATGTCAGCAGTTATATGCTTTTTTCACACAACCAGTGGGATAAAGTCATCATGGTAGCTTGAACATAACCATTATCCTAATTGTGATTTTGGTGACATCGCCTTTTTGTCATCTTGATTTAAAGAAAGCCACTTGTCAGATTTTCTTTGTACACATTTCAGGGTATCATCTACCTGTGATTAACCTTATTGTGGATACTTGATAGTGTGATTTCATTTACATCATGAACCTTGTTTATATTTCAGATGGCAAATTTATGGAACAACATCATTACTGTTTATATGCATGATCAGTTACTGACTGTCAATATTAAACACTAATCCATAGAATGATGAACTCATACTTCAAGAACATGAAAGATTTCATTCACTTGCATATATTGTACATGTAATTGGTCATATTGTGTGCTTGTATATTTTCAGTGACCTTCGGAATGACAAGTACGACGATGTATTACTACACCAAGGTAATGAGCGAACTATTTCTGGACGCCCAATTCCCGGACACCAAGAACACTTTCCGTGGCATGACAACTATGATGGACTTCTGGAGAGTAAGTTTTATTTGAATATCTTTTGTTTTATTGAAATTGAACAAAATTAGTTTGTTCATTTAAAAGATCATGAGCAATTCACCCTCATTCTACTCCCCAAAGATTTCTATGAAATTTGTGTGAATATAGCTGAAATCCATGCAATGTACAAAAATTGGAGAACATTTATTTTGCCTTTGTGTGTGTACTAATAAGTGTGGGGAAAGTTCTACCTGGGCATTTTAAATTTCCAAAAGTGTAACTTTTGTATTACATGTGTAATGGAGTGTATTTATGATCTTTAATTAAATCTGTTTTATTTTATTTGTAGTTCGTTGAGACACCTCTGATGGATGGACTGTATTGGGAGACATGGTATAATGACCGCAACGTCACAGACTCTGAGCTTGGATATATTTTCTATGAGAATAAACTCCTCGGAATTCCCCGTCTCAGACAACTCAAGGTACGGCAACAGAAACGTTTAAATTGAAACTGAGCCTAAGCCTATATTTACACATACTGTACTGGTATTCCTGATTAATACCAATACTAGTAATGCAATTTGCTCAAAATTTTCTCAGTTTTTATTGGTATACATATTTTGCATAGAAAATGAGATTAAAATGAACATGTCGGACCAAATGTGTATTAAAACACTCATAAGCCTTTTTACTTAAGTGGAATCCCTTATTTTAGGTTCTGAACAATTCCTGCGTTGTACATGACGACTTCAAGAAAGATATCACTCAGTGCTATGACAACTATGCTGAGAGTATTGAAGATAAGAACCCATTCGGCAAGATGAATGGCTCTGCGTAAGTTAACAAATAAGCTTCTTTTCTTTCTGTATGACAATGTGACTCATTTTAAATGGCAGTTCCCCCTGTGTTAAAATTGGTGTTAATCAAATCACTTAAAATATGATATCTTGAAATATGATATCTGCAATCCTCCAAATTTTCCTACCATTTATGCATTGTATTCTAGTTGGACCTATAATACTGAAGCGGAACTAGATGGTTCAAGTCATGCTGGTCTCATAGAGACCTATGGAGGTGGTGGTTACATTGCGAACTTGGCACGAAAGAAAGCAGAATCTCTGGAAATTCTGAAGGAACTGAGGGAGAACCTTTGGTTGGATCGTGGTACCAGAGCTGTGTTCATAGACTTCACTGTCTATAATGCCAACATTAACCTGTTCTGCGTTGTTCGGTAATTTTTCTCTTAAATTATCTTTAATTTTCCAATATCTCTGTTTGTGTTTTCATGTATTTGAATGTATGATAATTGTTTGATTCTGCAATATTAATTACAAATCAAATTGCATGTATTGTTTTTCTTGTGAAAATTCATCTCTTAATGTTGATGCATATTTATGCCATACAGCAATGAAGTAATAAAACATTGTAATTTTTCTATTCTAGCCTCGTCGTTGAATTCCCTCCCACAGGAGGTGCCATCCCACAATCCAGTTTCCGAACAGTCAAATTGATCCGATATGTCTCTGTCTCAGATTTCTTTGTGTTGGCCTGTGAATGCATCTTTGCTCTGTTCATTCTGTACTACAGCGTTGAGGAAATTATTGAGGTTTGTATCTGATACTATCTATTTGCATTGTTCCTGAAAAAAGAAATGTAAAAGATGCATTACCTGATTACCTGGTATCCGTATTATGAAATAAATTATATGCCTTTGTTAAAAGTATTCTATAATGTTATTCCAGTAATGAAATCTTAATTTTCTAATAAGAGTCAGGATTAAGATTCCATGCATTTATGGACCTCTTATTTCAACAAAATTTGAATTAAAAACATTCTTGACCTCTTGAATTAATTATCCATCATATTCATTGTTTTAGATCAAGCGTCACAGACTGGCTTACTTCAAGAAGGTCTGGAACATCCTCGACATCCTTGTCATCCTCATCTCCATTGTGTGCATCGCTTTCAACGTCTACAGGACCATTGCTGTTGGAGATATGCTCTCAACCCTTCTTGACACACCTGATAAGTTCCCTGACTTCGAGTTCTTGAGTTACTGGCAAGTGCAGTTCAACAGCGCTGTTGCCATCGCTGTTTTCTTGGCCTGGATCAAGGTTTGGACTGCTTCTCAGGATTTTGGCTATTGTACATAGTGAAAAGTCAAAAAATAAAGTTCTTGATAAAAATGAGAAACTGAATACTCAACTGAAAGCAATGTGCATGGCCTAAATGATCATACTAGATATTGGAAAAATTACACAAATCCTTATCAACCAATTCAGTATCCCTGTTTTTAATTATGCCACATTGAGCCATGCTGTTCTATCGTTACAGGATCTGAATACAGAAAATACAAGCTGAACTAACCCCTTGTGACCATGTCATAATTTATTTCCCAAATACCTCCCTCCCTCATAGCTATGTATTTATTCTACTCCAGGTGTTCAAATACATCAGCTTCAACAAGACAATGACCCAGCTCTCCTCCACCTTGGCTCGATGCAGCAAGGACTTGGCTGGATTCGCCATCATGTTCTTCATCATCTTCTTGGCTTTCGCTCAGCTTGGTTACCTTATCTTCGGTACTCAGGTCCGTGATTTCAGCACCTTCGGAAATGCCATGTAAGTATTCATAATTATCTTTGTTACATGTAGAATCAGATAAAGCAGAATCTTGTGGATGGATACCATTTCTTGTCATTCCTCAAACATAATACTGTATTTGTCTTTAATTTGGCGCTACTCAATTTGGCGATTTTGTATTTTTTGGGCCTATTGGTGTCTATTTAATTTGGCGGATTTTCAAGTGTCCAATATATTCTTCCATCCAACCCAATTCAAGACACTGTCAGTATTGTTGATGAACAATTTCTTTAATATTTCTTGTTGTTAATATAAATTTCAACAGCCCAGTTATAACCGAGGGTGCTTCGCCAAATTAAAGACAAATACAGTAATTTATTTTTAAAAAATCATATGATTTTAAATGTTATTTTTATGTGGATGCCCACATATATTAGGTGCTTTTGATGTTATATTTGATATACAAATACATCAGCTTCAACAAGAAATATCAAATATATTATATATATTAAAGCACATTTTGGTTGATCATTTCTAAATGTTGCTTACAGTTTTGTCGACTTGCACATGTCTAAAATGGATAATTTTTTTAATTATTCCAGCTTCACTTTGTTCCGTATCATCCTTGGTGACTTCAACTTCCATGAGCTGGAAAATGCCCACCGTGTCCTTGGACCCACCTACTTCATCTTGTATGTGTTCTTCGTGTTCTTTGTTCTCTTGAACATGTTCTTGGCCATCATTAATGACACCTACTCTGAAGTGAAAGCTGACATCGCCAACCAGAAGAACGAGTTTGAAATGGGTGACTATTTCAAGAGAGTAAGTATTTTGGTTTGAATATTTATAATATAAGTAATGTTGGCTTGTATATTTAGGAAAGCAGAGTGAACAAATTGTTTTAGCTGTAAAAGTGTGAAAATCCTTCATCTTTGCTTAGTATAAAACTCACCTGAAGGTAAAAATCAACAAAAAATATGATTTTCTTTCAGGGCTATGACAAAATGATGGACAAACTCAACTTCAAGCGTGACAAGATCATTGACATCCAGAAAGCCCTCGTCACAGCTGACATCAACAATGACAAACAATTGGACTTTGATGAATGGCGTCAGGATCTCAAGACGTAAGAATGAAGAAAATGTTTGATGAACTTAATTTGGAATTAATGAAAATATTGCATGTTTATAGAGAATTCTTTGCTATATTTTATAAACTAATTTCTGACACCTTTTGCTTAAAACTCCTAAAATCAGAAGGATTGATAGGCCACACTTACCAAATACAATTGCATAAAGGTTTAATGTATGAATTTAATTTTAGTCGTGGTTATGCCGAAGCTGAAATCGAGGCTGTGTTTGCCAAATATGATCTGGATGGAGACAGAATTCTCGATGAAGGGGAGCAGAGGAAAATGCAGGCAGATCTGGAAGGACAAAAGGTAAACATACTTGGACGATCTTTAGTGGCAAAGGGGGTGAACTATAAGGAGATTAAGCAGAGAACTTGAATGCATTTGGGAAAACAGTATATGTATGCATGTGTATAGATTTTGTATATTGTTATTAGCATGTTGGCCCCCATAGAAACACTAAAGGATGATCAGCCGGGCATACTTTTCTATGGAAAAAAGTGCACATGATGGGACCCAGCATGCTTGTTTTAGGATGCTAGAAAAACTCAACTTTTTTCAAGATAGAATTTGCATGACCAGGTTGATCTTTATTGAGTAGTGTAATAGATTTAGTGAAACAAGAAATAATAGAATGTAGCTACAAAGTTAACAGTATTATTCATTTCAATACACTGTAGTAATTATTTCCAATTTAATATAGGTTCAGTATTTGGGAAATTTTATGTTTGTGCATGTTGTACTACTGTTTACTTATATAGTATTATGTTACAGTATGCATGTACTAAAGAAAGAAAAAATAAATGTTTTGCATAGTAGTATAGCCTCAGGCATGTCTGCACTTAAATATTAGGGCATGTCTGCACTTCAATATTAGGGCATGTCTGCACTTGAATATTAGGGCATGACTTCACTTAAATATTAGGGCCTTTCTGCACTTTTAGGCTCAGATCCAACTGGCTATGGGCACACATACTGGAGTAAGGATGTTTACTATAATTGGTTGCCAATTTTGTGTTTATTTCAGTCCACGCTATTTAACCCTCTCCAGTCTACAGAGTGTCATTTGAAACAAATTCACAATGTTGAGTCGAGTTATTGTTTTGTAAAAAAAAAAAGAGTTATTGTTTTGTAGGTACATGTAACTGTACTTAGAAAAAACTAAAATTAAGATGCCTTTACTTAGACTGAAAAGGGTTAAAATCATTAAAGCTTATAGATATGTGCGTTATATACAGACTTTGTTATGTTTCTGATCAAAATGTCCATTTTTACATATTTTTGAGACAAATGTAAAATAATTGTCTATATCTAAACTTTAACTTGATTATTTTCTTCGAGTAAATCATTTTATTCTTTAGTTTATTTAATCCCTAAATTGGTGAATAGGGTATATCTCTTATTTATTGAATTATATTCAATTATTCATTTTATTCTTTAGTTGATTTAAACCCCTCATTTTTGTTGAATATCTTTAATTTTACTTAGTTATTAATTTCATGCTTTAGTAAGTTTAATTCCCTAAATTGATGAATAGGGTGTTTTTATTAAATCTTACACTGTATTGAAATTTATATTTTTTAATTGTCTTGCTCCAATGGTTACTTTTGCAAAGTTGCCCAGTTGTATAGTCTAACAAATTACATAAACATGTACATGTAATTGATTGAAATATGATAATTAATGTAATTGATTGAAATATGATAATTCCTTTGTATTAACATCATCACTGGGCAACTTCTTGTAGTATTAGTGGCCATTTTTATATTTTAGATGGTAGACTTTAAATTCTTTTTTACAGTGCTTAAAAAGGTTGGCTTACAGATATAGAGGTCGAGTATATTGAAACCTAGATGATATGCATTCCTGTTTTGTCCCTGTGCAGCAATAGTGCAAATATGTCACAGTGTAAAAGGCAATGGTTCTTGCACAAATATTTTGTGACTGCCTAGACAGTAGACATTGACACCATTTCCTATTACATCATTTCCTATTATTACAGTGTGTTCCCCTTAAATTCCTTTAATATATCATTTTAAGGTCTCCATGCATAAATGTGCACTGTGGAGTGTGATAATACTGTCGTCAATTTTCGATCACCCAGGTCATTTTAGTGACCCATGAAAGATATTTTCTGAGGTTACTATTATTCTGCCAATTTCGGAACTTTCTTAACAGTAGAAAACATACTATCCTGGGTGATCAAAAAAGACCGTCTGTCAACTTTCAGCAATTCACGATTGGTTTGAGTGCCTGTAAACAATACAACATTTTGGTCATGCCTCTCATTGTGAATCACAGAATATGAGTATGAACATGAAATTATGCTAAAATCACTAGTTTGTAAGAGTCTTCCAACGACCTTTGACCTATATGGTTATTTCACCTGGGGCTGCCCCCTACGTGGAAGATGATGGAAATTTGGGAATTTAGAAAAAATAGAGAAACACCTGAAAAAGCATGACTGGACTGATGTATTTTTTGGCTGTGTGCATGCACATTTTAAACCTAGCCACCAAAACATATGTTTTTTTCATAATTTCAACTATGCACCAATCAAAGTTTACGAATTTAATCCCTTAATACCTTTCCTTTTAATGAACATCGTCCCCTACAAAGGAGTTTGACCTTTGTTTTGTTCAACTTCGTATATTCAGAAATCATTACAATCCCATTCCACAAACACTGCTCCATGAATCAGTCTAGATAAGTTGTTTTATATTATCCTTTTAAAAGCCCATTTGAAAGAAAATTTAATATTAAACCATTGGCGTAAATTTAAACATTAATGTAAAATTTGTTGATTTGGTGTATGTTTCTCACTATATTGTAAATTGATTAAGTATGAATAAGTGCATGTTGATATTATGTGCCTCTTAGTTCTGAATCATGGTTCAAATATGTCACTTTCACTGTTCTAGGTGAGCATGCAGAAAATATCTTTGCTTCCAGATATTTCTCTGACCAAGTGTTGTATATGAGAAAAAGCATGCATCTTGAAAATCTATGCGTATAAGTCAATATGTTTACTTGGTTCTTACAGGAGCAACTGAACAAGGAATTTGAAGAACTGGAAGAAAAAGCACAAAACAAACGCCAAGATGTCACACGGGGCAGTCGCGTCAGCTTTGGCGAGGACAGCGGTGAAGATTCAGATGATGAAGAAAGTGGCACTAAATCATCCCGTAGTGGACGTGCAGTCAACGGTGTATCATACGAAGAATTCACAGTCCTGTCCAGGCGGGTAGACAGAATGGAACACAGTATAGGCAGCATAGTCTCAAAAATAGACGCTGTCTTAGTCAAGTTAGAAGCAATGGAAAAAGCAAAATTAAAAAGAAGAGAAACAATGGGAAAAATATTAGATAGTATAACAGAGGTACGATATACATCTGAGCCAAAAATAGCCTTTTCAAAGCAATAATATGGGTTTGTAATTTAGAAACTATTTAACTTATTCACGTATTGCTTAAAATCAATACTTTTTAGATGATTAAGTAGAAGATAATAAATTGATTGTTTTGATTAATTTGTACTTCAGTCGGATGGACACACGGATGAAGCAAAAAGAGACCAAATGGAAAAATTAGTTCGAGAAGAACTTGAAAGATGGGATAGTGAGCCATCTATAGGTGGGAGTCCCCGGGGGACGTCACCCACAGGCAGTAATGGCCAGGGTGGCGGCGCTAGGACCAGAAGCTCCAGACCAAGTTCTGGCAATCAGGTAAGAATTATAGTTGAATGATTCCGATCTCGTAGAACATGACTTAGTCCATTTGCATAAAATGGAAGGGTCTAATTATGAACCAGAGGGTATGTTGATATCTGTTATTTAAAATGACTCTGTTAATAAATGTCGTCATAACTAACATTACATGTGTCATTGTTTTGACTCACATTCATCTCTCATATCATTCACTGAAATTATAAAATTTGCAATTATTAGATAGCCCAAATTTAATAAATGAAAATTTAAAAAAATGATTTTATTCCCTCACTTATGCAGAATGTTTAAGACTGGTAAATTTTCACATATTTGATTTAAATTTCTTATCTTTGATGCATTAAAATGTTGTCTGAGTCCTGCTTGAATTGGAATGAAGACCAACTGATTTCTTAAAATGTTCATCAAATATTTGTTTGTTGTTTTCTTTTAGTCGACCGACTTGTAGACTAAGAGGTTAATACAAGTTTTTGTGTTATAACAATTAAGGCCATTGCATATGGAGTCCTGTTTTGCATTTTATAGTTGTCTAGGGTCAGTTTCCACAAACACCATGAAGTTACATATTCGCAAATCAATTGTCCTTCCTCATTAATGCCCTGGTCACATTTGCACCGATTTTCACTACGGCGCCCGGCTGATTGAGTATATATATGTTGTTCAAAATTGAATGCAATATTGAACAAAACACTCAATCGGGTGGGTGCCGGCCGATGTATTGGAGCAAATGTGACCAGGGCATTACAGAGTATTTGCAAATAGGCAATTGAATTGGAGATCTATTTTACTATGTTGGGGAAATAGACCCTGGCGCAGTTTAACTGAGGAACTTCTCTTATATTAGGGAAATTTCATTCCAAGTTGCCACGATGAACAAGCATCTATTGCAATTGCCTTAATTGTTTTTTTGTTAGTAGCTATAGAAAATTGGCATTACAATGCACTCTTTTTTCAAACTTGGTCTTTCGATTTCATCATTTGAGCCTGGCCAAAGGAAAACCGGTGTTATCACAAAAATTAGAATTGTGCTACAGAGCCAAAAATGTGCCCAAGATTTAGAGGAAAATGTGCTAAATTCAAAGTCTCTATATGCAAAGAAAAATTGTTAAGACATAAGCCATGGGTCATTTGAAAGGTCTCTTTGTGCTTTCTAAGATAAACAAAAAAATCAGAATAGTGAAAAAATCTGTGATAAGACCCCTTTTCCTGTGGCCTGGCTCATTTATATTTTTACAGAATATTTCAAATTGTCACCTGCTTTTTTGCATTTTGAGAAGATGAACAGTTTTGACGTTTATAATTCTTGAAAATGCAAAAATTAAATGCATACAAACACTACCAGTGACATCTCAAGGCCATTGTTTGAATTAATTGATACTTTTGCTTTTTGATGTTGCCTGTGAATTAGATACGTATTTATATCAATTAGAGTTTAGATGCACGACTTGAATGATTTATATGATAAATGCACTTGCTCAAGAAAAAAGAAATGGCACATTTTTTCAAAATATGATCAGCATTGTTCAATCGTTCTATGTACTATTGTTGCTTTGTGATGTCATTTCAGTCATTTTGTGATATCATAATGGTTACCTAATATGATATTATATACTTATACTCATTTCTATGTGATGACACATAGTAAAATTGTGATGTCATATTTGGTCATTCATTAGGTGAAATACCTATACTAGGCACCTCATTTTAATGCATTATATCTTGTACACCCTAATTTTGTGCATTTTCATCTATTGAAGATGGATTGCAAGTTTTATAATTTAACAGAAACTCAGATTACATAATGTGCACATGTATAACATGAATTCAAAGAGTGCACAATAGGCAATATCTAAAGAACACAACCATATGAAAACAATAAAGTTATTAATGTAAAGTATATAAGTTATGTGTTCTGGCCACTCAAGAGTTAGATAAATAATATTGATAACTTTGAAAATGATCGATTGGAATAATAATTTTGATAACACCTTTTCAAAAATTTTGACTTGCCTTCATCAGAGCTCGATCAATCATATCAACTTCATATCAACTTAAAAATAATTTTTTGTTTTACTTTCTTTCAGGACATACTGGAGAGAATGAACATCAGTAACATATAACTGCAGATATAATAGCCAATCGCAGGAAAAGACACTATAAAACAGTCTACTCACGTATATTACAAAGACTGCAGAAAAAACTATAAAAACATGAAGAATATTTATTAAAATTACATGTTATTGATATTTGATACAGTGATATGTAGCTGTATCATATGTTATTATTATTATATCAAACCCCTTTCATCTATCATTTTGTTATATATTTCCCCTTACATTAATGTATATTTTTTGTATAGAAGTTTATTTTATTACTATCAACGGACGTGTGATGAGTTCGGGGCTGGGTAAATCAAAATCTAGATATCAAAACAAATAAACTTGACAAACTACTTGAAATCAAATCATATCTTGTTTTAAATTGGTGGTTCAATTAAAATAGGACAATGATTGTAAACAATATACTGAAGAGCTCATAAATGATATGATATATTGATATAGGTTTTTGATTTACCCAGTCCCGTTTAACAAGGTATAAAAGTATTTGGATCCATGGGTATACATGCACAGTTGCATTATATTATGAGCTTGTTAGGTTGTTGCGTTCATCGCCTCATTTATATTATACATTATATATGCATTTTATATTTCTGAGAAATAGTCATACACCCTACCATTTTCGGTCTCATCTGGAAATTTAATAAGAGAAATAGACTATGTAGTCTTGTACATACTTTATGTATTGGCATTTATCCTCCTGTAACTACTAACATAACAAATAATCCATAAGAAAAATACTAACAGCATAATTTTGCTTAAAATATAAAAGGATGACTTTCCGGTGCTAAGAGTCTTGAGATATTAGATTTCCAGTTGCATAATAACAAAAAGGATGAACTTTCCAGTGTCTCAAAACTTTACTTGATTTGAATGTTTTGAAGATTGATGATTGAACACATGAGACTGGTGCTTTGTGTTGGTTGGATGTAACCCCATGGGATTTTTTGCTGATATGTTTCAGATTTTACAAATGTATGAATTATTTAAAATATTTTCAAGTACTGTATTATTTTAGTTATATATTTAATGTGTAATATTTGAATTTTGAAATCTTGATCATTGAACGAAATTTCTTTCTATTTAGTCAAGATATGAGAAATATTCCATGGGGTAACTTCGAGAAGCTCATAATTTTTGACACATTGTGACATTTTAAGTTTTATGAGATTTTACTCTTTTTCGCTCTGAATTTTATTTTGTTGCATTTTATTTTAGTCCCTATATACTTGGTGATCTATGGATTAAAGATCTGATTTACTTCCTCAACTAAAGATCTGATTGTTATTAACCCTTGTTATCCCAAAGATCTGATTGTTAACCCTTGTTATCCTGGACTATAAAACATGGAACTTTTTACTTACTGCTGATATAGTGTATTTCATATACAAGTTCTCTAAAAGTTTTTTCAAAAACTTCAGTATTGAATAATTGAATTACATTGGCTATTATCCATCTTAGCTTTCATGGGGAATAAGTATATGAAACATTCTGTAAAATTTCTTTGTGAATTTTTGAAGTAACTTGCCATAAATGTATTTATAAATGTGTGAGACTTTAGAAGTTGAAGTTTTCTTTCCCCAAAATATTTCACAGTGGTCACTTTTCTTCAATTTTTCTACAAAATCCTCAAAATGTTTAATCCAATGCTGCCAATATTCACCTTGTATTTTAACCTGAGTTACTATTTGTTGAGGATACCATCATCTCATTCGATTATTTTCTAATTGTTAATTTTCACATGAAACGTGACTGTTGTGAATATTTTGCGTTGGTTTCCCTCAAATCCCGACAGTGAACACTGCTGATCTTTTGATGTGTCTTATAGATAATGGGAAATAATCTCATATTTTTCATGGATTTCATATGAAAAGTCAGATCTGTGTCTCTGTCTGAAGTAAATGAGCTAGTGTCCTTGATAGACCATATGAAAGCATGATAAGTATTAGGTTCAATAGGTGCGTTCTTAGGTCCTTTTTGATGCATACACACCTTTGTAACAGTTTATGGGGCACAGCAGGATGACTAAATGCCAGAACATTGGTATATGCTTTGAAAGAGGCATTCTATTGTCATATTGTTGCAAATGGAAAATACCTAATTTTTTCTGGAATATCATTTTCTATTTGCAAGTCAGAAAGGTGTGTATTTGATGAAAGAGTTAATTGAGTTTTTGTGATTTAGATTTAAGCTTGTGTAAAATGATAAAATTATGTGCTTTGAAATGTCATGAAAATGTCAAGAAGTGTGCAATGTTTTTGTTGGTGTTGAAAAACAAGTTCCTTTTCTCGAGTGTACAATAGATAGGATAACAAGGGATAAATATAATTGTAACATGAGCGAAATAAATGTGATATGAAACATATCCCTCAATGAGTTCATTTTCATGATACAGGAATAGTATCTTGGAAATAACCTCAATATTGTGAAAAAGCAGAAAATTTGCTCCATAGAACCTCACGTAAAACATACTCACAAAACGTGTAAATGTAAATGGTCTCCTTTTATGGCAATATTGCATGTCACCGCTTTTAACAAACTTACAGCATTTTTGCTGTTTGCGCTTCTCAATTATCGTGAAACGCAATATTACTAATGAAAAATATAGTCCCGAGAGTAGAAAAGTCCCAATATGTATAATACAATCTAACTGCTGAAATATACATCCGTCCTATTGTAAGTACTTCAGCTAACATATTATTCAGATCTTTTACTTCTTAAGTTCAATATAAAATATTGGATATATTTAGGTGCGTATTTTAGTGCAATTTTAACATGTTTAATGTAAAAATTATCAATAAGAAAGACAATTTGGCAACATTGATATATGAACAGATAAGTGTACTTACCAATAGATATTTTCAAAGTTCAAATACTGAAAAAAAACTGCTGGAATTTTTCCGTCCAAAATTTCCAAAACCAAGTGTTCAGCATATGTATGAATGAATAGATAGCATTTCATCTTCCTGCATGTGTGATTCAGATATAAAATATTAATATTTTATGTAATCCGATAAGTTGGGGATAATGATGAATATTTGCAGAAGTTATCTCTCTATGTAAATCGTACTTGTAATCATGGTATCACAAAGTATGGGAGCATTGAGCATTCTTCTGCAAGTATTAACCTCAGAGACTATATTTTGTGGACCAAACCTCAAGTGCACGATGTTTATTAGGGAATAGTTTCTCTATGATGTATGGTTTATTTACCTTTCAATTAAATAAAGCTAACTAAAGCACTTAATCTTTTTGTTGTTGTTGACATAACTGTAATCCTATCAACAGTGAACATTTATGGAGTCACAAAAGTTTGTTCACTGTAGGTAGGTATTTACTACAGAGAGGGTAATAGAAGAGTTTCCAAATAGCTTTGAAATCTGGCTAATTCTTGTTTTTTTTGCACTTTTTACCTAGCTCTATTATGACTTACTGTTGCTATTTTTGATAGCATATTTGAATTCAGTGACAGGTTTTCTCCAATAATAGCTTTGATTTACACAGTTATGTGATAAATAATTTTCCATAACATTTTAAAAAACGGGACAAATCTCCATTGATGCAATGCTAAAATTCAAAAATTTGCTTATTTGTATGACAACCAACATTTTCATGTTTATCACAATACGTACATTGACAGGGCCATCCAATAGTATGTCATTCGAGTTTCAGACAGATTCAACCAACACTTCAATAAATCATGAAATTAAGTGACTATTGCAAGTTTCTAGCATTGAAGTGAATGGAGGTCTGGCCCAAGAAAATCAAAGAAAAACAAGAGTGACATCTATTATGCCAGCGTTATTCATCTATTGAGAAACTATACAATTTATACAGAAATCAGTAGGGAATGTGTTGAGAAAGGGTGTTCACTAGACGCACAAGTTCACTGTATAGAGGTGTTCACTAAGAGGTGTTCACTAAGACAGGTTTAACGGTATATTAAATTCAGACTGAGTGACATTGAAGGTATATTTTTCCAAAAATATGATAAAAAGTTTTGGTATGATCAAATTTGCAGCACATGTACAGTGCAATGCAGTACAATGTGTATTTTCAGTATGCGCCCATCTTTCCAAAAGTGATGACATTACTCTTATGGCCTAGTCACATAGCCCGGCCGATGAGGTGACGATGAGCCAGCGATGCAATTTTCACCGAACTCGGCCGAACACCGGCCGGACATCCGTGGCGTTTGTTGCTTAAAACCGCATCGGTGGTAGCTCGGTGAAATTTTAACTTCGGAGTTAAATTTCACCGGGCTCTCACCGAGCTCCCTCATCATGTCATCGCAGCCCCATCGTAACCACATCGGAAAACACGTCGGCCGGTGCACGGCCGAGTATCGGCCGGTGTCCCGTGCATCTGAGACAACCAGAGGACGAGGTTTTTTAACGGACAGCGGCCGAGCTCCGGCCGATGTGGGACAGAGCATCGGCCGGTCACTGTTCAAAGCCCGTTAACAACCCGGCCGGCGATCGCACGGTGTCCTGTTACCTGCTCGGGTACCGGCCGTATTCCTTCCGATGTCCGGCCGACCTCCGGCCGGTAGTTGCTGCCACATCGGCAGAAAAAAACTACCATTTTGAGACAGACTCCGTACGGTCACCGGCCGGTGTTCGGTCGGTCGCCTGAAGATGTCCGGACGGAGTCCGTTCACGTCACCGAGCTCTGCTTCCGATGAGGAGAGCTCGGTGGCACCAAAAAATCCACCGAGCTCTACCGATGCTGGACATCGGCCGGGCTATGTGACTAGGCCATTAAACTTGCTTATAATATGTCTTTAACTGATTTTAATCTTCTTTCTTTCATGTCCTACATGTCCCAAGCAAATTAAGAGTTTCTGTTAAGTGCCCACCATTATTCCAGAAATCAAAGAATATATTATATTTTTACGAAAGGCTATTTTGAACTGAAAAGCTATATTATAGAAATTTTTATAATCAGAAATCCTTTTCCCATTTAGGATCCACAGTCTGTACTGTTCCTTGGAATAGACAATACCATTCTGTTACTCATCACATCTTTCTGTCTTCAACTAGAGATATAGTACATACAAAATGGAGGTCGGGGAAGAACATGAGGGATGGTATCTTTATATTTCAAATTCATATGTCCACCCTTTTTGATGACAACACTATGTAAAAGGTTTTGACGGTATGTCAATAAACACCTATAGCTTCAGTGAAGCCCCCAAAAGGGTAACGTTTATTTTGAAATTACAAGTTAAAGGCGATAAATTACGCAAAATTACACAATTATAATTACATACTTTTTGGAGAATCTTCGTTTATGGTGTTAGCCAAATAAATCATTTCTAAGAACATCCTTTGATGTATACCAGTGATATACCACATCCCTTATTTCCCCCAAAAACTGATTGTTGTAATTTACGAGTGATTTGTCACTAATTTTTGGTAATGACACTGTTGTGATTTTAAAGAGATCGAGACGTCCAGATTTCTATTCTGGACAATCAGTAATGTCCCAATATAATTGCTCATAAAACATCATATATATACCTTAGATATATCTTGAGACCAAATCATAAGCACGATATCGACAATATATTGAGGATATCTACAGGACAACCAAAAGAACAACCAACTGTCAGAATTGAACGCAATAAGTCGAAAACAGAATACAATGTTGTTGTTTTTTTTGGGGGGGGGGGGGTTTATCTTTATTGTAACCCCTTAGAAGTAATAAATATGGCTTCTCTAAGCCAAAATAATCTGAAGGAAAAAGCCAATCAGACTGGAACAAATTTGAGCGGGCTTTTTAAATTTAATTTGAATTTCTACCGATGTAAGTGGAAATTCATGGCTAGGAACAATCATCGAATTGATACAGTTAACGAATTAATTCAAGCCTCAGAATTGATAAGTTGATAAACAAACTTGTTTTACATCAAATAACACGAAAAAATCAGGGAGTTACTCTAATTGTGTTTTAGGAGACCCGATCTCTTTAACCGTTCAACACATGTAGGCTATCGATATTAATCCTCGAGTAGCTTTAAAAATCCAATGATTCTGAAAACCTCACCATTAGGCTACATATATTCTTCATACGGTGTCAGTGTCTTTAGATCATCAATCATGTGGAGCAATATTTTGATTTGAATATTCTGGAGAAGTATTCAAAACATTTGTCCAAGGACGTCTGTCTTTTTATGGTCACTCGGGCAGGAATCTTGGTTTCCCATATTCCTTGTTTCAATTTCTATTGTCCTACTTGGAATAATGAAGTTATTAAGTCTTACTCTGGAATTCATTTCATGTAGAACATATTTTTAGATGCTGTAATCATCGGCTTTCAGTCAATAATGTCGAAACAAACGTGTCAATATGAAACATTTTCTGATTTGCGTGACCTCTACGAAAATATGTTCACGTTCAAAATAATTCAAAATACTGGATGAAATGACTTGTATTTTTATGTATAGGTTAGTTGTTGGATCGGAATATTACCATTGGGGAAAGGCAACAAATAAATTTTCAGTTGATTAATCACCCGATTGCACATCATCCAAACAATGAAATTAAAATGTGGATAAGAATAATGAAACTAAGTGATAATAAGATCCATAACAAGCTGACAAGAAACTTCAATAGCGTACCAACTGAAATAATATCAAATGGAAAAGATGTTTAAGTTGCCAACGAAGAACATGATCTCAGTATCGCCATACACGATTCTGTTGTCTTCTGTTCGTAAAAAGTGTAGATATTCTTAAAAATATGATACTGACACAGGTTTGTGATAAAACCGTCGTCGAAATTCTTCCTACAACCATGGGCTCTACCACCTGCTACAACTCGTGAAATAATGAAAAAAGAAAAATCGTACCTTCGAGGTTACAATATTTAGTTACCGATACGGATCCGTTTCGGTCTATTGAAGAGTGCAGTACCAGTCGGATAGTGCCTATTTGACCTGTTATCATTTTCCAAGTTCGCCCTGTTTCCGAGAAATTGGCGATTTTGACGAAGTCAAATTTAAAATATCGACACTTTGTTCACGTAGAATTTTCAAATAAATAAGGGTTATGTACTGGGAGGTTTTGGATTTGGGGTTTATCCAGAGGGAGATATGCATATCTACCGAAGGTAGATGTGCATATCTCATGAGGGATGAACTTTCTATCCAAACCGACCGTACATAACTGCTTTATCCTATACCAAGTTGAGTTTTCAAGGGCATATGGTCGTTTCAATAGTACAAGGTGTAAAAATAAACAAATCATTCATAAGTCATTTTATTGCATTACCGGAAGCGGGAAGATATGCACCGAAGCGGGAGATATGGCGGGAGATATGGAGGTTCTGGATATGGAAACCTCAAAATCAGGATACGGGATATATCTTACCAACTTATCTCCCTAAAACTCTACTTGGCATAGGATAAATGTTATTATTTGCTGTATGTGCAACAAATATCATCTGAAGAATACGTGTCTTGTGAATTCAAATAATGCCATTTTAAGACCCACCTGATTTGGGAATTTTATTTTAATTCTATTAATCTTTACGACTGTATGATATTTATCTTTAAAAGATGTATGGAAATTTTGGTCAAGGTCATATTTCCAAGGTTAAGGTATCAAAAATATTTCCTCATTTCACTTGTAAAGTAATGTTAATATCTTCTGGGAAACATATCCCTTCTGAGGCCTCTCCCACTCAGCAAGAGAGTACGACGTATGCTTCTTCGTCCGAGCAAGGACGTCCTTGGTCCAAGTCGTAGGCTCGCTATTTAAATCAAACCCTCCCTTCTGAATAAAACATGGTTACCACACTGGATATTTTATAATTCGACATATAATACATTTTTAAAGTCATTCTTGCCTGGTAAACTGCCTGTTCAGATAACATGTTCATCGGCAAAAACTAATAATATAAGTTTAGGGGGAGGGAGTATTTCCCCTAGCACTCTCTATGCAGCTATCTAGCCATTTACTACAACCTGTACATGAACCCTAGAATTATCGCATCCTTGAGATCGAATTAAAGTACAAAATATTAAAAAATCTATAATATGCAGCATGAATTGCATTTGGCAATTTTGAATTTCCACCAATCGACAAAAGTTGCAAGCAAAATTTTCTATAAAGTTAACATAGAGAGCGTGACTAGTCATCATCAAGAGTATTGTCTGTATGTATGTAATAATATAACATTTATGTAAGTAAAGAATCATTAATGAGAGTGGAGACTTGTCATGCGAATATCGAGCGAATAAACGTGTAACCCAGACTCTGCATGAAATATCATTTCAAAGCTTTACTTACATTTACATATGGTTTAAATAAATGGTATAGTTGGATCAAACAAAAGTATGTTTACATAATCCTGGATAGATAAATCAAAACATTCATTCAAAGCTCAGTAAATTGGGATTCATCAAGAGGGTGCAAAATATCGTTCCTTTTCCTTTTGACCCCCACCATATTTAAAGGCCTCTAGACAATTAAATCAAATAATCATTCATCCTTCATCACAGTGTTCATAAAATATTGATTTCAATCTACACATTTCTTGTTTTTTGCTCCAATTCTTAAAAACATTTTTTCATATTTCCATATTGGGGCACTCTCCATTGCTTGTTTACCAACCTCCCTTTCCCCAGTTTGCATTCGACTAATTGCTTATGTATGCGGCTGAGAGATGGCGTTTATGTCAACTCTTTAATTGAAACTAAAACCATTGTCTAAACTACCCATAAACTTTTTTTATTGGTTCATCGATCTACAACATCACCTGTATAAAACGAAAAGAGTTCTGGGATTCAGTTAGAACCACCGGCACCGAATCAATTGAATAATCAAAACATTCAAATACAATGAGTGCTCGCAGTCGACCAAGCAGCGCAACTTCACGCACTGCATGGACCAGTGGCATAGACAACCCCGCTGGCCCAAGCAGCCGACCAGAATCTCGTCAAAGCAACTTCGGAGGGAGCTATGGAGGAGATGGATTCCGCCAAGAGGCTGACCTGAATGCAGCCATGGGGAGTGAATTGGATGTAGTTGAGGAACCTATTGAAACCCGTCCCATCAAGAACGAGGAGCCAGGGTGCATATCCCGTTTCTCAAACGGGGTTAGATGTGAGTATGGTTATTAGCTTTTTGTTTATTAAATCTCAATTAATAAGGATTAATATATTTTGATGGTTGATCGATATCTCCAAAACCCTTTTACGTTCACTTTTAAAAAAGGACCACATAGTGTATGGCGAACAATATCACAGAAATGATGAAAATGTCATTTGGATTATACCGATAGATCTTTTATTAGCAGCCCACCTCCTCAGTTTTTCAAAAATGTTTTCCTCATTTGAAAAAAGAAGATCTCGTTTTTCTCATTTTATGCCTGTATGCCAGTAACCACTGAAAGGGGAATCGTAATTTTATTAATTTTTCTGCAAGCAATAAAGTTGAAAACGACATCTTGGCCCATGTTATTTTCATTTATATATACAGCATCTTTGAATTCCAAGTGGTTATCGGAGCATCTAAAACCTTGGGAACATGTATTATACAATTATACATAGTATCTTGATAATGTTACAAGTACAAAATTGTCAATATTTTTCATAATTTTGGCATTTACCCTAAGACATAATTTAATACTTAAAGAGAAGGATATGAACCGTTTTGTAGACACTGTATATATTTTTATCATCATGATATCTTGACATCACTAAATCGAATGTTTCGAATTCTGTGATTCATTTTTTAATTCTTGGTTTGGTAACGTTTAGATCTCATCATTCTAATTTCATCATAACTTTACCGTGCGAATTCTTGTTTTCAAATATTTCACGTAATTTTATTTTGCGTTCTTATAACTTTTCATCGTCAAACTGTTTTGTGTTTTTAGCACTGTGGGCCACGCGTGATACGGAAGATACGAATGGAGATCCTGAGAAGCATGTTAAGACGACACTTAGGGAGCTTGTTGTCTACTTTGTATTCTTGATCATACTGTGTATTAGTAAGTATCATATATGCGGGGATTATGGGCAGATTATGGGAAATTGACAGAGCCCCCTCCCCCCAGAAAAATTGAAGGAGGAAAAAATGGAGTCCCTATTAGTTACACGTTTCATCTCATTTTGAAAATTATTCCCATGTACACAAACTGCCACTCGAAATATTTAACCTATCACATTTACAACCAACCAAGCACAACCTAGAAGATCACCTATCACAGAGGAAAATAGAACACAACCCAGTGTCAGAATACACAGAGCAACAGCAAATTAGCATATATATATATATCTTTTATTGACTCTTTAGATGTCATGACCTGACATATTAGTCATTACAAAATGAAATTTCACAAAACTACACTACACTACACTAATATATACAATTTATACAAAAAACTTGTTATTTACATATATGTTATAATATACTTTAGGTGTGATGCATCCAAAATGTTAATCTCCAGGCAAGTTTAAGTTTTTGAATGATTTTGTAATAAAACTTCCAACTTGCTTTTGCACATATTTATCTTTTGAAGATATTAACATAATGAATGTATTTTCAGGATCATGTTGATCAACATTAATTTTGCTAGTGATGTTGTCAAACAATATTTTTCTATTTTCTCTATGTAAATGGCATTTAATCATGAAATGAACCTCATTTTCTATTTCCCCACAAAAGTTACATAATCTTTCATATTCAGGTTTTGGCCGTGGTTTTACATGTCTACCCAGTTCTATTTGTAATTTATGTGAACTTAATCTCAGTTGTGAAATTGATTGCCTGTGATTTTTGTTTTGAAGGCTTAAATATTGTTCTCTTTCAAAAGTTGTTTTGAATTTAATGTATGTTCTTAAAACTGGGTATAATTGTAAATCACACTTCCATTTCTCCTTATAATTTTGGTACAATATTTTAGTTAGGTTCTTTTTAAATACATAGTCATCCTCAACAACTTGTTCATTCCAAGTGCTTTGGAGATTACAATCTTTTAAAATATTATGAACCTTACTTGACCAAGTATTTTTAAATCCTAAACTGTACATTTCATAATCATATAGATATGCTTTATAAAGGAGGTTATCTGGACAAAGTTGTATAAGCCGTATCCAATATTTAATAAGATGAATTACAAAGCACAAACTAAGTGGAAAACGACCCAGCTCTCCATAGACTGCTAGGGTTGCAGTTGATGTTTTCACACCAAGGATGCTTTTTAAAAAGGACAGGTGAATAGTTTCAAGTGACTTGATATGTTTTTTACTTGACCATATTTCTGAACCATACATCAAAATTGGTTGGACAAGTGAATCAAATAAATGTAAGGCAACGGATATGGGAATGTCATTAAACTTGTGATATTGTTGCTTTATTTTGAATAAAGCTTTTCTAGATTGTTCTTTAAGATAGCATATTTGTTTATCAAAATTATTTTTACTGTTGAAGATACACCCTAGGTATTTGTAGTCTTCTACACATGCAATCACTTCATCATTGAATTTAAAAGTTTCATCTGATTTAGAGTTAAAAATAATAGCCTTTGTTTTAACTGTGTTGACAACAAGATGATAGTTTCTGCAAAAATCAAAGAGAGAGTCTAGCATAGATTGCGCCCCAGATTTAGAGCTAGCCATTAATACTAAGTCATCAGCCCAAAGTAGATGGTTTAAAGAAACACCTTCAAACTCGATACCATGTTCTGAGGGAAGATAACACAACCTGACTTTCAACCGCCAAAAACACAACCAAATAAATTAACACAACACAATTTGACACAACCCGATAATAAACCAGACACAACCCATTGTGGAATAAACACAACACATTTGTGTACAATCCATCACCAAGGAGGATTGGGTCCCAGGAAACTCGAAACTCGATATTTTCGAACAATGAAAATTTCAAAATGTCGTTATTTTCTGAAATTATAATTGACTATAAATTCAAATAAATTCAAAATAAAAACTTCAAAAGATTCGAACGAATATCCCGATCATTTCTTGTGAGTTTTGGATTTTTTGTTAGAAAATAAGACCAAAATTCACGATTCAAATGTTTAAGTGAACAAAATGGCGGCTGTTTGAATTTTGTATCACACCATGCTCATATATGGGACAGAATATCAATGTTGCAATCTGGGAGCCAATCCTCCTTGACCCAACGCCAAACAATCAAACACAATAAGGCACAACCAATGAAACACAACCAAACTGTAATACCAATATACACAAAAAACGTTATCCGATAAGACACAACGTCAATTAGACAACACAATCGGACACAACCCGATAACTCTTCTGATTGGGCACAATCTGCCCCTCCATCATATCACAATCACAATATAACACAACCCGTTGTTGAATTAACGTGACGCGATGGGACACAAACCAATACCAAACTAACATAACACAACCAGTCATAACAATAAACCATACAAACAACCACCAAGACAAACCGATTGTAAAAATATAACACAACACAATTGGCCAGAGGCCAATATAAACCAACACAACACAGCCGACAAAACCAAGCTAAACACAATCCATTGTTGAATTAACACAACACAATTAGGCACAGCCTATTATAAACCAGCACAACACAGCCGACAAAACCAAACTTAACACAATCCATTGTTGAATTAACACAACACAATTAGGCACAATGTTACTGACCCATCGTAACATGATCAGGCACAACCTAATACACAGCCGATAAAACCAAATCATCAAAACACAATCAGGCATATCTTATAAAACATAACCAAACTGTGATACCAATACACCCAACTAACTTTCTCCAACTAGGGATAACATTGATCACACACGACGATCGGGTTCAATCCGATACTCGATTTGGCACAAACGGCCACCCGACCAGCATTATACAACCGCAACACAACACAACCCATTGTCAAATTAACAAACACAATGGGGAACATGCCTTGTTATTACAGTTATAACGACAATGCAATTTTACCTAGCAACCATTGTGCTTTTGTTTCTCAGTAGGCTATGAAGTCCAATCATCGGATTGATATTTAATAATCTATACTAACATTCCAACAGTTTTCTCGATAATGTTGAGCCAGACATTTTGTTTTATGAAATTATGTTTTGCTGTATACTCACCCCTGGCGGATCTGTGGGGGGAGGCTGGGGGCCCCCACTCCCTTGGGTGGGCCAAGAAAAGAATTTTGCCCGAAAAAGGCCTTACAAGGCCCAACATTTCTAAAGAATATAACAGAACAGAATATCAATGATGTTTTTGACCAGTTAAGGCCAAAATTTAGGGCCATAATTGATCAAAATGATTGATATATTGAAGGTCTCTTTATGTAAAAAAAATTGACAAAAAACTTGTTTTTTCAAGTTTTGAAAAACCTGTTTTGAAACTAAAATGACGTCATTTATATAACGGACGCTGGTTGACAGACATTATAATAAACTTGAACTAATGATATACCAAATTAAAGATAAGTAAATTCCCTATCCACTGGTATATAATATGACATCGTTATTTATTTTTGAAATACGAGTGTCCCATATTTTTGGACCAGCCTGTATATGTATAACATGTCTTTTACCAAAATTGACAAAAATTTCAAGTCATTTTCAAAAAGGATATGGGAAAGAGAGTGACCAGAACTTTATGTTCAACTTCTGTGCATTCATATTGCAGTAACCGTTTTTGTAAAATACTAATACAATACGTATTTCCATGGACTCTACGCCCATGGTATTTCGAAGCAATGTAAAAGAGTTTGAAAGATAACATGTTTGAAATGAAGAGACTAATCCAGTATTCAAAACAACCAAGTAGTAAAATGAAAATGGGTGGTACATTGATGCACTTTATAAGTTCCAAATCATTACACAACATTTCTAAGCTAATATAGAGAAAGCCAAAGAGGCACATAGAAATGAAAACTTTACATCTTCTATTGATCATCACAAAAAATCGGCTAAAACGACTAGAGAATCATCAAGTCATTCTTAGGTAATACTATATAACAAAGAATGATAGTATCTATGATGAAACCACGGACCAAGCTTTGTCCAATAATCTTGACAACTGCAAATGCATTTACGAGATTCTTTGTCTTAAAATCCACACAGATGCAATATTCGACCATTGGCTTCAATTTCCGACAGCGTTTGACGGAGTCCTGCATTAGTTTTTAATTCCAAAGTTCTTATCTGAATAATATAGTAATAGAAGAAACTAGATTCTCTAAGCGCGCTCTTTAATGCAAATTGAATGGCCCTATATGTCAAATGATTCCAGTATACCATTGGAAAGGTGAGAGTACCTGAGCTTCATTTGGAAGTTTGCTTGTTTCAAAGATGAACAATTAACCCTTTCACCACTAAGGTGTAAAATTATCATTTTCAATCAAAAAATGTTTGTCATTTATTCTCTATTTTCAATCGTTATGTCCATAATAAGAAGTTAGTGATCTAATAAACATATCAGTGCATAATATGGATGTTTTTTCTTAGGTTAAGTTAGCATTTTGTCTTTGAAGGAACACTCCAAAATATATGAAAACAATGCCAATATCCTTTTTATATCATATTCATTCATTCGATCATTTTTCATCTGAAAGGGAGAATGTATTTCAACAGTACATTGAACTTATGTTCAATATTTTATGATCGTTTGTGTGACTAAGATTATCTACAGGGTGTCACATAAATATGTATGAATTTTAGTGCAAGTTTACATATTTTTTTCTTTGAGAGGATATGCTTGTTAGAAAGAATAGCAAGTTTCGTGTCCATATCTTAAGTTTTTATCAGTTCTTTCATTGTCGATGGGACCATCATCTGCCACATTGACGACAATCCATGCAAGTTTTCCAACAGTCAAGCATCAAACGGTCTTCTTCATACATTTAGCTTCCTTCCACTACAATTTGATATTTGATATTTGATAAAACACATGGCGCCATAGAATTCGGTTGCAATCCAGTTCTCACAAATCCCTTTCCAAGATTGCCAGATTCTTAACTCTAAGGTCAAAGTAATTATTGAAAACAATCTGTAAAAAACACATGCTGTATGTAATTGATTGACAACGATTTAATGTGAAAATTGGTAGAAATAAGTGATTTGTTGCTAAAATAAGAAAAATGCTAAAATTCAAACTTGGCAACAAACATCTTGAAGCAATATTCAATTCTTTTATTTTACCTCGATTTGACAATGGTGCCATATTCTTTACGGCGCAGCATCTAAATCTCTCCCCTTTATACATTCTTACTTAGCAATCTAAGAATTGTATAGTCTGCATATCTGTTTATTGATATATTGATTATATCAATAAATCAATAAAAATAAGAAATTACATAAGATCAAATTAGGATGTTCAATACACGTGAATTGAAATAAGTAATTACCTCGGGTATTGTGTTTTCCCAGTTGGTGAATTATTTTGACGTCAATCTAACAATACAATGAAAGAGTCGATAAACGATTTATAAAGTAGATTTACAGAACAATAATTTTACATCAATAAAGCAGGGTAAAGGGAACTGCCGACTATTGTTCCTGATTTACAGAATTATTTTTTCTAGATTCATATTTTTGATGTTCTTGCATCGATCCTGTACTTGCGTAAATTAGCATTCTTTGATGCAGATTGAGAATAAATTAAAGATACATTCCTGGCCAGACCATCTTTCTCCTAATATGATAGCTATAACCTTATATATGCTTTCCTAATTTAGCAAAACACGGGAAAATGTTTAATATAGTTAATTTTAATCATTTAAAAATCTGGCGCTCATTTCCAGTAGGATGCCATCTTCTAAGATTTCACTCAGGAAGTGATGTCATCGACTCTCAGCTTTCATAACCTTGCCTATAACAGTATAGGAAAGTAGCACAAAATAACTTCTAGACAAGTGGTCCTTACTTTATGTAAAAATGTTTTCAGAGCTTGTCATCTTAGAAAAAAAGAAAAGACTTTTAGAAGGATCAAATTATAGACAAAATTGAAAAATAATATTCAGCTTGTTTTGTAATTCTTAACAGCTTCTTGCATAATATTATATGCAAAGCAAACTCCAATGCAGTGTCTCGTAAAGACTAGCACTGCATGGGAGTTTGTATGCAAAGTTGAGAGTGGATGACATCACTTCCTGGGTGAAATCTAAAAATATGGCAGCAATCATGTAAGAAGAGATATGGTCTTTGTAATGCAGGTTTGACTCTGCCATCTATAACAGAAAACCACGCGACGTCCATTCAAATCCATGCAAAGCAAGTCTAGGTAGAACTTTAGTGTCGATTAGCTTTTCCTTACATTCACAATTTTCTTGAAATAGGTTTCAGTGGGGAACTTCATTTTCCCAATTATTTTATGGGAATACAAAAGTAAGTATGGTTATTTATTTTATGAAAATTCACCGTCCGGATCTTGAGAAAAAACAAAATGAATTTGAATTCATGAATCAATGGGGAAATATTTATTTTTCGATTGTTTTTAATGAATCGAATTTCTATAGTTAATAAATTGACTTTAAAAAACAAACAGTCCCATTTCTAAAAAACTATGTTTAATTTGCAAAACCTATTAACGGTTCAGAATATAACCATTTGTTTGAAGTTATGCTTCGAAGGTGAAATATCATTCTTTTAGGGGTACAAAGGAATGTGGATTTAAAAAAATGTTTAAACCTAATTTTACCCCTCGAATTGGATGAAAAGTTTAACAAAATGGCTAAAAACGTTTACTAAATCTATGTTCAAATAAAGAATACGATGGCATACAACGTGGGATAGAGACAAAAATATGAATTGAAGACACTTTGGTCAACAAATGGGGCATTGTATATATCGAATGTGCAATTGATCTGCTAACTGACTCCACTAAATAATATTAGCCAGTTATCTACTTGCACTTATATACTTTCAATAACATTAGACATTTATTTCACACGTAGTATCTTCACTGGTCAGTATCAAGCGAAGGTAACAGCCGTCGCATCAAAGATGGCGGACGGGAAGTGTCGAATCAAACTACTTTATACTTGACGCAATGATCTTCTTGTACATAGAATTGACTATAGTATGCTTGTATTTTTTCAGTGACCTTCGGAATGACAAGTACGACGATGTATTACTACACCAAGGTAATGAGCGAACTATTTCTGGATGCCCAATTCCCGGACACCAAGAACACTTTCCGTGGCATGACAACCATGATGGACTTCTGGAGAGTAAGTTTTATTTGAAGAATCTGTTTTATAGAACAGAACAGTTTGTTAATTTAAAGGACTTGAAAAAATCCATGATTTATTTTATTTGTAGTTTGTTGAGACATCTCTGATGGATGGACTGTATTGGGAGACATGGTATAATGACCGCAATGCTACAGACTCTGAGCTTGGTTATATTTTCTATGAGAATAAACTCCTTGGAATTCCCCGTCTCAGACAACTCAAGGTAAGGCATGTGAAACATTAAAATTAAACCTGATTACTATCAGTACTAGTAATGCAACTTGCTCAGAATTTTCCCGTTTTCATTGGTATACATATAGTGGCATAGAAAAGTAGGAAGAAAATAAGTATGTCAGACCAAATATGTATTAAAACACTCATTAGCCTTTAATTTTACTAAAATGGAGCCTCTTTTCAGGTTCTGAACGATTCCTGCGTTGTACACGAAGACTTCAAGAAAGATATCACTCAGTGTTATGACAACTATGCTGAGAGTATTGAAGATAAGAACCCATTTGGCAGGATGAATGGCTCTGCGTAAGTTCACAAATAAGCTTCTTTTTATATATGACAATGCGACTCATAAATTGCATTTCCCCCTGTGTTATGAACTGCTATCTTAAAGGCCCGGTCACACCGCCTAAACGTTGCTGGAGCGTTCCTTGAACGTTGAAAAAAATCATCAACGCTCGTAAACGTTCACCACCGTTTAACAAAAGTTGGCATCCGTTAAAGCAACGCTGTAAACGCTCGGCCAACGCGGATGTTTCTCGAGTGGCCATCCTAACGCTCCAAAGTTTTGAGCTGCTCAAAATATTGCGAGCGTTGAAAAAGGGACAATTTTACGCCCTGGCAAAGTTTATCACCGCTCCACCAACGCCCAGTCAAAGTTTGGCACCGCTAGACGCAAGTTCGTGGACGCTTGAATCCGCTAGACCAACGCAGAAATCTTAAACGCTGGACCACCGCTGCTTCGCCAGTGTTGCCCGGGCGGCGATTAAACGTTGCACAAACGTCGGTGGAGCGGTTGTTAGCGTTTTATCAGCGTACATGGGGTTGTTGGAACGGTGTCGGACGTTGTCGCAGCGTTCCATGGCGGCGATGAACTTTGCTTTGGCGTTGGTATAGAGGTGTCGGAGCGGGACCAGAATTTGGCTATAAATTATTCAACTGAATAGATCCGTTCAGCTCAGTAGTCAAACGCGATATGCTGCTAAACCAACGCTGCTGCTATTTATACCCCCGCCGAGGCAACGCTCTCATGCGCAGAACGCCGCTATTCCAACGCTCGCATTACCGCTAAACAAATGCTAGCTACCGCTCGCAACCGCTTAACCAACGCTAAAGCAACGCCGGCTGCAGCGGTGCACCGCTAAGCCAACGCCCGTGTTTTTGTTTTTTTCCCCATTTTGTGCGCGTTGACGAGCGTTGATGAATTTTTTCAACGTTCAAGGAACGCTCCAGCAACGTCCGGGCGGTGTGACCGGGCCTATACAATATCTGTCATCCTCAAAAATGTCCTACAATATATGAATTGCATTCTAGATGGACCTATAATACTGAAGCTGAACTAGATGGTTCAGGTCACACTGGTCTCATAGAGACCTATGGAGGTGGTGGTTTCATTGCGAACTTGGCACGGAACAAAGCAGACTCTTTGGAAATTCTGGAGGATCTGAGGGAGAACCTTTGGTTGGATCGTGGTACCAGAGCTGTGTTCATAGACTTCACTGTCTATAATGCCAACATTAACCTGTTCTGCGTCGTTCGGTAATTTTTCTCTTAAATTATCTTTCATTTTCCAGTCTCTGTTTTCACTGTATTTGGTTTGTGCCAACGTGTTTGATTCAACTTAAATGAAAATAATTTACAATGTTTTTCAATGTTGATGCATCTTTATATCATGCACCAATAAAGTAATAAAGCAAGTAATTTTTCTATTCTAGCCTCGTCGTTGAATTCCCTCCCACAGGAGGTGCCATCCCACAATCCAGTTTCAGAACAGTCAAATTGATCCGATATGTCTCTGTCTCAGATTTCTTTGTGTTGGCCTGTGAATGCATCTTTGCTCTGTTCATTCTGTACTACAGCATTGAGGAGATTATTGAGGTTCGTGTCTGACAAACTATTTTTTTGCATTGCTGTTGCTGAAAAAATAAATGTAAAACATACAGTACCCGGTATTGAAAATAATATGCCTTTGTTACAAGTATTCTGCTTGAATTAAGTATTCTTCTTGAATTTATTTATATAGCCTATGTTTCACATGTTTTAGATCAAGCGACACAGACTGTCTTACTTCAAGAAGGTCTGGAACATCCTGGACATCCTTGTCATCTTCATCTCCATTGTGTGCATCGCATTCAACGTCTACAGGACCCTTGCTGTTGGAAATATGCTTTCTTCCCTGCTTGACTCACCTGATAAGTTCCCAGACTTCGAGTTCTTGAGTTACTGGCAAGTGCAGTTCAACAGCGCTGTTGCCATCGGTGTCTTCTTGGCCTGGATCAAGGTTCGTAGTCTCTGATGGTTGTAGCTATTGTGCATAGTGAAACGTCCAAATTTAAAGTTTTTGATGATGAAAATTGGGAATTGGCCAAAATCATCACACACGATATTAAAAAAGTACACGAAATGTTTTTGGAATTTCCTTTTAGCCAATTCAGTATCCCTGTTTTTAATGATGCCACATTGAACCGTATTGTTTCTCAGTTCTATGGTTACAGAATTTAAATACAGAAAATACATGCTGAACCAACCCCTTGTGACCATGATTTCCTCATTGCTGATAAGGCTGATTTCTCAAATACATACCTTAATCTATTTATCCTACTCCAGGTGTTCAAATACATCAGCTTCAACAAGACAATGACCCAGCTCTCCTCCACCCTGGCTCGATGCAGCAAGGACCTGGCCGGATTCGCCATCATGTTCTTCATTGTCTTCTTCGCTTTCGCTCAGCTTGGTTACCTTCTCTTTGGTACTCAGGTCGGAGATTTCAGCTCCTTCGGAAATGCCATGTTAGTATCCATGATTATATTTGTTACAGATAGAACGAGAGCTATATATAGCAGAATCTTTTGGGCTGATACCATTCCTCAAATGATTTTAAGTGTTAATTTTTATGTTGATACCCACATATATTGTTTTTTGAACGAGGCCAACCCAAAAGACTCAAGAGGCACAGATTTCTGCGCCTCTTGAATCTTGAGAGGCACAGAGACGGTTGGTAAAAAAGAACACATTGATTGATCAGTTCTAAATGTTGCTTACATTTTAATGATTTCAGCTTCACTTTGTTCCGTATCATCCTTGGTGACTTCAACTTTCATGAGCTGGAAAATGCCCACCGTATCCTTGGACCCGCCTACTTCCTCTTGTACGTGTTCTTCGTGTTCTTTGTTCTCTTGAATATGTTCTTGGCCATCATTAATGACACCTACTCCGAAGTGAAAGCTGACATCGCCAATCAGAAGAACGAGTTTGAAATGGGTGATTATCTCAAGAAAGTAAGTATTTTGGTTTAAATAATTAAGTTTTGCTTGTATTTAGGAAAGTGGAGTGAAATAATGAATAGATGAAATAATGAATGGATTGTTTTTAGCTCAAATATAAGTGGGAAAATCCTTCATCTTTGTTAGTATGGGCTAAAAGATTCCTTTGAAAGTAAAAATCAATAAATAGCATGACTTTCTTTCAGGGCTATTCCAAGATGATGGACAAACTCAGCTTCAAGCGTGACAAGATCATTGACATCCAGAGAGCCCTCGTCACAGCTGACATCAACAATGACAAACAATTGGACTTTGATGAATGGCGTCAGGATCTCAAGACGTAAGAATGAAGAAAGTTTGAGGAAATTAACATTGGAATGAATGAAAATATTGCATTTTTATAGAGAATTCCTAGTATATTTTATAAACAAGAAAAGTAAAATTGCAGATGAGGGTTTAATGAATGCGTTTAATTTTAGTCGTGGTTATGCCGATGCTGAAATTGAGGCTGTGTTTGCGAAATATGATCTGGATGGAGACAGAGTTCTCGATGAAGCGGAGCAGAGGAAAATGCAGGCAGATCTGGAAGGACAAAAGGTAACCATTCTTAGATAATCAATTTAGTGGCAAAGAGGGTTAAGCATAGCATTTGCATTTGGGAAAACAGTATATGCATGAATGTTTGTAGATTTGGAAATTAGTCTGGATGTAGAGCCGATACAGGTGGAAATACTCATTATATATAAACTTTTTAAGCATTTTCTGTTTATACATGATCATGTCCACATACAAAAACTTTTTTGATGTCCACCGGTCATCCCCGAGGATTTTTTTGGCAACCATTTTGAATTTTCTTATTAAGTTCAAAATGGCCGCCAGTCAGGCAATTAATTTTGCGACTAATTCGTGAAAATAACAAATTAATTTCCTACAAAAAACACAATACAATACCAAACACCAACATTTGATAATGAGCCGTTTCTTCGGCCTTTGGAATTGATTTCTCAGCTGGTATGATCAAAATATTATCTACATAATAACGATGCTGTTTCTTAAGGGTCATTCTTTGTTGCTGTATTCTTGCTATTTTACTTTCGGGAAAAGTTGAGCAAGTGTTGTTTATGAGAAAGGTACATCTTGAAAATCTATGCATATAAGTCAATATGTTTACTTTTTTCTTACAGGAGCAACTGGACAAGGAATTTGAAGAACTGGAAGAAAAAACACAAAACAAACGCCAGGATGGTGCAAGGGACGGTGGAGTCAGCTTTGGCGAGGACAGCGGTGAAGATTCAGATGATGAAGAAAGTGGCACTAAATCATCCCGAAGGGGACGTGTGGTCAACGGTGTATCATACGAAGAATTCACAGTCCTGTCCAGGCGGGTGGACAGAATGGAACACAGTATAGGCAGCATAGTCTCAAAAATAGACGCTGTCTTAATCAAGCTAGAAGCTATGGAAAGAGCAAAATTAAAAAGAAAAGACACAATGGGAAAAATATTAGATAGTATAACGGAGGTATGATATAGTCTTACAGATAAAAAATAGTTTTACAAATTGACTAAATGGGTTTATTTACCTAATACATATCTTAATTATCTATGAATGTCTTGAAATCACTTTTAATCACTATATTTATAATAGTTCTTATCAATTTACCTTCAGGCGGATGGTTACACAGATGAGGCAAAAAGAGACCAAATGGAAAAACTAGTTCGAGAAGAACTTGAAAGATGGGATAGTGAGCCAGCTTTAGGTGGGGGTCCTAGGGGAACGTCACCCACAGGCAGCAATGGCCAGGGGAGTGGCACTAGTAGGGCAAGAAGCGCCAGACCAAGTTCTGGCAATCAGGTAACAAGAAATATGCGTGAATGGGTCTGATCATAACATAATGGAGAGGTTAAGCTAACGATGTTTTTCACAACGTAACCGTGAACGCAAAGTACAAAAATTAACAAAGGAATGTATCGAGCGCTCATAGTTTTATGCGCGCTTAGTCTACTTCAGATACTCTTTCAGCTTCAGAGTTTCGGGTTTAGAACGGGAGATTTGAATATTTGACGTTGGGTCAACGGGAACCATTTTACTCGTGTCTATTGAACACTATGATGTCAATTTTGATTTCGATGTACAGTTGAATTCTTGCTGAACACGATGATGTATGTCATGCATGATTTAGCGCCAAAAATCTTACGAAACGAGCTCGTTTAAAATATGTATTAGAAAACCAGCCATAAAACCGCATCAATGACATACTATAGAATCATTACACGCTATGGTGTAGTCTAAACAAACACTGGATTTGAACGGCTATTTATATGAGAAGGCTACATGAATTTGTATATGGTCGAGTGATACGTACAGGTTCAGTTTCGATTATATATGCAAAGCTTAACCTCTCCATTAATAAATAAATTGTACACATTACTGAATACATGGAATCACCCTTTCATGATTCCAAAGCTACCTGACTCAACGTAGTCAAATTGCGATTTCTAATGGCTTTAAACCAGAACAAACTTCACTAGCTCATGGAGTCCCACAAGGAGCACTAATTCACGGAGTCCTTCAAGGATCAGTTCTTGGTCCAATCTTATTTCTTCTCTACATAAATAACCTTTATAAATGTTTATGCATTCTGGTGCCAGTATTTGTCATGTATTTTGTATGTGCATATATCTGTTGCCCTTTATATTTTTTTCTAAATAAATAAATAATTAATAAAAATCTGAAATTACAAATATAATGGCCAACTAACTCAGAATGTTCAAGACAATTTTTTCACATGTTACATTCAAATTTCTTAATGTTTTTGCTTAAAAATGTTGTCCTGAAAATCTAAAATTATGTTTTTATTCCCCAACTATTGCAGAATGTTTAAGACTGGTAAATTTTCATATATTAGATTTGAATTTCTTATCTTTGATGCATTCAAATGTTGTCTGAGTCCTGCTTGAATTGGAATGAAGACCAACTGATTTCTTAAAATGTTCATCAAATTTCCGTTTGTTGTTTTCTTGTTGTGTTAACAATTAAGGCCATTGCATATGGAGTCCTGTTTTGCATTTTACCAGTATAGTTGCCTACGGTTAGTTTCACAATATAAAGTAACAGATCTGCTGTCAATTGTCCTTTCTCAGATTAAAAGTGTATTTAAAAATAGACAATTAAAATGGAGATCTAGTTTACTGTATTTGGGAAATCAGCAACAGATTAACCGAAGATTTCCCCTTATAAAACCAATTTTATTCAAAGTTGCCATGTTGAACAACTATACCATCTATCGCAATTGCCTTAATTGTGTTTTGTTAGTATTTGTAGATATTGCGATTACAGTGCACTGTTTTTAAACTCTTTCAATTTCATTATTTATGTTTTTACAGAAGTCATTTAGAAATTATAATTATTTACAATTTTTGAAAATGCAAAAATTAAATGCATACAAACAGGTGACATCATGATTGCTATGTCAAGTTTGACACATTGTCAAATTGTGGTGTCATATTTGGTCACTTGTTATGTGCTTTACCTACACTAGGCACCTCATTAAGCATTATAGTGTGAACACACAAACTTGTGTATTTTTATCACTTGAAGATTGTAAGTTTAAAATGATAGTATGCAGAATGGGCAAAATCTGAAACACCAAATCACATGAAAAACAATAAAGTTATTAACCTATATTCTGGCCACTCAAGATTTAAATAAATGATATTGATGATAACCTTGGAAATGGCTGACTGGAATTATTATTTTGATAACATCTTTCCAGAATTTTTGACTTGCCTTCATCAGAGCTTGATGAATTATATCAATGTAAACTTGTTCTCGCTACCGTACCTTAGTCGATGCCAATTACTCTGTACGAGGGGCCCCTTTGAAGATCTCCTACGCACGACTCCTTATAGTATTACATTATAGCTCAGTGTGTTTTTCAGTCTTTTCCCTGGCTTCTCAAAATGTGAACTGCCTCTTTTCTTCTCATAGGTAATTATTGGCTTATTATTGGCTCTATTTGTATGGCTCAACTGATTTGCAATATTCTTATTCAAATTACATCCATTAGAGAATTCTTGCAAATCAGTTGTGCAAATAGCAATATTACTACATGACATCAGGTACAACTTAGGTCATATTTTACTAATTTACACCATTGCTAAAAAAATTTTTTTTTCATTTCATGGTTTTTATAGTATACTCATTAAAAGCATATTAATATGTAGTATGTCAATTACATTGACATGAACACACGATCAACAAATTACTCAGACAGACCAACTCTACCAAGCAAGAAGAAACCAAAGGACCAGAAGGCATCCAATACATCTACAGGCATGGCAGAAAAAAGTGAACCCTTAGATGAAATTGGTTTGGAAGATGTTCCACCTGACAACGCTGAAGATGCAGAACCAGGTGCCATACCTAGGTCATCAAAAGGAATGCTGGGTGCAGGAGTTACCACTGAAACTACAATGATGATGAAATACATGATGGAGATGTTTAATAAGATGGAACAATCTCACACAGAAGAAAGATATCGCCTTGAAGAAATAAGGGCACAAGAGCGGAGAGAAGAAAGAGAGGAACAAAGAAAACTCATCGAGGAAATCCGCAGCAATAAAAAGGATGAAGAAAAACGTCCAAAGGATCCATTTATCACAAAGTTAAAAGAAACTGACGATATTGAAGACTTTTTAACTGTATTCGAAAGGACTGCTACAATGTGCAAGTGGAAAAAGGAACACTGGACACTCAAGCTTGCACCTTCACTCTCAGGAAAAGCTCAAGCAGCTTATGTTGGAATACCAGCAGAAGAAGCTAGTGATTATGACACTGTCAAGACAGCTATTTTAAAAAGATATGCCATAAATGAAGAGTCATATAGAACACGCTTCAGGAAACTACATAGACCAAGTGATGAGGGAGTCAAAGCCTTTTCAGTAAGACTGTCAGATACCTTCGACAAATGGACAAAAGAGGCTAAAACTAGGGATCAGCTGAAAGACCTCATCATAAAGGAACAATTTATCAGCACTCTCCCTAATGATATACAAATATGGGTGAAGCAGAATGACTGTAAGACTACAGAAGAAGTTGTCAAATTAGCTGACAGTTATATGGAAGCGAGAAACTATAGCTTGGAAGACAATGACAAGAATAAACATAGAAAGTTTGGAAATAAACGAAATCAACAAAGAAACCAAGAAAGTGACTCAAAGTCTGTTGAACAAACTAGCAACAGTGAGGAGACACTCAAGAAGATCAAAGAAAACTCGAAGTGCTTCCGTTGTGGCGACAAAGGGCATTATTCGACCGAATGTACCAGCGATAAAGCAGTTACGAGATGTGAAAAATGCAAGAATATAGGACACGTATCATCTCAGTGTAACACAGACTTGTCTCACTACTGTGAATTTTGTAAAACCTTTGGACACGTCACAAGTAAATGTCGTAGAAAAGGCAAGGAAAGTTACCACTGTAAAGCTAAGACTGATATCTTTTCTCAATATAACAATAGTGAGGATGGAACGGTACAAGGATTTTTGAATGACCAGGAAGTCACACTTCTCATAGATACGGGAAGCTGTAAAACAATTATTCATCAAGACTTGGTTAGTCCAGACAAAATTTCATCAACCGATGAAGTAACAATGACGTGTGTCCATGGTGATCATAAAGCCTATCCTACAACAGATGTTGATTTTTCCATTGGTGGTGAAACATTTCATGTTAAAGCTGTGGTGTCAGATTCTGTGCCTACTCCTATATTACTAGGACAAGATGTCTTAAAACAACTAGACAGAGATAAGATGAACAGATACATCTACAAGAAAACATCTAAGCCAGCTTTTGTCACAACACGAAAACAATGGAAACAGCAGATAGAAGAAGAAAGCAACAACAAGATGGTGGACAGCAAATCTGAAGTGAAGTTAATTACACCCGAGGATGATGCGAGGGATATTGCAACAAATGTTATGATGGATGATGATACAATGTCTAATGACAGAGATTACGATGGAAAGACAGACATGTTGCAGAATAGTCCTACATTAGCAAATACGGAGCAAAATGATGTAAAAACAGCAGATGATAAAGGTCAACCATTAAAGTTTGATGACTCCATATTTGAACAGAAAAATGTTGAGAAAATCGTAAAGACAAGGTTGCAAAGAAGAAGCGATAAGAAGAAGTATAGAAATACTCACCAAGAACAAGACCATATAAAGTTAGATGCAGTAGGAGTAGATGATTTAAAGGAATTGCAGGACAGAGATTCTACTTTAAGAGACATCAGAAAACAAATATTGATTTCAACAGATACAAACAGAGTGACACCATACTTCATCAAGAAGGAAGGTATTATCTACAGGATTACAAGAAATGCTGTTGATGAACTGATTGAGCAAATAGTAATCCCAAAAGGTTGCAGAAAACAAATACTAGAGATAGCTCATACCATACCATTAGCAGGACATCTGGGTGTACAAAAAACAACCAATAGGATAATCCGAAGATTCTTCTGGCCAGGTATCTTCAAGGATGTCAAATTGTATTGTAAGTCATGTGACAATTGCCAACGAGTCGCGAGAAAAAGAGATGTTGACAAAGCTCCATTGATTCCCTTACCAGTTGTTAGTGTACCATTCCAGAAAATTGCTATGGACATTGTTGGGCCTTTCATACGCTCTTTAAAAGGAAACAAGTACATACTTTGTATTGGTGACTATGGGACCAGATACCCAGAAGCTATCCCTATGAAGAATACAGATGCAAAGAAGATAGCGAATGAATTGATCAATGTTTTCTCTAGAGTAGGAATCGCAGAAGAAATCTTGACGGACCAGGGAACAAATTTCATGTCCAAACTACTGAAGGAAGTGTACAAATTACTGGGTGTGACAGGTATCAAATGTACCCCTTACCATCAGCAAACAGATGGGCAAGTTGAGCGATTCAATGGCACACTCATTAACATGCTTCGCAAGTTTGTTTCATCTGAGCCTAAACTATGGGACGTGTATTTACCATATGTTATGTTTGCATACAGAGAGGTACCAAACAGCTCAACAGGTTTTTCACCCTTTGAACTTCTGTATGGGCGAGATGTAAGAGGACCCTTAGATGTTGTTAAAGAAAAATGGGAAGCCTCAAAAGATAGCCCCCCAAGTGTTGTAGAATATGTAATCAACATGAGAGATAGACTGACCTCCCTACAATCACTTGCAGAAGAAAATGCTAAAGAAGCTAAGACAACACAAAAACAGTACTATGATGAAAAAAGCAGACAAGTCAGTCTCATACCAGGAGATGAAGTTCTTCTGTTATTGCCGTCAAGTGATAACAAGCTAGAGGCACAATGGCAAGGGCCATACAAAGTTCTACATCGTCATGGTAAAGTGAACTATGAAATACAAATATCCAAAACCAAGACCAAGACATATCATATTAATCTTCTGAGAAAATATCATGATAGAGATAACTACTGTTTCATCCTTACTGAAGAAGATGACAGTGATTCGGAAGACAGCATGACTAATGCATTTACAAATCTACATACTACTGATGTGGAAGACGGAGATACAGAAACGAATAAGTTCAAGTACAAAATGAATCCAGAGATGACAGATGACCAAAGAAGTCAATTTGATGCTCTTCTGACTAGCTATGAAGATGTTTTAACTAACCATCCAGGCAGAACAGATCTTATCAAGCATCATGTAGACACAGGCGATGAAAAGTCATGCAGACAACCAAATTACAGAATTCCACAAAGTCAGCTGAAAGTAGTCAAAGAAGAAATAGATTACATGCTGAAAGAGGGATTTATAGAACCATCCAAGAGCGAGTGGATATCAAACATTGTAATGATTCCTAAGAAGGACAAAACAATGAGGCTGTGTATTGATTTTCGCTATTTGAACTCAGTTTCACGGTTTGACCACTACTTGATGCCTAGAATTGATGACATTCTAGATAAATTACCCAAAGCAAAATGGATAACAGTCTGTGACTTAAGTAGAGGTTTCTGGCAAATTCCTCTCACAGAAGACAGCAAAGAAAAGTGTGCATTTCGGACCCCATGGGGAATATACCAATTTGCAGTAATGCCATTTGGACTTCATGGTGCTCCAGCAACATTCCAACGTATGGTTGATGAACTGATTAGAGGTGCTGAAGAATACATAGCAGCCTACATGGATGACATTTTGATCTTTAGTGAATCATTTGAATGTCATGTTGTTCATGTAGAAGAATTAATGAGAAGACTACGGAAGCATCATTTGACAGTAAAACCTTCAAAGTGCCAGTTTGCCTTTCATGAGGTTGTTTACTGCGGACACATGGTAGGAGGAGGCAAGGTTACTCCTAAGCCTAGTGCAATTGAAGCTATTGAAAGATTCAGCAGACCTGATACAAAATCTTTATTGAAGACTTTCCTAGGCATGACGGGCTACTACCGAAGATTCGTGGATGACTATGCAACAAAATCATATCCACTTACAGAACTCACAAAAAGACAAATACCGAAGAATATACCATGGGATGATAAGGCTGAACAGTCTTACCATTTGTTGAAGAAGGAATTGTGTGAGTACCCAGTGTTGAGATGTCCAGTATTTGAACTACCATTCCTACTACAAACTGACGCATCCGATTATGGGATAAGTGGCATTCTTTCCCAAGTATTTGGTGATGGTGAGCATCCAGTGATGTATTTAAGTAGAAAAATGATGCCCAGAGAGATGAACTACTCAGTGATAGAAAAGGAGTGTCTAGCCATGAAATGGGCAATAGAGCAGTTGAACTACTACTTACTAGGCAGAGAGTTTGTTGTTATGACAGACCACAACCCACTTGTATGGCTTAAGACCATGAAGAATACAAATCCTAGACTTATGAGATGGGCACTAGGATTGCAACAATATAGATTCAAAATAATACACAGACCCGGAAGTGCAAATAAGAATGCAGATGCATTATCAAGGCTATGAATGACTAAAATAAAACAATAAAAAGTGACAAGTGAATATCATAACAATAACTTAAAGAGTCAGAATTGAAAGTGACGTGTAAATAAGTAATTAAATGATTTTAACTTTTAAAGGAAAAATCATCCTTCTTACGTCATGTATAGTTTGGAAAGGAGAATTTATCCTTAAAGATGAGACACACAGTTTTAATATGTGACTATTTTTATAAAGAAAAAAAACAAAGAGTAAAAACAGTCAAAAGAAAGGGGGAAGATGTGATGAACAAGTGATGTACATAAGTTAGCATTTGTATAACATATAGATGGCGAACAATTATTTGAGAAATATTTCAATAGAGCCAATAATAAGCCAATAATTACCTATGAGAAGAAAAGAGGCAGTTCACATTTTGAGAAGCCAGGGAAAAGACTGAAAAACACACTGAGCTATAATGTAATACTATAAGGAGTCGTGCGTAGGAGATCTTCAAAGGGGCCCCTCGTACAGAGTAATCGGCATCGACTAAGGTACGGTAGCGAGAACAAGTTTACAATCAACTTCATTAAACTTTTGTTTTACTTTCTTTCAGGACATATTGGAGAGAATAAACAACAGTAACATATAACTGCAGATATAATAGCCAATTACAGGAAAAGACACTATAACACTAGACTATAGAAAAAAACTGTTTAAAAAGTTTAAAATATTTATTAAAGTTACATAGGTTATTATTATTATATCAAAACCCTTTCATCTGTCATTTTGTTATATATTTCCCCTTACATTAATGTATATTTTTGGAGAGAAGTTTATTTTATTACTATGATAGACACATAGATGTGTGATGTGTTCGGGGCTTGGTAAATCAATTTCTAGACATCAAAATAAACAGAGTAAACTTGAGAATTACTGTACTCCCGCTTAATATCGCAAGTTTTAATTTCGCGAATTTTGAGAAAACACGATTTGAGGGCTATTACATTTCGTGAATTTCACTAAGTATACCTACTACTATGTCATCTTGGTCAACGACATGCTGCACATTAACCTCAATTACATCGTAATTTTTTTTATTTGATCTTATATTAGCCACTGCAACAGACATTATTACTTAGTATCCCATTTATCGCCTAATAACATCTGACAAACATTTTACAAAACACAAAATGCAATAGAGTCCCAGGTAATACAAAATTTCCTAAATCCCCAGGAATTTAATTGACTATTTCGCGAAGATTAATAATCGCGAAACTAAATCGCACGCTAAAAATACCAGGAGTACGGTAATTGAAAACAAATCATATCTTGTTTTAAACTGGTGGTTCTATTAAAATAAGACAATGATTTTAAACAATGTACTGAAAAGTTCATAAATGATGTGAAATATTGATATAGGTTTTTGATTTACCCAGTCCCGTTTAACAAGGTATAAAAGTATTTGGATCCATGGGTATACTTGCACAGTTGCATTACATTATGAGCTTGTTAGGTTGTTGCAGTCATTTCCTCATTTATGTTACACATTATACATGCATTTTAGATTTCTGACCCTTTAAAAATGCCATCTGGAAATTAAATGAGACAATTAACTGAACTGGCATTTATTTTCCTATAACTACTGTCTAACATACCAACTAAACCTATAAAATTCTAACAGCATAATTTGCTTAAAATATAAAAGGATGTCTTTCCAGCGGATTTTGAGATATTACATTTCCAGTTGCATATTAGTAAAAAAGGATAAATACCAATGTCTCAAATCAAAATTTTACTTGATGATTGAACACACGAGACTGGTGCTTTGTGTTGGTTGGATGCAACCCCATGGGAATATTTGCTGATATGTTTCGTATTTTATAGTAGAATTATCGAAATCTTGTTTTACACAATGATCACTGACAGATTGAAAGAAATTTCTTTCTATAAAGTCAAGATATGAGAAATATTCCATGGGGTTCGAGAAGCTCATAATTTTTGACACATTGTGACATTTTAAGATTATGAGATTTTACTCTTTTTCGCTCTTAATTATATTTTGTTGCATTTTATTTTAGTCCCTATATACTTGGTGATCTATGGATTAAAGATCTGATTTACCTCCTCAACTAAAGATCTGATTGTTATTAACCCTTGTTATCCTGGACTATAAAACATAGAACTGCTGATATGGTGTATTTCATATACAAGTTCTCTGTAAGTTTTTTCAAAAACTTCAGTATTGAATAATTGAATCACATAATGGCTATTATCCATCCTTGCCTTCATGGGGAATATGTATATGAAACATTCTGTAAAATTTCTTTGAAGTAACTTGCCATAAAAGTATTCATGAATGTGTGAAACTTTAGAAGTTGAAGTTTTTTTCCCCCAAAAAGCCACAATGGGCATATTTTTTCAAAAAATTTCAACAAATTTTTTATTCAATGCTGCCAATATTCATCTTGTATTTTTGACTGAGTTAATATGTATTGGTGATAGCATCATATGTCATTTGATTATTAAATGTGACTGTTGTGAATATTTTGCGTTGGTTTCCCCCAAATCCCGACAGTGAACACTGCTGATCTTTTGATGTGTCTTATATATAATGGGAAATAATCTCATATTTTTCATGGATTTCATATGAAAATCTGTCTGAAGCAAATTAGCTCATGACGTTGATAGACCATATGTAAGCATGATAAGTATAAAGTTCAATAGGTGCGTTCTTAGGTCCTTTTTGATACATACACACCTTTGTAACAGTTTATGGCGCACAGGAGATGACCAAATGCCAGAACATGGTATATGCTTTGAAAGAGGCATTCTTTTGTCATATTGTTGCAAATAGAAAATATTTTTATTTTCTGGAATATGATTTACTATTTGCATATCAAAAGGTGTGTATTTGATGAAAGAGTTAATTGAGATTTTATGATTTAGATTCAAGCGTGTGTAAAATGATCAAATTATGTGCTTTGAAATGTCAGGAAGAAGTGTGCAATGTTTTTGTTGGTGTTGAAAAACAAGTTCCTTTTCTGGAGTGTACAATAGATAGGATAACAAGGGATAAATATAATTGTAACATGAGCGATATAAACACATATGTGATATCAAACATATCCCTCAATGAGTTGGAAATAACCTCATTGGTGTGAAAAAGCAGAAGATTTGCTCCATAGAACCTCAGTGAAACATACTCACGAAACGTGTAAATGTAAATGGTCTCCTTTTATGGCAATATTGCATGTCACCGCTTCCAACAAACTTACAGCATTTTTGCTGTTTGCGCTTCTTAATATCGTGAAACGCAATATTACTAATGAAAAATATAGTTCTGAGAGAAGGAAAGAAAATATAATCTTACTGCTGAAATATACATCCGTCCTATTGTAAGAACTTCAGCTAAAATATTAATAAGATCTTTTACTCAATAACAAAGCCAATTTAGCAGTATGAGTATATGAACAGATAGGATGAACAGATAAGTGTATTTACCAATAGATATTTTCAAAGTTATCTCTCCATGTAAATCGTACTTGTAATCATGGCATCACAAAGTATCCGAGCACGGAGCATTCTTCTGCAAGTATTAACCTCAGAGACTATATTTTGTGGACCAAACCTCAAGTACACGATGTTTATTAGGGAATAGTTTTCTCTATGATGTATGGTTTATTTACCTTTCAATTAAATAAAGCTAACTAAAGCACTTAATCTTTTTGTTGTTGTTGACATTGATAGATAAGTCATTACAGTGAAACCTGTCTACAGTGAATATCCATAGAGTCACAAAAATGCGTTCAGTCTATGTCAGTAGGTTGGCATTAACTACAGAAATCAGTAGAGTATATGCTGAGAAAAAGTGTTCACTAGAAAATCGCCTGTTGCCTGCTGCTAATGAAACCCCTACATTGAAGGTATATTTTTACATAAATATGAAAAAAGCCAAGTTGAAAAGAACATTACATTAAATTATAAGACTCTATCCAAACGTTTATAATTATTAGTTATAGCAACCATTATATCAAGATATTGGCAGGCTACTAATACTAAGGGATGTCCCTTTAAATATAGATGGATCACAAAAAAGCTGATCTTCTCTTATATTATTTATTTTTTCAGCACTTAAGTTTCATACATTTTTAGCATTTCATAGAATCTCACCTCCTACGACCTGATTTTTTATTTGTGACTTTTTTGCCCCTTTTCACTCGAGTACCAAGTTTATTTTTCTTGTTTACATCATTTTTCTTATGATTGTCTCTGCTGAATTTTTTCATTCCCTGAACCTTTTCTGTGTTTTTATTAGATTCCCTTTTCTGTTTTTTAGTCCTGTCATCAGTAGTTTCTAATTTCTTCTTCTTATATGGGAGATAATTGTCCCTCAATGAGCTTCCAGCTTGCCTCTTCCTTGGTTGTTTATTATTCATAGGAAATAATTCTGGAAGAACATATCAGAAGAATGGCATTTGAGGCATTTCTCAGGTATTTGGGGCATTTCTCAGGACAAAATCCATTGCAAAATGGCTCTGTAATTAGCTTTTGATGAACAAATAATTCTGCCTTTAAAGAAAATGAGTTATCAACTTTACATATTGGTATATCAGCTAGCCTGTATCAAAAGTATCTAACAATGACCAGAGGACTGCTTTCTTTTATAGAAAATTATGTGAACTTGAACCAACATTTGGCGATAAAGATGAACACTTTACATTTAAACATCAATACTTGCAGTGTTAGAACTCTAAAAGGCAGATAAAGGAACATATTAAAATCTATGGAAATATGGTCTTTATTGTTTGTCTTACCTGGATCAGGAGCCTCCCCAACCTCCTGTTTGAAGTACTCAGCATCTCCTATACTGTCGTCAGATTCCATACCACTATCTGCTGCAAGTATGAACATCTTTTAGTAAAATTGTACAGTTGCTTTTGATAAGTAGGGATAATATGGATTTTGTAAATTATGCAACATAAAAAATGTGGAGTATGCAATATGAAATAGGGAGGGATATGTAAGATGAAATATGTGGGGTTATACAATATATATTATGAAATATGTGGCGCATGCAACATGAAATATCTAGGGAATGCATCATGATTTCAAAAGATATGCAAGATGAAATTTATGGGCTTATGCATAATGAAATATGTGTGGAATATGAAAAAAGAAATATGTGGCCCATGCAACATGAAATATCTAGCGAATGCAACATGATTTCAATACTTGTGGAGATACTTGTGGTATGCAATATAAAATATGACATGAAATATATGGAATATTCAACACGGCATATAATATGGGTATGAAACATGATAATTCTGGGTATTTCAACAATAATATGGGTATGCAAAATGAGATATGTGGCGTATGAGTACCAGGGTATGCATGGACTTTAATTAATCACTCCATACATGTATCAACTATATTATAATTTGTACTTTCCACATCAATCCCTGTAGACTACTGATAATTTTCAAGATTTTAGCAACAATTTCCTTTTAGCCTTTTTTTCAATTTCATTTCACTGATATCTTGGTAATAAACCCCATGAACAAACATTTCTTTGAATAACATTTATACACCCAATGCTACACTTATCAGCATTTGAAGAACATTTGTGATTATATTTAAGTCACAATATGCAAAAGCAAACATTGTTGAAAGTACCTTTTTCATTCTTTGATTCTTCTTCTTCTTCTGCTTTCTTCTTCATGCCTTCAAGAGTTTTCTTCTTCATTTCATCCTTTTTATCAGTCTTCTTCTTCACATTCAGTTCTTGCTTTGTTTTCCTTTTCATCTTCAATTTGCTGTGAGATAAGAAAAAATATTGAATACACTGAGCTACAGGGTGACACAAAAAGCCACTCTCCAATATTGGTATAACTTGTGCATACCAATCTTTTATGCACTGAACACTCTATCTACACATAAAAATCATGAAGATTCGCTTATTATTGAGAAAGTTATTCCAAATTGGGAGGGTGGCATTTTTGTGTCATCTTGTAATTCTGTAACCTCAAGTTGTTGGAAAGTGGAGAAAGCAGAGTTCATGTGATTAACTTGCTGAAGTTGGCCGCCATATTGGCTAGACAAATACTATTCAGTGATCTCATTTGCATCTTCTTTGCACATTTGGAAGCAGCTACCACTTTTACCAATTTTTATTACGAGTGAGTGAGCAACAAATATTTTCAACATTTTATAGTTTGCAAGTGTAGTGAGCAGAGTATATTTACAACAAAGAAAATTGGCACGCATCTGCGAGAAAATACTCGGGAGATCACAGATTCACATACTGTATCAATCAAAATTTAAAGGAATCCTTAATGCAAGCCGATTGGTGTCTTAATATGGATGCTAAAACCTTAATACTATTAAATCCAAGTGTAAAGGCTTTTGTCCGACCAAATATTTCAAAAGTAAAGTTCATTTCAGGTGGCTGCCATATTTCACAATGTTTTACATGAATTTAAGTGATTATTTGGAAAAAAAGCGAACCTAAATTGATCATTTGAACAGGTTCGAAGTCAAGATGCTTCAATACATTCAATGACAAAATACTTCTTCATACCGTTTTTTCTCTCTTGCTTGATTTATTAGTGCGACCTCCTCCTCAGTCTTTGTGACATACTCATGGAATAAGATATTACCCTCTCCCAGTCCTTCCTCTATCTTTATGAGCTGTAGCTTCATCCTAGGGCCTATCTCAGTCAGCCTAAAAATCATTGTGAATGAAAGGTTGTCAAAATGTTTTCAAAACATGTTTGATTACATCAATCATGCCATGTATGGATAAAACAAAGATGTTACAAACTGTGCAAGTTTCTCAGTTAAAACAAACAAATAAACTATTGATGTCTACCTAATGGCACTGTTAGCAGATTTTATGTTCCCTCTACTCGCAATAGTTTGAGGTAAGACAACTTCATTGTGTGGGCCATCGAGTTCCCCCTCGCTGTCAGATATATTGCCTCCCCTAGAATATACACATGATATATTTATACACAAGGACATACAACAATTTCACACCTATAAGAATGCATTAACATGCAAAATGTCATCACCTGCCATTTGTTACAGACACTATGTTACAGACACCAACTGCCAAACTCAAACAGATGTCCACAACAAAGTTGGAGAAGACTATAACAATATGTCATCACTTGGGATGGTGAAATAAAAGCTAAATCCTATTTATGATATCATATTAGAGAAAAAGTTGATCTCAATTTTAACCTACTTTGTAATATAGTCAGCTATATCCTCGAAGTTGCTCATGTTTGGTACTTTTGCTTTTATCAGCTTCTTCACTGGGCGACTCATACCAACTGGAACTACTTTAATGTGGCTGAAATAAAAATAGGTTATCAAATAACATCACAACAGTAACCTTAAAGGGGAAAACCAGGTATAAAAGGAAGATAGAACAGCCAAGAACAGTCAATTATGTCTGTTGAAAATATTTGAATCACTGAAACCAGTAAATTTATTTTGATTTTGCCAATATCATGAATTCTAGGAAGTATCAAAGTTGGATGTGGATTTCATAGTCTGCAATGCTCTCAGGTCAGAGGTTAAAACATGTAAACATAGCAGCAATATTCCTTGTGCTTGTGTTTATAAATACCCCACTACTGCTAAGCCACATCCACATAGTTTAACTTAGCAAGTATATTGATATATACATTTGGTATTCTGCAATACAACAAAATAAGTGTGTACTTATGACACAGGTAATGTAGAATCCCAGGACCTCATTATAATCTCAGCTGGGTTCCATTATGGTACAGACATTGATACAAGACTTGTCTATGTATGTATGTATCATTTATTTGCGTCTAAAATAAGACAGTTACATTAAATAAAAATAAAATATGAGGGATGGGTCGAGCAACCCGGAGGGCAGGCATGTATGAGTATTCTTCACAGACTTCTCAGCCCAGCCCAACCTATGGTCCAGAGCAATTTGGACTTGTTCGAGGAAGCTTGACCTGAGGGCTGCCTGACCCACCCCTTTTAAATATCTTTAACTTACAAGTGTCTGAAATCCAATGTTTTGTCTTCTGGGTTGTAGTTGACGAGCACACATCTTCTAATGTCATTCAACTTCACCTGGAAAATGGAAATGAATATTGGAAATATTAGAGATTAATTTTAACTATATTCTTCTTGAACTTACAGATCCTTTTAACTTTGATTGTGACCTCCACTTGACTGAAAATATTTTAACTAAAGTTATTTTGTATTCTGAATTTCTGATACATACCTTGTTTACATTTATAGATGGGAACATATTCTGGAACATTGTTGCCATAAGTTTAATGTGCATGCCTTCGCCACTAAAGTTATTCATAACGAGAAGTGGATGGTGTTGAAACTGCTTCTGTTCCATGTTATGACGTTTCAATGTTGAGATAACATCCTTTGCTAAACTATAACTGTGCACTTTAAATGTCATAGTTGGACCACGTGGTGTGCGCAGCATCCGCATGTTGATGGATGATTCAGTCTTTGAGAAAGCCACGATGTGAGAGATGTTGAAAAACCCTGCGACGTTGATGAAATCTTTCAGGACGTTCTTCTTTCTCACCTGGAATTAATAATTTATTAATTAATGCGTTAACATGTGAGCTTTACAAATGCTTATTTTATTCTGTTTAATTTAAACTTCCAAAGCTCAAATCTTTTTGAGTAAAGAATAAAAGTATTTAATGTATATGTCAAGAGATGATTAATGATTATAGTTAGAATTTTAAATGCACATTTCCTGATCACAATGCTTTAACCTTCTCATTCTTGGACAAGTATTTAATTATGAAAATGCATTAAAATTTCATACAACATGCCGTATATATATACACATACTGTACCTTAAGTTTTGACGCAGTGAATGGCTCCATAACTCTTCTAAAATCATGTACAAGGTGGCCAACATTTTTACCCACGAGACCTCGATGGATAACTAGTGTGTGGGGAGATCCTTTGAAAGCTTCTTCAGCAGCATCAGACTGGCCTCGTCCTATTGTCTTCTGTAATATGAAACAAGAATATTGGGATTCCTGCAGGAAATGCAAGGGCTAATACAGTATTTTCCAAATAAATAGGTTATTGTTAAATCTGTCGAGAAGGACAGAAACAGTGTGAAAAAATGTTTCATTGCATTATTCCGGCGAAAACATTGGAGTCCCATGTCAGGGGTTTCACTAGAATTTCTCTCAATAGGCTTAATAATTGAAAGGCCTCATCAAATCATAAATGACTTAGCACATTTTTTCACATTAATATATGAGAGATTATGAAATTTCAAATCACCGATGTCTTGGAGTATTGACAAAAAGATAACTTCTATTTTATTTTCTGTGACCACTGTAGCGGCTAATGAAGGCCGAGACCATTGGTTCAATTGAAGTCGTATCCTATCCATTTCTTCAAGTCTGTGCTGTTATGGGTCAAATGGGATAACAGAATCAAATACACCTCCAAGACTCTCTGAGAGATTTTCATATAATGGCTTCGGATCACAATCGGTATGCAGTTGATTTGGGGTAAGCCATCTATACTTCTCTCCAAGTTAAATAACGAAAATTGGGAAAATCTAATAATGGCGTTTACACACTGAAAGACAGATCGCTGTTCCCAGAACATGGCAATGAATTGAGAATAGGTTTAAATGATACAATGACACTGCAATCTGTGTAACTGCTATATTTACCGGTGAAAAAATCGCAGAAAACTCGTAAAATTAACTTGCCGGACAGCAAACTCCTAGCATTCGTTCAGTGCAATCGTGGCTCATTTCCGTACTTCATTCAGATGTGAGAATTCCAGGGAAGTTCACTCTTGTCTCTTCTAATTTCATAATTTTCATCGTCTAGTTTACAAATACTACATGTCGATGCGATGATTTAATCGGTAAAAGCAAATTTTTTACATGTTTATTTATCTGGTTGTTAAATATCGGCAGAACGAAGAAATTTTCGTTTTTGATCGCAATATTTGAGTGTAATATTTAACTTATTTCAACCGTCAAATTCCTCCATTTATTGGTACTTCCGGGCCAGTCAAACGGGGAATCCCCTTTAAAATCCAACCGCCATCTTGAAAAGTGATGGAATCTCTCGATGAAAAAGAAAAATGTTACCGTTCTGCCGATATACCCAGACAATTGTGGGTTCAACTACACGAAAAGTAATCTATTGAAGTGGGTAGAGTCCATTTCACTGCTTCATTTCGTCAGTAGAACGGCAAAAATAAGAAATTGGGAGACCATTGTGCAATAATGTATGGAAAAGTATATTCATAATGTACATGAATGACATTTGTATATTTCAGATTTTTTAGTTTTTTGTGCAATAAGCCTGTGCCGTCTTGTAATTTGAAGAACTTCAGCCATGTTAATCTTATAGAAAATAACATGGCAGAGAAACATCCAAATATAAGAGGCCACACTTTATAAGCCAAACTAGAAGCAATCCAAGATATACAAATGTCATTCATGTACATTATGAATATACTTTTCCATATATTATTGCACAATGGTCTCCCAATTTCTTATTTTTGCCGTTCTACTGACGAAATGAAGCAGTGAAATGGACTCTATGTAAGTGTGAGGGGCGTAGATAATTCTCCCAAGATGTAATCGTACAGGCAAAAGATTGCGCTCGGTCCAGGACGTGGACTATAGTCCTGGCACGGGATAACTCCCAATCTTTGGGTAACTCTTAAATATCAAGTTCTACCGACAGTCAGGCCATGAAAAAAGTAGGGCCTTTTTAGTAAAAATCAATTTTTGTATTAGATCTATTTTTAGAAAAAATATGTTGGTTGGTTAAGTCCATATACGGTGCTATCATGTCACCTAATAGTCTCTGGTGCTGTTTTATCAATGGTGCTTTCCTCTTGTGAAAAAAAAAATAGGGCCCCCCCCCCCAAAGATCAAATGTACTCACCTTTTTTGCCTTCTTTCCCATACTGAGAAGATTCTACTTGATCAACGCTTGGACAGAATGGGGTTTTGATCAGATGGAAATTACCTATTATGGAAACATTCAAGTTTATTTTGAGAAAACAGTGAAAACAGTTACAAATCTGATACAAATATTTTTCACGTGCGAAAATTAAGCAATATGGAGGAATCGTGATGAAACGAAATAGTGTGGATTCAAAAAGATAAATAAACATCTAAGAATTGTTTACCGTTTAAAATAAATTTCTTCGGAATATATCTAGTATATAAAAATAGTATTTTGAAATCATGGCTAATAATCAATTTGAGATTAATTTATTTCATCATTTTGAGACTCGAAAAGTTTGACATTTTGTAATGCTCATGTAGGAAATATAAAATATTGAAATATTTTGACAATTAAACGTGAATTGTGTAAAGGAATAAGCTAATCAGGTTTGTTTAGCTAAACAATATGGTTCTAAGTGATGTTAGATAATATTATACAGTAAATAATTAAATGCAGGCTCATTCTATGAGGAATAAACTAAAATTCAATTTTGATTATCACAAATGAAACATATTATCGCCCATTCAAATGAATGATGAGAGGGGGAATAACCCCAGATTTCAAAGTTGACATACGTTTATAATGTAAACACATAGTGAACAGAAGCCCTCCCCCATGTTATCTATAGGTTAAACTACAAGTGTGGAAAGAAATATGAAAAAAGAAAAATAGAGTAAATTGAAAAAATGTTTTTGACTTGTTTTGTTTACCTGATTCCACAGCCAGCACAATCTATCTAATATCTAATACAATAGAATGAAGTCCGGTAACTTAGAAAAAGTAAATTCAAAATAATTTTTTTCTCATGCCAGTGGCCTTGATCAGTGATATTCTATGGTTATTCATGGGCTTTCCTTTTTTTGTTTAACTTTCATATTTTTGTAACTTGTCAGAGAATTGTATCGGAGTGTAGTATTTGGAAACTAGCCGGTGAAAATTCGAACAAATGAAGGTGGTTAGCAAGAGACTTAATTACATCTGTTATCTCTAAAGCTCTAGTCTACACCCCCAAAATGCAATCTGATTTTCGACGCCGTTTCGGTGCCAAATTTCGGTGCCGAAACGGTGTCGAAACATGGTTGGAACGGTGCCGAATTTGTTCGATGCCTAAACGGTGTCGAATTATATTGGCTGTGTATATCCTCTAGTCTGAAATTTTTTTGAAATTTAGAATGAAAATATTCAGACTATAGCCCACATATGTTAATATATGGGATTGAAAATTATTTGTTTACAGAGGAAGTGCCATTCAAAATGGCCGACTGGGTAAATTAAAGTGTGAATATCGATTGCCGAGTCGTATCCAATGATCCTGGGCCTATCGTAAAATGAAAGCTTTGAATATGTTGTTGCCTTTAAAAATGTATCTATTTTCCATGTATGCAACTAGAATTTGTGCACATACCTTATAACGATCGATAATGGCAAAGGAAAATCCTCTAATTCTGCGTCATATTTTCTCCTTTGACATCCGCCATTTTTTATTAAACCGGAAGTTTTTTCTCTGACGTCCGCGCAATGTTTTTCACTTTTATTTCAGATTACCCTTCGGATTCAACTTTTAATGCTTTCTAATAATCGTTAAGTGTTTTCTATAAGAAAGATTTCATAAAAAGACTCACACTATCAGAGATTTTATCGATTCGAGCAGCCAGAAAAATTAGTTTCAATTTCGCCCGCTAGGTGTTTCGACGTCGACTTGGAAAGAATTTGAAAAATCTATGAGTGGGACTCCTTGTATGGAATTGTAGATTCTAAACGATTTGCCAGTTCTACTGGTTGATGAATATTGCCATATGCATACATTTTTATAAAATAGGAATAAGGAAGAAGATGTTGGACCAAACTTCACCCCGATAGCTCAGAAAAGGTAAAATTTCTCCATTTTTCTCTCCACAGACCTTAGAGCCGCTTTGATTTGCATATTTGTTACTTCTCCTAGCTTTATTTCCATTTGACAATATGCTGTGTTACTTTTTATAGCATTTAATTGTACCTTACTACTTAATTGAATTGTTATAATGCTTACTTTTTGGAAGTGAAGTTTCCTAAAATTGATAATTGTGTGCAGGAAAGGACGATTCTCGGTTTGGAGAACGAAGTTCATCAATCTAAATGAGCATTATCCCTGCTTCGGACAAATTTGATTTTCTTACATAATATAGATTTGAATGTCTTCTTTTGAATAGTCATAATTTAGTTTGGGTAATATTTCTAGATGTTTCACAAAAAAATATTAGCGCAGTACACTGATGAACTTTTTTCCCCAAATTGAAACTTGTATTTTATTGAATCGGTCTAATTGAGCGTTATCCCTGCTTCAGACCAATTTGTTATTTTTACATCTTGTAGATTTAATTGTCCTCTTTTGAATATTCATGATTTAATTTGGGTAATATTTCTATATTTTTCATGAAAAAATTATTAGCCCAGAAGACTGTTCTCCAAACCGAGAATCGTCCTTTCCTTTTTTTCCCACAGGAGAGACATAATGATCAATAGACTGAATTCTCAGGAAATTCAGTCGATTGGATATAGACTACTAAAGCTCTGGGGCTTTCCCTCCTCTTATGTAGATGGCTACTCAAGAGGAAGGAAAACCCCAGAGCTCAGAAATGACCTCAAAATGACCTCTCCTGGGGGAGGCATCAAAAGTTTGATGTCAGGTCGGAAACTAAATAAATATAGTTTTGACGTTGAACTCCTCCCCAAAAAATTAAATACCATGAAAGTTGATGGCTAAAAATTCATTTTTATAGAATAGAATCTTTTGGAATGATCAATTTCTCATTGACAAAATGTCAAATTCTTCTAAACATTGGATATGCATATCATGCATATTGATTCTGACTTCATATCATTCATTCCTTTATTTAAATTAAATTTTGTATATTTCAGATGCAGATACATGTACAAAAAACAAAGGTAAAAACAAAGAGAGTGTCACAACAAGGCATAGAATCTCCAAGACTTTCTCACATCCAGTTTCTTGATGATTAACATAGTCAGACTATCATTAAATAGAACATGGAAGAAATTAACATTGAAGCAGGCAATGGTTTTGTTCATCCTTAGCTTTGTATTTATCAATGAATATGTCGTATACGTCATACAAGAATGGAGGTGGGCAAAAGTAAGGCCTTTAAGGTAAGTTGTAAGTTTCTGCTGTCAATAAGATATGAAACATTTCTTCATTTAAATTGTGAGTATGAAAGAAGAGGGATGACTTTAAATTCTATCCATCAAAAAATTATCTTGTGATGATCCTACTCAAGTTCTAATTTAAAATTATTTATGCTATCTGAATTCTGAACTGAGAGACTTGAACAGTTAGTTTGTTAAATAGTTATACAGTACTGCTCATATCTGTGCTATTCTTCTCATATCTGTCCCATTCTTCTCAAAGTGCAGCCGCTACTTGTAATTGTATTTTGTAAAAAACGAAATTAGAAAGTCTCCAGATTCTCCAACATTATATATTGCTTAATCCATCCTTGAAGGCCTATATGCTAGACTAGTACTGATATAACCTCTCAATAACATATATTTCTTAATCTATTGTATGGTAGACACTCAGAGGATGAAGTGAGATTACTTTTGGTTGGAGACCCACAGATCCAGGGCTACAATGGGGAACCCCCAACCATTATTGGCTCAATTACAAGATGGGATTCAGACAGGTAAAAGTAGTCACCAGTTTTAACTAACTTTGCAACTCTTTGAAATAAAATGATATGATGAATAAGAACAGCTCTGTATATACAAAGAATATCACTTATATTTTCAGATATTTGCGCAGCACATTCAGACAGGCAAGCAACTATGTGAAACCTGATGCTGTCTTATTCTTGGGTGACCTCATTGATGAGGGAAGCCAGGCACAAGATGAACATTACAGCGAATATGTCGATAGATTTAAAGAAATATTCAAGTCACCAACAAATGTTGAAGTGAGTGCTTTTGTTAGTCTTTCATATCAAGTGATTTTTCATTGCCCAAACATCTTTCCTCCTGTTAGATTAAAACTATGCCACTATGAGGCACAAATCTTTAATTGTAAACAAACTTTTATATGTAGTGTAAAGTCATATACATGTACAGTAAAACATGTATATCCAAACACCTCTCTTATCTGAACACCTCTCAATGTGAACACTTTTTCATTTACACCTATGATCTGTTAACTTAATAACTCCATATGTATGAAAGTTAGGTTTTTATAAAGTCTCTGAAAATTAAAGTTAAATGAATGCTCAATATGCACATGCCAAGTGTCAGCAAAAATTAATAAAACATTCAAAACTTTTTGTACAACTTTTGTGTTTTTCAAAATACACTCTACTGTATGCATTATTTTACGACTCAAAGAACCATTCTCATCGTTTAATTTTTAGAATATATATGTGAGTGGAGATAATGACGTTGGTGGAGAAGGGGGTGATTTTAAAACTAAAGTAAAAGTTCAAAGATATGAAAAATACTTTGGAAACAGTGTAGCAGTCCAAAAAGTCAAGTTCCTTGATTTTATAAAGGTAATTGCAAAAATGAAGAAGAATCAAGAAGTAGTGTTTAATGACTTTGAAATTATTGTAGTTACACATAAATTTGAGTTTCCCAATTGTATTGTTCATCAACGTTCTGTGTTTATGTATGATATCCTCTGAAACTGAATTAGTTCACCTGCCATTGCCAAACTTGGCACTACAATTCAGACTTTGGAAAAAGTGAGTTCAGTTCTCATTTCAACTTAAATCTATATGGCTCATTAAATAGTCAGGGATATTGAAAACCATGTAACAAAAGACGCAGCATGTTAAACTCACCTGAAAAGTTAACATTCAGTAGAAAGAGTAGATCAAGTATTACACAAAGTCCAGACTTTTTGGCCTTTGCACTTAGGAAAAGTTTGTTTAATTTCCAAAAATTGTTTTTATTTTTTAGGCTGACTATGATTTTATAACTAGTTGGAATGACACAGCCGACAAAGCCAAACACCTAGTCAAGCTACTTTCTGGAAGGTTTCGTATAATTCTGAATCACCATGGAATCCTAGAGCGCTTCAAAAGAGAGCTTTATCCGGTAATTGATACTTTATATCTATCAAAACACATTTTACTTTTTGAATTTCAGATCATCAATGCTGATTGATTAATGATTATTTTGCATATGCATGAAGTTTTGATATTTTGAATGTCTGCTGTGTCCAGATGGAGGCACCCCTAGGTTTGGTAAACTTTGAGTGAAAATGTTTGGTAATTTGGCTTACTCATATTATATCATTCTTTGTCAGAACTTTGGACACTTCTCTCTTTGTTTCATTTGTTTACTGTTCATTTGTAACATGTGTTGTTAGATGATGCTATGTGTTGCAGATCGACTATGCCAAATAAGGATCTTTTGCAATATTATAGGCTCATATATTGAGGTCCAAGTCATCCATGTCTGCCCACCTTAGAATGTCTGCGACATATGCCCATGTGATCCATATGTCAAGTGATAAGAGACAGTTAAGTCCTGCATTGAGTCATGCCCCCCTATTTTCTAATTCCCAACCCTTACAATGTGTAATTGATTGAATAAGGAGGGGATGCACAAGTATTTTATGCAAGACATAATAAAAAACATATTTGGCAGTGTTCTAAATATATTTTTTTCTAGAATAAACTAGGTTAGACCACTTCACAAGCAGAACCCATCATGAGGCGGCATTCTGAATAAAAACTCTCTTTATTTGTGACAGTATGTATTTTTGGGTTTCAGCGAAGTGAATGGAGGAAAGGAATGAAATACAAATACAAAGACAAATGGATTTCTCAACCTGTATGTCCCTTACAACATCAGTGAAATCTGTTGTGTTGAACAATATAAGACACAATGTTTTAGCCAAAATGCTTGGCTTTCTCAGTGTGTTTCAACTTATATGGGTTTACTGTGTAATTCTTAGTTGCATTTGGCTGCATTGCCCTGTGTATAATAGTACTTGTGTATAAAATGTTAATCGGTTATGCTTTATGCCTAAAAAGTTTGATCTAAACTTTGTATGAAGTGCTTGGTTTTCTTGTATTTCTGAAAACTCCACAGGGTGATCTTTACGCCTATGTGTTCTATTCCTCTCTCATCTGATTTCTTTCTAAACTTTTTCATATTCATATTATAATGGTATAAAACGAATGATCTGACATTTTATATTGCATGGCTAGCTATGCTCATGCGCTGCATGCATGCCTGCCTGTGGTGATTATGGGACAGACCATTAAATTTTGGGTGAACTAAACATTTTTGATATTTGGTTTGAATATTGAAGAGCATACTATTTTGGGCATTGCTTTAGATACTGATTGATCTTAACATTTTTGAATAGTAATATTTAACATTGAGGGTATAATATTGAAGGACATGAAATTTTGGTCATTTTTTGTATTTCTGCTGTCTTTTTGTGTTTTTGTATGTGACTGGTTAAAGATTTAATGGTCAGCCCATTATATGGGAAGTACCATTGGTAATTATTATAGAATTATAGTATAATTTTAGACATATTAGAGAGCCCTTTATATGTAAAGTATGATTGGAAATATTATAGAATTAAAGTATAAATTAAGACATAAGTAAGGAAGCCCTTTATATGAAAGTAAAATTGGTAATTATTAAAGAATTATAGTATAAATTAGGACACTCTTAATTATAAATCGATATATTGATCACCTATCCTCAAATTGGCCCTATAGAATGTTCCATATATGGTCAATTGAAAGTGAGAAATTTTCATCAATTTCACCAAGAAAAAGGTCGATTTGTATCCAAATATTTTACCCGTTTGTTGATAATAACAGACAGTTACTGAAATGCTAGTCAGTCACAAGTAAGTATATCCAGCAGCTCCAATAATCCAGTGAGAAATCCTCACTTCAGCAACTAGGACATTATCTGGTGAATTTCATAACGTCTTTAACGTCACTTGATTATTGGAGCCCTTGGATGTGTATACTTGTGACTGATTCGCTTTTCAGTAACTGGGTGTTACTATTAACAAACTAGTTTTCCTATCATCTAATAACACAATTTTCATGTCTGAAGTCAAAGAAGTATGAAAATTGAAGGATTAGAGAGGAATGAAAACAATAGGGATAAGACACCAAACTAAAAATAAGAATCCACATTTTCAGAAAACAATTATCAGACATGTGCTTATTATAGAACGTGAAGCTCGAAGGAATGAATTGAAAAATGGTTTATGTTTTTAGGGGAATCCTGGATTTGACTACAGTGTATGTATGCCTATAAGTTCCATCATCTCAATTTGATGTTTAGAAAATGCATTAAAATATTTTGTTTATTCTCAAAACTAGTTACAGTGTCTAAGCTATTGTAAATTGGGAATATAAGTCCAGTTTGCAAGGTTAATGGAAGGACTTCATGGCTTATTTTCCATGTTCTCAATGAAGTACAGAATGGAACGAAATTTATTTAAACATATTATAAGTAAATCATGAATGAATGATCTTAATAAATCTCGTATAACTCAATATTTTATACCAAAATTATGGAAAATTATAAATGAACATCATGTTACATCCATAATACATTCCCACACTGGTCAGTTTAACTTTCATAAATAAATGACCTGAGTTTTCTGGGATATCAGAGTACTCCTTTATTTTCCAAATTCTTGAAAAAAGGAAACTAGTATTTATAAAGAGATTTTTACAGACCTTTTCATTCATGACCTGTTGCTTGTTGGAAGCTTGTCCCTTGTTGTTAATAATGGACCCAGTTGGATTTTATTTCAGATCCTATTACCCTTTTAAACAGCCAATATATCTGGGAGTCCTAACCTTTTTACCCCACAAGGTTTTGTTCCTAGTCACCTAGCTTGAAATTTCCACAAGGTTTTGTTCCTTATAACTTATTACAATTTTTGGTTCCTTATCCCTTGACCCCTTTATGCGTTAAGGATATGTCCCCAAAACTATTGGATCCTTATCCCTTAACCCTTTATCCCTTGTTGGCCCCTTTACCAAAAATTCTGATTGATTCAAATATAAAACACAATGCATAAATTATGATTAATGAATGTTTTTTTAAAATTCTGATTAGATCCTGTTTTATAGTATATTAACAATACATGCATGCTATTTTGGTGATGGTGCTGTGATTTACTGCATTTGTGCAAGCTAAAAGAGTTCCAGAAGGTGTAGTTCAACTTATTGAGTTACATAAATGTGAGAGAGTAACATATTATGTGATGTTATTTATGAGACTCAGATAAAACCCATATCCTATCTTAGTTAAGTGGCTTTCAGATAAAAAACATATCCTATGTTAGTTAAGTGGCTTTCAGATACCCCTAGTAAGCTCACAAAAATAATTTTCTTAATCTATCTAAAAATTTACAGATTATCTGTTAAGTTTCTATACATCCAAAATATTGATAAAGTGATAGACAATGTAGAATTACAATTTATGTATATTTTTTATGATAGTCCATATTTTTTTTATCTTAGATGTGCATAAAAGAATGATTTTGTTGCTTTATATTTTTCAGATTGTAAAGATGTTCTCACCTAATTTTATATTCTCTGCACACTTACATCTGGTGAGTCATATTCACATTTGGCGAGTCATTTTAATATTTGGTCTGTCATCAGAAGGAGTGAGTAGCTCCGGCAAAACTGCCCTAATTCACGTCACCATACTAGTCAATGGGCAAAAGGGCAAACGCCTGACTTTTTATCTCGAGTTATGGATTTACGTGGCCTCACTGGCCTATCTGAGGTTCTAAAGCTATGTCTAAGCTACATCTTGACACTAAACTCAATAGGGGCCAATCATCTACTTTTTGAAATAATTGGTCAATTGTGACACTACCCCCTCTCTCTGCAGACACAAATTGAAATTCACAAAAATGAAGGCAAAATTAATACGCCACTTGACTCGAAATTTTCCTTCAGATAACCCAAATAAACGCATTTTCAGAAGAAATGGCATGTTGCCATTGCAAAAAGATTACAACTGTGCCTACATACTAGCTTACTGACTCGTCATGATCACAATTGTGTTGGGACTACATTTATTTTTGAATACTACTTTTTTCTATTCAGCGGAAGTGACGTATTAGGGCATTTGGGCCTAATAGCCACATGGTTGGATGATTTCTGGCTTTAAATTGCGTTTTTTCCAATTTACTAGAGTTTTTCAAGTAGTTTTGTGCAGTTTAAGAATATTCTGACAGCAATTATGAAAAATATGGCTACTTCATTACCCCTGGGGTCATTTTTCCAAGAACCCAATGGTTTTCCTTTAAATTTGACTAGTTTTTCATTTACATCATGAAATCCACTGCCTGATGGTGACGTTTTTCAGTATCGTGTCAAGAAATTGAGTATTTTATTGCATATTGCGATTTTTAGCCAAAATCACTGAACCGTGAACCAGAAAATTGGACAAATTTGGCCCACTTTTTGGCAAAATCTTACTAAAATCATCACTTTTTCATACTTTATTCCATTCAACAACCTCCTGATTTGAAAAATGATGACAAATTTGATCAGTTTTGACTCTGGCCTAGAGAATTGGGACTTTTGAGATATTTTTAGCTCGAATGTAGTCATTCAGAGTGAACAAATACATCAAAAATTGACACTTAACTCACCAATTTCTGACTGCAACCCCGATATGTACCTTCTTTCTATACTGGAAACCATAAGATGGAAAATTCAATCTTTATGATGAATAGCAACTCGTTGGCTTCCCCATTTACGACAACAAATGACATTTAGGGGTCACTAAGGACAAAATTGTAGCCAAATATCGTCAAAATCAGTGGTTTTTGGGGTAAAAAGCGAAAACTGCTGATTCAGCAAAAACATTAAATTTGTTCATGAAAATTCCCCTTTTTGCCTCCGTCCAAAATATGTTTCACACTAATAAACTTCAATTCTGGGCGATTCTGAGTAGTTTTAAAAAATTTTGGTCACTTTCACATGTGACTAATAGGCAAAACTGCCCTAATTCACGTCACCATACTAGTCAATGGGCAAAAGGGCAAACGCCTGACTTTTTATCTCGAGTTATGGATTTACGTGGCCTCACTGGCCTATCTGAGGTTCTAAAGCTATGTCTAAGCTACATCTTGACACTAAACTCAATAGGGGCCAATCATCTACTTTTTGAAATAATTGGTCAATTGTGACACTACCCCCTCTCTCTGCAGACACAAATTGAAATTCACAAAAATGAAGGCAAAATTAATACGCCACTTGACTCGAAATTTTCCTTCAGATAACCCAAATAAACGCATTTTCAGAAGAAATGGCATGTTGCCATTGCAAAAAGATTACAACTGTGCCTACATACTAGCTTACTGACTCGTCATGATCACAATTGTGTTGGGACTACATTTATTTTTGAATACTACTTTTTTCTATTCAGCGGAAGTGACGTATTAGGGCATTTGGGCCTAATAGCCACATGGTTGGATGATTTCTGGCTTTAAATTGCGTTTTTCCAATTTACTAGAGTTTTTCAAGTAGTTTTGTGCAGTTTAAGAATATTCTGACAGCAATTATGAAAAATATGGCTACTTCATTACCCCTGGGGTCATTTTTCCAAGAACCCAATGGTTTTCCTTTAAATTTGACTAGTTTTTCATTTACATCATGAAATCCACTGCCTGATGGTGACGTTTTTCAGTATCGTGTCAAGAAATTGAGTATTTTATTGCATATTGCGATTTTTAGCCAAAATCACTGAACCGTGAACCAGAAAATTGGACAAATTTGGCCCACTTTTTGGCAAAATCTTACTAAAATCATCACTTTTTCATACTTTATTCCATTCAACAACCTCCTGATTTGAAAAATGATGACAAATTTGATCAGTTTTGACTCTGGCCTAGAGAATTGGGACTTTTGAGATATTTTTAGCTCGAATGTAGTCATTCAGAGTGAACAAATACATCAAAAATTGACACTTAACTCACCAATTTCTGACTGCAACCCCGATATGTACCTTCTTTCTATACTGGAAACCATAAGATGGAAAATTCAATCTTTATGATGAATAGCAACTCGTTGGCTTCCCCATTTACGACAACAAATGACATTTAGGGGTCACTAAGGACAAAATTGTAGCCAAATATCGTCAAAATCAGTGGTTTTTGGGGTAAAAAGCGAAAACTGCTGATTCAGCAAAAACATTAAATTTGTTCATGAAAATTCCCCTTTTTGCCTCCGTCCAAAATATGTTTCACACTAATAAACTTCAATTCTGGGCGATTCTGAGTAGTTTTAAAAAATTTTGGTCACTTTCACATGTGACTAATAGGCAAAACTGCCCTAATTCACGTCACCATACTAGTCAATGGGCAAAAGGGCAAACGCCTGACTTTTTATCTCGAGTTATGGATTTACGTGGCCTCACTGGCCTATCTGAGGTTCTAAAGCTATGTCTAAGCTACATCTTGACACTAAACTCAATAGGGGCCAATCATCTACTTTTTGAAATAATTGGTCAATTGTGACACTACCCCCTCTCTCTGCAGACACAAATTGAAATTCACAAAAATGAAGGCAAAATTAATACGCCACTTGACTCGAAATTTTCCTTCAGATAACCCAAATAAACGCATTTTCAGAAGAAATGGCATGTTGCCATTGCAAAAAGATTACAACTGTGCCTACATACTAGCTTACTGACTCGTCATGATCACAATTGTGTTGGGACTACATTTATTTTTGAATACTACTTTTTTCTATTCAGCGGAAGTGACGTATTAGGGCATTTGGGCCTCCCATAATTCTTTCATATTCTATCATATTCGGGGATTCCCCATTACATCATCTCTTGCATCATCTCCAATCAAATTGCAGGATTTGATCACGTGAACAATCATGAGCATGTGCTCTCTCAGTGCTGCGCATGCGCAAAGTTAAATTTGAAATCGTGGGAATGGCGTTAACATCAGTTCAACATCATCATTTCAAACCTACGGTAATACTATTGAAATTACTCGATCCATACTTGTAGAGAATACTCATAAAACTACAGTGAACATTTGGAGATCCATTTCAACGGCAAATTGAGGCTGTTTATAAAATTTGTTTTCGAACGTGCTAATGTGATAGGTCATCTTTGGGAAATCTCCCCCTGGTCTGTCATATTCACCTTTGTTGAGTCACGTCCATTGTACATTTCAAATGTGTCACTCTGTAAAATTATAAGTTGAATGAGAAATGTCTACCTGAAATATTTTGTATATCTTTTATATATTTCACTCATTTTCAAGCTAAACATTACACATATACATTTTTTTATACATAGACATTTATTTCATCTAAAAATGTTATCATACTAAATGACTTGCCAATCACCTTTATATTTTATTAGCTAAGCTGAACAAAATGATATCAAAGTACAAATGTAAATGCATGTAACATGGACGAATAAAGGCAAAATATGAAATAAGTCTTAAAAGTGTCTACAAGTGCAAGAAAAGTATCTATTTACTAACACATATACAATTACAAGCACATGTTTTCTTCTGGTTTTTAGCCAACAATTCACATTTGCACAGACTGCACAGAATTGGATAAAGAGAAATACCAGTGGGAGGGGAATACATTAACTGATGTACCTGATCAAATCAAGTTTGACCTGAACAGTCCGAATCTTGTTGAGATTATCCAACCTACATGCAGTTACAGAATGGGTGTTCCAGAAATGGCATATGGAGTAGCAGTCATAGGTAAAGTTTCCCAGTCCATAATGCCCTATCATTGTTTTTAGTGTGTGTTTGGGGATACACAATTGACCATTAATGATATATAATATATAGAGGTTATTTAATGGGAGGTTTTTGATACAGGCTATATCTGAGGGAAATGCAATATATCTATATGATATGTTGTACTTAATGAGGAATATATCTTGTATCAAAAATCGAGCTTTTAATATCTGATTTATCCTATACTTAGTAGATTATGAGGTAGTCGATTATTAAGTATGCATTGAATGTTATGAAACCCTCGTGTCATAATTCCAAATTATAATCACAATCAAAACATGAATATTTTATATCAATTTAAAGTTCTTAACATTTATTGTTTTAAAACTCAACAGCTTTTAGCATTTAACAGTATATGAAATTAATATCTATCCAAAAGCTACGAACGAAGTTCCTGGGAATTGCTGATGAGCGGGTGATATACATCTCCCGCTCACCTCAATGAGATATATATATCACCCGCTCACCTCAGATATCAAAATTCCCACATGTTATTTACCTATAACACTACTATTAAGCATGGGATAAAATGAATTATAATATAGACATACATGTACATATAACATACAGTATTACGCGTTGTTGGAGAGCAGTTGGCCAGCACCAATAAAGTGCCGAGAATGGGTGTCTCGTCGGTCCTATAATAATAGTCCGATGGACGACGCCGATCTTGATTACAGTGATATCTATCATTCAACCAAGGAATATGACGGTTATTCAAATACAGAGTGTCGCGATTACGTCTATACAAACGATAATGTTGACTGATGGCTGGCCTGACAATTATGTTATATTTTGTGTATATAGTTCAGTTTCTGCTTTTGACACACACGCCATCAATGAACTGCACTGGTAACAATAAAAATGATGGGCCAGTAAATCTTGATTTTTCTCTTAACATTGCATCTTGGAATGCGAACGGTTTGGGCATCTCCAAACCTTATCTGTCACATCTTATGGAATTTAATGACATTGTTTTAATACAGGAACATTGGTTGCATAGTGGTTCAAAGCATGTTCTAGATGACATAGATATGCATTTTAATTGTACAGTTTTTGAAAGTAGTAGAGATTTGTCTGTTTTTGATAATTACCATAACATAGGCCATGGTGGCATTGCCATACTTGTTAAAAATGATGTACAACAGTTGGTTTCGAAAGTTAACTTGAAATGCAATAATACAGATAGGTTATGTGCCATTGATGTTAATTGTAATGAACGACACTTATATGTTGTATGTGTATACTTGCCACACCAAAATTGTAAAAAGGTTAGTTTTACAGAGGTTTTGGTTGAACTTGAGATGTGCATAGCTGTTTTGATGAAAAAGGGTGATATCATAATCTTTGGTGATACGAATGCATGTATTGATTCCTTATATGGAGATAGGGGTATAGGTTGTCCAACACGTAATGGGAGATTGTTTATGGATTTTAGTAATAGAAATGGGCTAATCCCAGTTGATATGTTGAGTAAAATTTGGAAGGGACCTTCATATACATTTAGTAGAGATTACACCGGCAGTTCGTATATTGATCATTGTGTAATATCTGCCGCATTGTTAGAGAACATCAAGTCTGGAGTAACGCATAATGAATGTATCATTAATACCTCTGATCACCTGTCTATGTCAGTTAATATTGTATTTGATGGACAGGCACCATGCTCCCTAAACAACATATTAAATGACACATTAAATGAATCATACATCTCATGGGATCAGCTCTCAGATAGCGATATTGATTTGTTGTATACATCAAAAGTTCAGGATCTTTTAGAACATGTCCAAACCGATTTTGAGGATAATTGTAAAAATCAGGGATATAATGTGCATATTATAGATAAAACATTAGAGAATGTTACAGATATTTTGAAATCGGTCGCTGAGGGTAACATGCCAAAGCGCAAATATAATAAGCGTCTGAAACCATACTGGAATTCCACAGTCAAAGATTTTATGAAAGAAAAGAATAGGCTGTGGAATCGTTGGAAATGCAGCGGAATGCAGCGGGGCGATGACGAGCTTTGGCTTTTATATAAAGAATCCAAACGGAATTACAGGCGGGCTTTAAGAATGGCCGAAATGCAATATAATATTACCTGTCAAAAGAAAATTGACGAGTCTCAGGATGTGGATTCGAGATACTATTGGTATTTAGCTAACAGACATAAACGGGATTGTAAACAATCGATACGTATTAGAGCTGATGATGGGACTGTGCTACAAGATCCTGGTGATATTAGAAATGAATGGGCTAATTATTTTGAGAAACTGTTTACCCCAAAATGTAATGTTAATTTTGATTCCGACTTTAAAGATTATATTGATTCTCGAGTAAATATTATGAAAAAAGAATACCAAAACAACAGTGATGGCTCTTTTGATGTTAATTTTGACAATGAAGAACTCTTGAAAGCGATTACGTCATTGAATAACAGACGTGCTAGTGGTATGGACGGTGTATCAGCTGAGCATCTTAAATATGGTGGCATGGCACTTATTAATCTTTTAACTGCGATTTTTAATGCTATTTTTAAGTATGAACATGTACCAAGTAGTTTAAAAGTAGGAGTTATGATAACACTGTATAAAGGTGGTAATAAGGATGTTCTTGATAAAGATAACCACCGGGGAATAACTCTAATGAGTACATATAGTAAGATATTAGATAGGTTGATTTTAAACCGTAGCAAATGTTGTGATCATTTTAATAGGTCAAAACTTCAATATGCAGCACAGTCAGGGTCATCTTGTATTGACACCTCCCTTGTCCTTAGGGAAACAGTTGCCCATCAACTTGAAAATGGCTCAGATGCCTATGTTTTGGCAATTGACGTGAAAAAGGCATTTGATACGGTTTTTACAAATGGCTTGATGTTTTTGTTATATAATCAGGGTATCAACGGAAAATTGTGGAAAATTATCTATGAGACATATGTAGGATATCGTTGCTGTGTTAAGGTCAATGGTATATTAAGTAATTTATTTTATGTTCAACAAGGGGTCCACCAAGGTGGGGTCCTTTCTATGGAATTGTATGTAAGATTCATGAACCCTTTGTTATTAGAATTAGAGAGCTCTGGACATGGATGTCAGGTAAGGGGGATAAACTGTGTTGCTCCATCGTACGCAGATGACACCATACTGGTATCAATGTTCAGACATAGCATGCAAGAAATGCTGCACATTCTTTATAATTATGCAAATAGATGGAGATTTGAGATCCATCCAGGGAAATGTGCAGCAGTTCACTTTACTAGAAGTAGTTTTAAAGATGTACAACCTTTTGATTTCGGATCCGCTAAGATTCCGATAAACAAAGACCTTGTTCATCTTGGGTTACCAGTTACACAGAGGGATATAGCCTATCACTTAGACAATGTAACATCTAGGGCAAGGCGCAATTTCTATGCCACTGTAGACTGTGTCACCCCCGAAAAGTGTAGCGTAAATCCCTTACCTGCTTCTAATTTATATTGGACTGTTTCAATTCCTACCATGCTATATGGTGTCGAGGTATTAAATTATAATGTATCAAATATTAAAACTTTAGAAAAGGTGCATGCCAATTCGGCCAAGTCAATTCAATCTCTTCCAAAGAACACAACTGATTGTGCCGCGATTGCTCAACTTGGTTGGACAGGTATAAGCGAAACTATTGCAATCAGGAAGCTCATGTATTTCTGGCACATCTTTAATACTAGTGTTGGTATTTGTAAGAAGTTAAGTATCTTTAGATGGTATGCTATACTATATAGCTTCTTCGTAGATAAATGTGCTGTAACAGTTTCATCACCAATTAGGGAAATTATACAACTTGGAATGCAATATGATCTTATAGGAAGAATGGATAGCTATATCTCTAATAACACATTTCCATCCAAGTGGCACTGGAAAAAGATAGTGAAAAGTTCTGTTCTTACAAAGTCTCTGCAAAGATGGCGTTTTCAATGTATGACATATAATAAAATCAAACATTATAGAGAAGTAGTAACTACTCGTACTCCAATAGTCTGGTACAAGCTATGTAAATACAAACCTGAAATGATTTTCAAATGTAAACTTATGGTGAGACTACTGGTTGGTGAAGGTGTTGGTCGTCATACCGAGCCAAATGTGAATAGGGTATGCCCAATGTGTAATTCGCATGAATCATTGTTACATTTTATTAAGTTTTGTGATGTGCTGGAAACAACTAGAAATCCTATACGACCTTACTTAGGCGGAAGTGACCTAAATGTAATTGAAAATATTTTTGCCCCAAATGAATATGATGATTGTATTATAATAGCCAGGACAGTATATCATATGTACCAACTGAGAACTAGATTTCTCAATTCTCTAAACGTCCTGCACTAAACAACTACTGTATATTTTGTTATATTTTTGTATGTTTTTTCTTCATAACCTTTTATAACCTTTTATGTTAAACTATATGTATATGATCAGAATTGGTCGCAATAAAGAAATATATATATATACCAGATCAATTAATTGAACTGTTTGATAACATTAAGAAAGATTAGCAAGATTTTATTTTTAATATAATTTCAGATAAAAATGGTGCCTTGGAATATACATTACTTTGGTTGCCATCACGTTACATTCAACTCTACCTCTATTTGGCCTTAACAATATGTGTGATCGTAGTGGTGCTTTTCAAACTCTGCATATCCAAAATTTGGCCGAATTCCAGGAAACAAACATTTTATGGAAGAACTCCTTAGTTCGATGACTTGACACATCAAGTATCCAGCAGGTATCCAGTATCGTATCAAAAAGTTATTCAACGGATGGAAGCTCATGTAGATATGATCTGATGTTATCAGTTTTCAATGATGTTTGTGTATTTCAATGCAATTCAGAATTTAACATCCCAGAAAACAATTTCCGGATGGAAACCTCATTAATCATCATGCAGCAATGATTTGAAGCAACTAACTGTATCCTTGAAATATGATGTGGTTGCCAATCATGCCAGGATTGTTCCTCATATGGTGCATTTTTTATTCTCAAATGAATGTTTATACCTGTATAATGTAAATAATTTTACAAACATATCCAAAAGTTAGTAAAATTATACGAAGACATTTAGTTAGTAAATTCCAGTTTGAAATGTTATTCACATACATGGTGTATTGACTATTAATTACATTCTTCTTAATGATGCATTGACTATTACATTTTAGGAATGTTTTTCTTATTTATTGAAATTATCATCGCACTTTGTACTTCTCCTATGAATGTCTTCCTTATTAACTAATAGCAACACAAAAAGTAATTATGTAGATATAAACTCAATGATTTTGATTATTAAGCATTATTTTGATTAAAGTATTTTTGTAAATGTTTGAAAATCCAATTATTTTTGTTTGTTACCAAGAAATGAGTATTAATATGTAAATTATAAACTCATTTTACATTTTACTGTAATAATGGTTGTGACGTATGAATAATTTATTTTGAACTTGGATATATTTTATTATATTATTATACAGACTTTTTTGTTTGTTTTTGTTTGTTTTGAATAATTTAGCCTCTATCAGCAAATTAAAAGTACACTTTATGCTTCTTCTACAGGCTGGTTTGAAAATTAGGTCACCCTGTTATTTGTAGTTTAACATAGACAATATCTCAGAATGGTCTCAAAGTTCAGCATTTATTTTTCCCTTATTCTATGACATCATCATTTTCTAGACTATCTGAAACACTTTAAAGATGTAGTATTATCTGAAAATATGTCAAAAATTGAGAAATCCAATACATTTATGTGGAACTGTTTGAGGAAAAGATGCATTTCAGCAAATTCAAAATATTGATCAATGGAGTATTTGGTGATGGTTTTTGAGGACACTAAAATTAGAGAATTCATTTACCCCAAAGCTTTATGAGTAGGCATGATGGTGAGTTTGTTACTAATTTTGAAACTGAGTTATAGAGGGCAGATAATATGCAACATAACTCCATTCAAACAGCCATCTATCTATACAATACATGCATCTGTGCATTTCTAATTCAAATTGTCAATAACCAGGGGTTCAAAAAGAGTCTGAACTCAAATTGATCGATGACCAGGTGAAGGATATAGGTCCATGGGTGAAACAAACAAGTGTTATTGTGTATCACTTATAACATGGAATATCAATTAATATAAAGAATACATAAAATGTCAATTTTTATTTTACTAAATGCTAGTCCAATTTACCATTTTGATATTCAGACCATCTCTTCCGGAGAGAGGAACTGATAAAAGGCAGAAATCTCTCACGATAAAAATTCACAAAAGATATTAAATATAAAAAACCGACCAATGCAATTTCCAGTCACACATGAACGTATTACGCTCATTTGATGTATTTCTTTGCTTTTTTCTTCTCTGATCTTTATCTGTTTGAAAGTTGAAATCACATTTAACTGGATAAGCTAACTGAAGAAAATCAATATGTACATCCATAAAATGCTGCAGATTCCATGCGTTTCTACAACGTTCTTCTCGAGGTGAAAGGAAGAAATGAGACATGTATCTATCTATGGTATAGGGGACTATTCTTACTTGTGTACACATTCAGAAAATTTAGGATTCACACTCAACATTTAAAAAAGAAAAAATGAATATTGCAAAGGTTAAATTTTCAGGAGAGATGTTTTCCCCATTTTCATGAGAGATGTGGCTAAGTAATTGGGTGTAATCAAAACTTCTCATCCAGATGTTTAACCCTTCAAGAAGCTTATACATGTAGAATATTAAATCCTATTAGAATGTTAGTCTCAGAATGCTACACTTCTCTTCAAATGTTTGGTGATCTTTACTCCCAATTTGGACTCTTCGCTCCAAATGTTTGGTGATCTTTACTCCCCATTTGGACTCTTCTCTCCAAATATTTGGCGATCTTTACTCCCCATTTGGACTCTTCTCTCCAAATGTTTGGTGATCTTTACTCCCCATTTGGACTCTTCTCTCCAAATGTTTGGTGATCTTTACTCCCCATTTGGACTCTTCTCTCCAAATGTTTGGTGATCTTTACTCCCCATTTGGACTCTTCTCTCCAAATGTTTGGTGATCTTTACTCCCCATTTGGACTCTTCTCTCCAAATGTTTGGTGATCTTTACTCCCTATTTGGACTCCTCTCTCCAAATGTTTGGTGATCTTTACTCCCCATTTGGACTCTTCTCTCCAAATGTTTGTTGATCGTTACTCCCCATTTGGATTCTTCTCTCCAAATGTGTGGTGATCTTTACTCTCCATTTGGATTCTTCTCTCCAAATGTTTGGTGATCTTTACTCCCCATTTGGACTCTTCTCTCCAAATGTTTGGTGATCTTTACTCCCCATTTGGAGTCTTCTCTCCAAATGTTTGGTGATCTTTACTCCCCATTTGGACTCTTCTCTCCAAATGTTTGGTGATCCTTACTCCCCATTTGGACTCTTCTCTCCAAGTGTTTGGTGATCTTTACTCCCCATTTGGAATTTTCTTTCCAAATGTTTGGTGATCTTTACTCCCCATGGACTCTTCTCTCCAAATGTTTGGTGATCTTTACTCCCATGGACTCTTCTCTCCAAATGTTTGGTGATCTTTACTCCCCATTTGGACTTTTCTTTCCAAATATTCGGTGATCTTTACTCCCCATTTGGACTCTTCTCTCCAAATGTTTGGTGATCTTTACTCCCCATTTGGACTCTTCTCTCCAAATGTTTGGTGATCTTTACTCCCCGTTTGGACTCTATGTTAAAGCCTTGTTATGTTTGAATTTTTGTTTGCATAACTTGTATTGAAATCAACATTTTAGGCTTGAAAGGAGTGGTATCGATATGGAGAACTTTTTGAACACAAGTTTCTCTTAAACCGGACATTAAAAAAATCTGAAAATATAACACATCGTCAAATTAATGGTCATCTTTTGAATGGTAACATTATAATTTGAAAAATATATATATACTTTAATATATTAATATATTGTTTTAGAAAACACATCAAACGCTTGTTTTGTTCTTGGTATCATGTTTCCAGAATGAAATGAAACATCTTTCCGAACCTCATTGGAACAAAACGACATAAACACAACATGTTTAGGTCTCTCAATATTGTAATTGTACAAAGGAAATTTTGGTTGATTTTAAAAAAGTATCTTGTTAATGAAATAAATTATTATTTGGGGCGATTTTGTTTTAATTTTTTGAATACTTTTTAAAATCAACCAAAAATTCCTTTGTATAACTATAATATTGAGAGGTCTAAAACCATGTTGTATATGCTTTTTTTTCCAACAAGGTTCGGAAAGACATTTTATTTCATTCTCAAGAATTGGTAGAAAGGAGCAAAAACAATTGCACTAAAAAAACAAAAAATTTTAACAAAAACAGTTGTTTAAAATATTTCTAAATAATTTTTACATTAAATTGTTGTCAATCAGTCAACATTACATAAAATACCGTGCTTTTTACAGAATGTTTTCAATGATTGGTTTAAGAGAAAAACATTGTTGAAATCAGTTCTCCATATCGATACCACTCCTTTAAATATAAATAGGCTTTTACACATTGTCAAATGGGGAAGTAATAGGGTTAACCTTTGGTAACAACAATTGATTTAGGATTCAGGACTGAGAACTTCTGTTTATGACTTCCAAGCTACTTCAAAGACAATTAAGATTTTGCTGATTTTAATACTCAAATGATAATACATTTATAAATGTGCAAACTGAAATACTTCTATGGACAGTTTAGTCCGCCGAAATGTAAATGTAAAATATATTTATTACAAGGAATTTTCTCTCATTTAATAGTGTAAATCAAGGTGTGCATGTCATCTGATGTTTGTATACAATTTAAAATGTTACAATTTTCACCATTTTTATGTCACCACGACAAGCTGTGACATATTGTTATGATTTCAAACTTTTTTGTAATGGCGTTTGGCACCTGTAACAAATGGCTGATGGTGACATTTTTTGTTAATGCCTTGCATTTTATTGTTTGCGGACTACTTTCCTTTTCCATCTAAGTTAATTTTAGTCATGCTTCAAACCCTTGTAACCACACACTTGATGCAAGACTATTTTATTTTAAAAGCATCATGACTTTATATTAATGGGCAGGAATGGCAAATCTATGCTTCATAAACTGTAGCTATTGATTTTCTTATCATGCTAGAAACAGGTGGCAAAAGCCTCCATGTAAACCAAAGCAGGTTTTTACCCAGAACTATCAGGTACATCATGTGATTTATCTCAACCAGTCATCTGTTAATATACACGGTTTATCATAGGATTGAGTGCTGGGATATGGAGGTTGGTATTTAATGCAAAACAGCAAATATGGATAAAAAATTGATGAAATTATCCGTGAAGCCATATTGAATGTAATTAACCTCTTGCTGATTAAGAAAGTTATAATTTGTATTATTGAGTGTAAAATGTTGAGATGACCATGCTTTGAAAACCAAATGAGAGGAAAAAGAATGAATGCATGAAAAAAAGATGAAATCATGAAAAAAGATCAAAAACCAGACATCTTTCAACGTTTAGATTGAAGTGAGCTATACAATAATTATTGAATAATATTTTCTTCCCCTAGATCAATTATTTCTATTTCCTGAACAATTTCTTGTTTAATCGTCATATTCATGACAATGAAAACTCTCCCATGTTGATTGGAAAATTATAGCTATCCTCATATATTTGTATACTGCACTTTAAATCTTCAAATTTGATTTGATTCAAAAGGTTAAAAAAAATATTTATATATAATTTAATATAAATCAATCTTCAACAAATCTTGTTATTAACAATTTTTATTAATTTTTTTCCCTGCAATTCCAGCAGGCAAAGATTTTCTGAATGTGTTCCTTTGATGTACCTGCTATAAATCAATGCTCTGCAATGTGATCACTAGCGGAGCAAATATTGCCCTAACTGAAATATATGAGGGTGGTCATAAAAAAACTGGACAATAAGAAGAGAAATATCAAGAGAAATATCAAGGAGTGTTGGGGGTTACATATGGAAGACAATATTATAGGTTGTGGAAACAGTTTAGGGTCGAATAAGAAGAGATGTGGCATGGGAGTAAAATTGATTGAATAAGTATGATTAAATAGCAGAGTAAGATCTAAGTACAGGTATTGGAAAACTCCATCTTATGTATTGTGTAAAACAGCTTTTTTATTGCATCAAATATTGGGA